GTATTCTTAATCTTATGTCTGAAAGATACTAACAGTGGAGCAGCTTTCAGCAACCCCATGCTGCTGAATCATCTCCATGCACGTCTTCATCTCCCAGGAACGTGGTCCTCGTTGACAACAATGCGATAGCTTGATGCGGGAGATGGGCCATTGGTGCTTCGCTGATGATGTTCCCGCTAAGTCTTTCAAAGGCATTTAGTGATACACATAAGGAAGAGAATTTATGGATGTCACTTCTTTATTATGAGGAACACATATGTGTTCAATTCAATGATGTAAACTTCTTTATTATGAGGAACACATATGTGTTCAATTTATGGATGTAAACCTCTATATTATGAGGAACACATGTGTTCAATTTAATGATGTAAACTTCTTTATTATGAGGAACACATAATGTGTTCAATTTATGGATGTAAACCTCTTTATTATGAGGAACACATATGTGTTCAATTTATGGATGTAAACCTCTTTATTATGAGGAACACATATGTGTTCAATTTAATGATGTAAACTTCTTTATTATGAGGAACACATATGTGTTCAATTTATGGATGTAAACCTCTTTATTATGAGGAACACATATGTGTTCAATTTATGGATGTAAACCTCTTTATTATGAGGAACACATATGTGTTCAATTTAATGATGTAAACTTCTTTTTTATGAGGAACACATATGTGTTCAATTTATAGATGTCAACCTCTTTATTATGAGGAATACATATGTGTTCAATTTATGGATGTAAACCTCTTTATTATGAGGAACACATATGTGTTCAATTTATGGATGTAAACCTCTTTATTATGAGGAACACATGTGTGTTCAATTTATGGATGTAAACCTCTTTATTATGAGGAACACATATGTGTTCAATTTATGGATGTAAACCTCTTTATTATGAGGAACACATATGTGTTCAATTTATGGATGTAAACCTCATTATTCTGAGGAACACATATGTGTTCAATTTATGGATGTAAACCTCTTTATTATGAGGAATACATATGTATTCAATTTATGGATGTAAACCTCTTTATTATGAGGAATACATATGTGTTCAATTTATGGATGTCTCTTCTTTATAATGAGGAACACATATGTGTTCAATTTATATATGTAATTTAAACTTCTTTATTATGAGAAACACATAATAAAGAAGCTGACATCCATAAATTCTCTTCTGTATGTCCCCACCGTTTCTAACATATTCGGACTCCCGGTGGTTTAAGGACCCACAATTTCCTCCCCTTAGCCGTACCAGGATCAGCTGATCATGGGTTCGAGTCCCAGATCTATATAGATCACGATAATGGCTTGTCAGCATCATACCCATGTTCGTTGGTTTTACAAAAGTTGCAAGCGACTGAGAGCAGCTGTCTAACGGCGGGTTTTCTTCGCACATCAACACGCCAAAATATAACTGAAATATTGCTAAAAGTAACGTTAGACCGAATATACTCACTTAATGATTTGCCTGATAACTTGTGTAGTTTTACTTACACTATGACATCGCTGTATGTAATAATGTAGCATATATAATGTAGATATATCTCGACACGAAGTTAACCTTTTTAGTTAAACTTAGCCAAACACATAGTCGATGTTACCAGACAAGATTGACGTTTGTGCCTTTTCTGGTATATTTAGTGATGATATAACATATTTATCTGAAAGTATATAATTTATGTTATCAAAAAACTAGTTTAGTCTGTCCCAAATACAAATTTCAGACTAAGAATAGTAATTAAGACATGATAAATGTACCATTTGGCTCTTCCTTGTCAAATATGTTAGGTGAAATGGGGTTTAACGTCGCGTTCAAGATAATGGCACTTATATATAGCGACGTGCATGTGTGTGTGTGTGTGTGTGTGTGTGTGTGTGTGTGTGTGTGTGTGTGTGTGTGTGTGTGTGTGTGTGTGTGTGTGTGTGTGTCCTGTCCTTGTTTTAGCCCCTTAATGCCGAGCGCCAGACATGGTAACAACAAGTACCACCTTTTAACGTTTTTTGGTACGGCACGGCCGTTGATCGCTCCACCTGTGGACCACGAAGGCGCTCCAGTCTTCGGGCAGACGGTCTACCACTAGGCCACAGAGGCTGCCCGCTCGTCAAATAACATCATGACTTGTGTCTCATTTTGTGGTATGAATCATTTATGAAAACATCAATTATATCAGGTCCCAAGATGAGATACAAATGGTGTTTGACAAGACCTGGCAACTACCCTTCATGTATTTCTCCACTGGTCTAAAACACGCTTGATACAAATTATACTGCCGAGTGCGAATTCGGGTCCATCCGTTAAATCTCCAACATTGTCATGAAGTATATTTCATTAAACGCTTGACCGTCAGAAGGTAAATACGCAAGTTCTCAACATTTACGTAATAATGTTACATATTTTATTATCGTGTAGCAGTGGGAAGTGCTTTAAATCACCACGCCATAAAGGAAGGAATTTTAATGGAAATGTTCCCTTGCTACTGTGGAGAAACACTATCGGAAATTACCCTGTTGTTTATTCGTTTATGTGCGGCGACTGGTGCGGTATCCTAAGGCAATATTTACACTTACCAACTTTGTTTATCGTCACAGAAGCCATCACTCGAGTCGACCCATATCTTATTCTACGATCTAAATAAAATTATTTATTTACGATGGAGTTGCCAATGTTTTCTTTTCACCTTCGGATATCGAAATACGAGCTTAAGAGCGTGTCAAGGACATTACCGTGACACACGGAGGGATGAAGGATGAACCCGAAATGTCCGATGCCCCGGGGGCAACACATATATAAGATTTATAAGGGTGGCGATGCTTGGGGGAGAAGACACAGGTATTAGTTTTCTCATTTATGTCATTGGGGTCCATATATTATTTCCAAATGCACGAGCGTCGAACCCCTAACATGCGGCCTTTTATATGTTACACCACTCTGAAGATCGGGTGAGTGAGTGAGTGAATATTGTTTTACGCCGCTTTAGCAATATTCCAGCAATATTATGGCGGGGGCATCAGAAATGGGCTTCACACATTGTACCCATGTGGGGAATCGAACCCGGGCCTTCAGCTTGAAGAGCGAACGCTTTAACGACTAGGCTACCACACCGCCCTAAAGATCGGGGTAGAATTGGTCAAAGCAACCCATGCTTGTTCTAAGAGGCCACTAACGGGATCATGTGGTCACATTCGCTGCCTTGTTTCATGCATGTTGTCGTACCCAAATTGCGTAGACTGATGGTGCCAATCACTGGATTATCTGGTTCACGCTCGATTATTAACAGACCTCCGTCATATAGCTGGATTATTACTGAGTACGGCGTTAAAAAGCAAACAGACATGTGATCTGCACAGATATTAACAAGCCGTGTGAGACTTACAGCAAACGTGTCATTCCGGCGTCCGTATTCTCAAGGTTCTACCGTATTTAAGAGTTGACTTTCACTTTGTGTGTGTTCATTGGAGTAGGAACCTTCAAAGAGTGAGGGTCAAATTGTGTCATTTATACACTTATAAACGTCAGTTTCGCGGTGGCAGGCCTCTCTTCCAATGGAAAAGCCGTATATCGTGTAAACTTAAAATTAAAAAATTATACCGGTTTGGGATACTTTTCCAAGAATTGGCCAAATTCATCTTGGCACCGGTGCCTTCCCACACGTATCGGCTTGAGATGACTTCTGGCCTCCATCGGCAACAGTGCTTTGCCTTGAGACATTAGGCATTGGCTGCTCCATCTGCCAATACCATGATCACCAGACAAAGCCTTGCACATGATATGTAATACAGACCTGGCAGGTGGACAAATGTCTAGCAACATGAAATAATTAGGAATGTGTGTTAAGAGTGATCTAGGGCGCTCGGGATCAACTTATGAGTTGAGGTGAAATGGAGTTTAAGGCTGCGTTCAAGATTATTGTACTTATATAGCGACGTGCATGCACTAAGAATAGTAATGAAGACATGATAAATGTACCATTTGGCTCTTCCTTGTCAAATATGTCGGGTGAAATGGGGTTTAACGTCGCGTTCAAGATAATGGCACTTACATAGCGACGTGCATGTGTGTGCGTGCATGCGTGCGTGCGTGCGTACGTGCGTGCGTGCGTGTGTGTGTGTGTGTGTGTGGCTGCTTGTACTTGTCCGGACTGATGCCGATTTATACAGCTAGCCCACTGAGATACCATGCCGCAGTTTAACATGAATACCCCACTCAGACACAGTATACTGACTCCGGGCCAACCAGTCCTTGGTTTATCCCCTTAATGCCGAGCGCCAGGCAGGGTAACAACAAGTACCATCTTAGTTATATGTAAACCTTGGTGTGTCATGGTGTGTCATGGTGTCATGGTGCTCTCACAGTGTCTGATCATATGGCTGGATACACTGTCAAGTAGGGCGCTAAGATCTCACTTGACAAAATAATCAGATTGAGTTTCGATTAAGTTGTAGAAACTATATTAATGGATATCCACAGTTAAGATGGTTTTAAAAGAACATGTATTCACACAAAAAACATGACATGGCTTCCTCCGCGTGGCGATCATTGATAGTAAGCGCCCTAGGCGCTGAGTAATTTGACAAATGGGGCCGCTTAAATCAAGCACAACGAGTTAAAATTGTTGTTCAATATTAAACAACCAAGTTTAGACGTCGTTGAAACGTCTTCTGTAATAGTTACAAGGCACTAATATACCCCTTCTGCTCTGCTGATGTCTGTGTTAAGAAGTAATATTCACTACAAAATATGGGCTGTAATGCAAAGTGTCGTCTTTACCGAGGGTGCTTAGAAAGATTACTTACAGATTCGCCCAGAAGAGGGTCAGGGTGTACTTATTGGAGTAGGGCGCTTAATACCGTGTATACGGTACATGTATCTGTACTTTGGTTCTTAGGAATGGATACGGTACGTGTCAGGTGCCTATTTATAATTATGTTTGTTTGTGTTCATGTTTATTCAAACCCCCCTCCTCAGATTATTTGTTTTTGTGTTACCATAGCAGCAAGACGGAGTTATTCTATTGGCTGATGGCATCTGAGACCCGCCCGGGGGAGCACGGAGGGGGAGGCGAGGCCGCGCGCACTCGATGAGGCGGCGTTCCAAAGAAAGGGGAGAAGGATGGAGAGAGGAAGTGCATGGAACGAGTGAAGAAGAGAAGGAGTGTATTGTCATTAAGGGGTGAGTAAACATATTTACTTCAACATAATCTATCATAATTGTTCTAAAACAATTAATAATTGTAATTTTCGCATTGTGATTCAATTAAAACTGGCCTTAAGTCAAAACTTATAATTTCAATATGTTAATTTATTTCGTTACAACATTTATAAGCGAAGGTTGAACAGGCATTTTGCAGTTCACTGCAAAGAATATAAACATGAGCTAGCTTTGCCTCGGCTGTTATGCACAAGGCTTGGCGATTAGTATGTAGATGGGGAACAAACGGGATACTCAGGGCTTCTCTATGCGATCCCTAAATAACTCGGAGATGTAATACCACATGAGCTGGGTCACAGTACCTCTCGTTGTGGCCAAATTGTTATGGCATTTATGTCACAATACTTTAGAAATAATTGTTATCAAACATGCCATCGCATATTTCTATCATAGACGATGGAAATATGTGACTTTTCGGCAAGCGAACCGCAGACACACTGCCTACTAAGAAAATCAATTCATGTGATAAAATTCCAAGTGAACTTTACCAAACTCTATGTTAGCATATCTCTTCCTGGTCTGTGGGGTAAAACACTGCCGTGTACCCTGCCTTCTACTACATAGATGGGGTAGGGTTGTGTGACTTGCATGTGTGTTTTCTGGGATTGAGATAGACGTGTCACTGTGCCACAAGCCACCCACAACGATGTTTAGATGTCCATTGGATTTTAAGTAGACCTACAAGTCGGATACATTTCAATAAAACAAAATTTGAAATTCTGTTTATTTGTTAATCAATTTCCATGTTTGTCCAGTATATAAAAGGGGCGGTTGGGTAGCCTAGTGGTTTAAGCTTTGGCCTGTAACGCCGTAGACCCGGGTTCGAGTCCCCACAATGAAGTGAAGCCCAATTTCCGGTGTCCCCCGCCGTGATATTCCTGGAATTTTGCAAAAAACGGCGTAAAACAATACTCACTCTCTCACCAGTATACAACAGTACATTTTTAAATGGATTCATGCAAAACTGTTCATTTTGTTAGGACATGGGATCTCGGAGTTTTTAAGGCATTTACTTAACGTGTTTACGATGTATAATGACTTTGGTCGTCTTATGGTACTAGGAATTTCAAACCAAAGGAATTCTCAAGGGTGATGTGAAGCGTGGTGATATTGAGATATGTTTTACAACACCCAGGAGTCGAGAATCTCAAGCCACATTACCATTCAGACTAAACCCGTGCTGTATCGTAGTGCCGCCACATGCAGCTGACGATGGGTGCCCCGCCCTTCTCGTATCTCAGTCCGCGCCTCATCGGCTTCCTTCATCCGCAATTTAAATCTTGTATTTTTTGTTCCCAAATATCAGGAAACGTATTTATTTACTGTTGTGTTTTTATCGCCCGTCTTGGGTTCTCCTGGACAACAGGGTTGAAGTTATATTGTGTTTTTTTGCTTCCCATGTGTACGCGACGCTTCAATGGTGGGATTGTTTCTCAAGTTACTAGCGCGGCGAGATGTTATGAAGTGTTAATTGCCACACACTGAGGATCAGGAATGTGTATGTGTAATACAGACATTTGTTGTGAGATCTGAACGTTGCTGTTCTGAAAATGAATAAAAGCCTGTTTCTTCTCACAAAGAGAAAACCTAGGTCTCTTTGTGTCCGATGAGTGTGTTATCTCATGTTTTATATTGATGAGCTGTTGAGTGAGCGTATTGAAGTGGAGGGGAGTGTGTAGACTAACATCTAGTCTCTGAAATGAACATATCGTACAGAAAAAAACAGTTGTTCAGTTATCTTAATAAAAATATAATAAAAGGGAGCCTAGTGACTCTCTTCATCCTGATACTGCAGTAGTCTAGACTTGCCAAACATTATAGACTTGCATGGGCTGTAATTGATATATATTTGTATCAGGGTGTGTAAGACAGACTAGGGAGGGGTGTGCAGGTTGTGTTAAGGCGTGAATCAGGGGAAGGGGTGTGCAGGTTGTGTTACGGCGTGATCAAGGGGGAGAGGGTGTGCAGGTTGTGTTATGGCGTGATCAAGGGGGAGAGGGTGTGCAGGTTGTGTTAAGGCGTGAATCAGGGGAAGGGGTGTGCAGGTTGTGTTAAGGCGTGATCAAGGGGGAGAGGGTGTGCAGGTTGTGTTAAGGCGTGGTCAAGGGAAGGGGTGTGCAGGTTGTGTTACGGCGTGATCAAGGAGGGGAGGGTGTCCAGGTTGTGTTAAGCGTGATCAAGGTGTAAGGGGTGTTTAGGTTGTTTAAGGCGTGATCAAGGAGGGGAGGGTGTACAGGTTGTGTTAAGGCGTGAATCAGGGGGAGAGGGTGTGAAGGTTGTGTTTTGAGGTGTCACATTATGCACCTACAGTGCTAATACATGAACCTGTCCGTATTGATGAGGTGTCACTTTATACACCTTCAGTGCTAACACGTGTACCTGTCCGTATTGATGAGGTGTTACTTTATACAACTTAATGTGTACCTGTCAATATTGATGAGGTGTCACTTTATTCTTACACGTGTACCTGTCCGTATTGATGAAGTATCACTTTATACACCTACACGTCTACCTGTCCGTATTGATAAGGTGTCACTTTATACACCTACACATCTATCTGTCCGTATTGATGAGGTATCACTTTATACACCTACACGTGTACCCGTCCGTATTGACGAGGTATCACTTTATACACCTACACGTGTACCCGTCCATATTGATGAGGTATCACTTTATACACCTACACGTGTACCTGTCCGTATTGATGAGTTATCACTTTATTCACCTACACGTGTACCTGTCCGTATTGACGAGGTATCACTTTATTCACCTACACGTGTACCTGTCCGTATTGATGAGGTATCACTTTATTCACCTACACGTGTACCCGTCCGTATTGACGAGGTATCACTTTATACACCTACACGTTTACCTGTCCATATTGATGAGGTATCACTTTATACACCTACACGTGTACCCGTCCGTATTGACGAGGTATCACTTTATACACCTACACGTGTACCTGTACGTATTGATGAGGTGACACTTTATACACCTACACGTGTACCTGTCCATATTCATGAGGTGTCACTTTTTACACCTACACGTGTACCCGTCCGTATTGATGAGGTGTAACTTAATACACCTACACGTGTACCTGTCCATATTCTCGAGGTATCACTTTATTCACCTACACGTGCACCTGTCCGTATTAATGAGGTATCACTTTATTCACCTACACGTGTACCCGTCCATATTGATGAGGTATCACTTTATACACCTACACGTGTACCCGTCCATATTCATGAGGTATCACTTTATACACCTACACGTGTACCCGTCCGTATTGATGAGGTATCACTTTATACACCTACACGTGTACCCGTCCGTATTGATGAGGTGTCACTTTATACACCTACACGTGTACCTGTCCGTATTGATGAGGTGTAACTTTATACACCTACACGTGTACCTGTCCATATTCATGAGGTGTCACTTTATACACCTACACGTGTACCCGTCCGTATTGATGAGGTATCACTTTATACACCTACACGTGTACCTGTCCATATTCATGAGGTGTCACTTTATACACCTACACGTGTGCCTGTCCATATTGATTAGGTATCACTTTATACAACTACACGTGTACCGGTCCATATTGATGATGTATCACTTTATACACCTACACGTGTACCAGTCCATATTGATGAGGTATCACTTTATACACCTACAGGGGCGGTCGGGTAGCCTAGTGGTTAAAGCGTTCGCTCGTCACGCCGAAGACCCGGGTTCGATTCCCGACATGGGTACAATGTGTGAAGCCCATTTCTGGTGTCCCCCGCCGTGATATTGCTGGAATATTGCTAAAAGCGGCGTAAAACCATACTCACTCACTTACTCACTTATACACCTACACGTGCACCTGTCCGTATTCACGAGGTGTCACTTTCTACACCTACACGTGTACCCGTCCATATTGATGAGGTATCACTTTATACACCTACACGTGTACCTGTCCATATTGATGAGGTGTAACTTAATACACCTACACGTGTACCTGTCCATATTCACGAGGTATCACTTTATACACCTACACGTGTACCTGTCCGTATTGATGAGGTGTAACTTAATACACCTACACGTGTACCTGTCCATATTCACGAGGTATCACTTTATACACCTACACGTGTACCCGTTCATATTCATGAGGTGTCACTTTATACACCTACACGTGTACCTGTCCGTATTGATGAGGTATCCCTTTATACTCCTACACGTGTACCCGTCCATATTTATGAGGTATCACTTTATACACCTACACGTGTACCTGTCCATATTCACGAGGTATCACTTTATACACCTACACGTGTACCTGTCCGTATTGATGAGGTGTAACTTAATACACCTACACGTGTACCTGTCCATATTCACGAGGTATCACTTTATACACCTACACGTGTACCCGTCCATATTGATGAGGTATCACTTTATACACCTACACGTGTACCCGTCCGTATTGATGAGTTATCACTTTATTCACCTACACGTGTACCTGTCCGTATTGATGAGGTATCACTTTATTCACCTACACGTGTACCTGTCCGTATTGATGAGGTATCACTTTATTCACCTACACGTGTACCCGTCCGTATTGACGAGGTATCACTTTATACACCTACACGTGTACCTGTCCATATTGATGAGGTATCACTTTATACACCTACACGTGTACCCGTCCGTATTGACGAGGTATCACTTTATACACCTACACGTGTACCTGTCCGTATTGATGAGGTGACACTTTATACACCTACACGTGTACCTGTTCATATTCATGAGGTGTCACTTTTTACACCTACACGTGTACCCGTTCATATTTATGAGGTATCACTTTATACACCTACACGTGTACCTGTCCATATTCACGAGGTGTAACTTTATGCACCTACACGTGTACCTGTCCGTATTGATGAGGTGTAACTTAATACACCTACACGTGTACCTGTCCATATTCACGAGGTATCACTTTATACACCTACACGTGTACCCGTCCATATTCATGAGGTGTCACTTTATACACGGACACGTGTACCCGTCCATATTCACGAGGTGTCACTTTATACACCTACACGTGTACCCGTCCATATTCATGAGGTGTCACTTTATACACGTACACGTGTACCCGTCCATATTCATGAGGTGTCACTTTATACACCTACACGTGTACCCGTCCATATTCATGAGGTGTCACTTTATACACCTACACGTGTACCCGTCCATATTCATGAGGTGTCACTTTATGCACCTACACGTGTACCCGTCCATATTCATGAGGTGTCACTTTATACACCTACACGTATACCCGTCCATATTCATGAGGTGTCACTTTATACACCTACACGTGTACCCGTTCATATTCATGAGGTGTCACTTTATACACCTACACGTGTACCTGTCCATATTCATGAGGTGTCACTTTATACACCTACACGTGTACCCGTCCCTGGGAGGTTCGAGTTTTCAGTGTTCAGTGACAGACACATCAGTTGCCGGTCATATGATAGCCTTGCTCTAAGGCTGTACTGAAAGAGACGTCCATGGCTGTGTCGTAATTATATCCCCCTAACAGGCAAGACAAGATATGTGGACTCAAAGGACTCCAGTCTCTTATAGGGACAACTTGTTATTATTTACATAATCTAGGACATATTATTTAAACTAATAATTATTGCCTTAGAGATGGGTGCAAATCATTGGCCTATCGCGATAGTTGTTCAGGGTTTTCCACACATCTGATGAGTGATACATCGTAGACATGTCGGTTAATTGCCAATCGGTGGGAGGATGAGGTGATGCGACCATGCGTCATCGTTGATCGGTAAAAAATTGGAAGGATAGTCACGTGGCCTGCCATCTGAAGCCAGCACAATTCTGACAGCAGAGTCATAAAAAAGATGTGTGTGTGTGTGTGGCTGCTTGTTCTAGTCCGGACTGATGCCGATTTATAGTGCTAGCCCACTGAGATACAATGCTGCAGTTAAACATGAATACCCCACGCCGACCAGACCTTGTTTAAGCCCCTTAATGCCGAGCGCCAGACAGGGTAACAACAAGTACCATCTTTAAACGTCTTTGTTATTGATTTGTATAATTCAGTACTTACCATATATTAATGTTATAAAGCGTTCTACAGATATGATGGACCATTATTACAATCATCGTCTGACAGCATTAATTTCTATCAGGTAAAGAAGCCACGGCAATGTTTGTTTCATGACTGATGTCTTACAATGTCGCGAGTCATTATCTGATTTCAAGGTCTGGACTTGAAGAGCCAAACGTGTTGACGTGCTTGTATAAGTGTGTATCTCATCATCATCATCATCACCATCACATACGGAATGCCAGATCTGTGAGTGAGTGCCACAGTCGGTAAATGACAGATTCATCACAGGGGTCTGGGAGGGACAGTGGGAGGGACGGGGGTTGGGGTGGGAGGGACAGTTGAAGGGATGGGGGTTGGGGTGGGTTGGCTTCAAGGTTGATTCTGTGCACAACGGAGCTATTCTTACCCGGAAGTGAAACATTTAGCTGGACATCACTTTGACAAGCATAGTCGCCTTTTAGGACTGAATGAGTGAGTTAGGTTTAACGCCGCTTTTAACAGTATTCCAGTTATATGGTGCTGACAAACCTAGAAACATAATCGGGGCGAACCGGGATTCGAACCCACAATCATAAGTTTCTGGTGTGCCTAAGGGACGCAACCCTGCACAGCGAATCGCGGCGCCTTAGACGACTGGGCCACCAGTGGTTACGATGTATGCCCTTCCGAATTCTTTCTATTGCAACCCGATGGCCTGGGTAGTTGCTCATGATATCAACCACGGGTTTGGCTGGCCTAGATTACAAGTAATGGAGATATATCTACCCCTGTTATCAAGTGTTATATATGTATTTATTATGATAAATCCCCTGCATCTAATGCCGTTCGCCGCCATGTTGATCACTTATCACATAATCAATACGAGACCTTCTCTCGCCAATGAGTGTAATTTATACAACTCTATGTGTCAGGCTCAAAGTACGCTATTGTTGTTAAAGGGCTCAGGGCATATATAATATATATATATATATATATATATTAAAAGACAATGGAGATATAATATACTGGATAATCGAGGGTGGAATATTACTGACATAAAACTATATAAGACTGTATAAAACAAACAACATTCTGGTCATCGAGCAGTGAACGGGTACCCGAAAGGATGAGATGGTAATGTGACTTAAACTAGCGCCTCATAGGCGGCATGGCTTGTATACTCCCCAGGGAGATGAGAATAAATATGGAGTGCACACTGATCCATTGGTAGATATAATAATTCCTCTGTGCGCTTTGAACGCGATATCTAGCATGGAAAATCGCCATAGAAATGGACTTTGACAATATGATTATAATAACTAGAAAGATGTTTCGTTTTGCAACCAGCTTTACGAGTCGATAATATACCCGGGGCGTGCTGCTCCCCCTTGTTAGCGCAGTGTAACATCATGACAAGCCACACAGCACACCGACACTGCGGAGGTATCTCACGTATTCATTGGAAGGCAGAAACTGTTCAGATCATGACATTTCAGTTTTGGCAGCAGCCGTGGCACTCGTCCTCGACATTATAAGTAAGGGGTAGACACAAAGGCAAACTGTAGTTACAACACTTTGTTCTATCAAGGTAAACATTACAAGCGTGGGCATGTGCATGTGTCCAATTGTTCGTGTATCGGTTCCCTAGGGTTTGTTTGTTTGTTGTTTGTTGTTTGCATTCAGCAATAATCCAGCTATATGACAGCGGTCTGTAAATAATCCAGTGATTCATGAGCATTGATCCACGCCATTGGGGTACGATGACATGCATCAACCATGTCAGTGAGCCTGACCAACCGATCCCGTTAGTCGCCTCTTACGACAAGCATGGTCGCCTTTTATATCAAGCATGGGTTGCTGAAGCCCTATTCTACCCCGGATCTTCACGGGTCAGTTCCTTCGGGTCCAGGGCACGGGTGGCCCAGTCGTCTAAGGCGCCGCAATTCGATGTGCAGAGTTGCGTCTCTTGGGTGTGCCAGAAACCTGTGATCGTGGGTTCGAATCCCGATTCGCCTTGATTATGATTCATGGTTAATCAGCACTATCTCTGTGCTCGTTGTGGTAAGCGTCTAAAACCTGCATCACTTCGTTGTCCCCGACATTGACCTGACATGTAATATATATTAAACTTTTCAATACACCGTTAAACGCAATTCACACGCTCACTATTAAACCATTTGACTCTTGTTTTCAGCACCATGGGGGAAGGCATGGTATCGGCGGGCCATCAGGTGATGGTGTCATCGCGACTGTGGAAATGTCTTCGCGTACTGCTCGTCCTGCTCGCCATCGTGGCCATCCTGCTCGCCATCGCCCTCATCAGCGTCATCATCAAGCGGAACGAGAAACCGCTCTGTGCGGAAGGCAAGTCCGTCATCCCACGCAATCTGGACAAACCGGGCATATTCGAAGACCTGACTCCTAACGAAATGAAGATTGTCAGAGACTACATGCAGTCTCAGAAAAGCCTCAAGCTGAAGCCTTACAACGAAGCCACCTTAAACAGCAGCTACATATACTTGATCGATCTTCAACTTCCCATAAAGGCAGGGGTGCTGAAGTATTTAGACGGAGGCCATAGAGAGCCAGAGCGAGCTGCCAAGGTGGTACTGTATCGGGGGGATATGAATCCTCCCAGAGTTGAGGAGTACCATGTGGGTCCTCTACCCCGACCCCGGTATCACAGGCTGGTAGCTAACCCAATCTACAGACGAATACCCATCCCCTTCACCAGTCGTCCCGTGGATCTGGTAGAATATAACCACCTGTACGCCATGCTCAGTGATATATCTAAGACGCTGTACCCCGTGCTGATGGACAGCTACCGCTTGAGCTACCACAACTGCACTAAAGGTGTGGACTGCATGTTGTTCTACGACGTGGCACCGAGGGGCATCAAGAGCAACGACAGGAAGAGTTGGTTCTGGGCTTTTAGAGGAGTAGAAGGATTCTATTTACATCCTCTTGGATTTGAGATTCAGATTAATCATGAGTCTATCAATGTTAGCGACTGGTCCGTGACGAAGTTGGTTTATAATGGACAGATGTTCAGCAGCGTGAATGCTTTTGATGATTCTTACAGGAGGAATCGTTTGAAGAAAATTAATCTGTTCATGGACAAATACGACAGTGTATACTCCTCCTACAAACGCCGGGGACTAAATGATTATGACGTGCCGGTGCGGGGCCCGCGATTGGTCGAGCCAGATGGAAGGAGGTATAGCATAGACGGGCAGCACGTTCAGTACTTCGGCTGGAACATGAACTTCAGAGCTAGGACCTCAACTGGTCTTCAACTGTTTGATATTCGATTCCAAGGCGAAAGAATAGCCTATGAAATAAGCCTTCAGGACGCAATAGTGTATTACACAGGGTATGGGCCTGTGGCAGGTTCAACCAATTATTTTGACACCTCTTGGCTTCTTGGGGCTTCCTCTTTTGAACTGATGCCAGGCGTGGACTGCCCAGCCACTGCAACCTTTCACGACACCTACCATTTTGCCGGGTCTGGGGAGCCATTGCGTTCCAGGAACGCCATCTGTATATTCGAGCAGAATTCAGGTCTGCCGTTGCGTCGTCATTACGCTAATGATTTCAATGGTGGCTATGGCTTTTATGGCGGACTTGTAGACAACTACCTCGTTATAAGGACAATAGCAAACATATGGAACTACGATTACATATTTGATTATATATTCCATTTAAATGGCGCCGTGGAGATCAAAGTAGCCCTGACAGGCTACGTCCAAGCTACGTATGGACTGCAACAAGAACGAGCCTACGGCAACTTCATCCACTCAAACGTCATTGCCACTCTCCACCAACACCTGTTCCATTATAAAATTGACATGGACATCGTAGGCACCAAAAACAGATTCGCCAAGGTAGACATCTCAAGAGAGACCATATCCCACCCATGGTATCCAGGTCGGAACAAAACCCAGATGAAGTTCACAAAGAGAGACAAACAAACTGAAAAGGATGCCATTCTGGAATATGATTTCGACAAACCTGGCTATAGTATTATCTACAACGCCAACGCTAAAAATAACTGGGGCGTCTCACGAGGATACAGAATTCAACACAACGCCATGACCAAGTTCGTCCTCGACGGCGTTGACGTCACCCAGGCGGCGGGCTGGTCCAAGTACCAAATGGCGGTTACCAGATTCCAAGACGTTGAGGAGACCAGCTCTTCAATCTACGCACAAAACGACCCCTTCGACCCTGTGGTGGACTTCAGAAGGTTCTTGGATAACGATGAACCCATTGTGGACGAGGATCTCGTCCTCTGGCTTACGGCTGGCGTGCACCACATACCGCACGCCGAGGATGTTCCGTCGACAACGACAACCGGAAACCAGTATAGCATCTTTTTACGACCATACAACTATTTCGACGAATGTCCCAGTACGACTGTTTCGGATGCAATCCATGTCCAACCAAGCGCACATTATGAAAAAATCAAAATAGACACGTTTGGTGTCGCGGAAGGATCGAACTGTTTTGCTAACGAGATTCCGTTCAGTGTGTTTAACGGCTCAAGATCCCCTGCTTAAAAACCCTTGCTCAATGAATGTAATACTTGTTGTTATTTTCTATCACGTTCAAGTTTAGATGTTTTACTGTTAAGGAATGGAATATACCTGTATGTTTAAGTTTGTATTTTCTTTTCATACATGCTTATAAGTTATTATATTTCAGTTTTAGAGTCGAAAATATTTCTTCATTTAATCCAACCTTATGTAGTCAGTAGTCGGAAACATATAAAACTAGACACGCAGACCCTAGAGAATAAATGAAAAATAAGAATCCAGCTCAGGGCTTGAGTGATTTGGGAAGTCTGGATTGCTTCAGCCTGAACTTAGATATTATTCTGGATCAATTAGGATCTGATTTTCTATTTTTTAGATATCTAATACAGATATTTAAACAGGATAACTTTATTTCTGGGACTACGAGTGTTAGTCTGATAAGAAACATGCTGATGTATTTGTTTCAAAGAAATACCATATACAACCAAGAAATATTAATCAGTATCATGTCACGAAATCATCATTGAAAGCCCTCATGTTGATTTTCCAATATTTTCCATTTGTGTATGTTTATGAAAAACCAATCAGTAAATGCACAATTTAATCAGAAAATAATATCGGTTAAAACATTTCTCTTGTTTTTTTCGTCATAGTTTTGTTTATGGAACTAAACTATTTGTATTGCAGTGAGCGCGAATATATGCACTCACAACCGTATAGGCATTGACATATTCTACTCAAAAAACGTAAGGATCAACTGATTCTTATATATTACCATTGTTAATCTGTCCTGACGTGACAAGTACTTCATATTCCCATGGTTAATCTGTCTTTGGCATGTGAAAGAGTCGGGGGGGGTCCTTAACTTTTTTTGAGCAGTATATGTAAAAAGCTGGTGTAAGAACCTCAGATACCACAATACCTTGGTACAGTTGCCCTACTCCCTCGGGGAGGGCGAGAAACAAGTCTCGTTCATTCAGCCTCGATTATCCAGAGTATATGTTCCTTTATAAGACCTTGGTACAGTTGCCCTACTCCCTCGGGGAGGGCGAGAAACAAGTCTCGTTCATTCAGCCTCGATTATCCAGAGTATATGTTCCTTTATAAGACCTTGGTACAGTTGCCCTACTCCCTCGGGGAGGGCGAGAAACAAGTCTCGTTCATTCAGCCTCGATTATCCAGAGTATATGTTCCTTTATAAGACCTTGGTACAGTTGCCCTACTCCCTCGGGGAGGGCGAGAAACAAGTCTCGTTCATTCAGCCTCGATTATCCAGAGTATATGTTCCTTTATAAGACCTTGGTACAGTTGCCCTACTCCCTCGGGGAGGGCGAGAAACAAGTCTCATGCATTCAGCCTCGATTATCCAGAGTATATGTTCCTTTATAAGACCTTGGTACAGTTGCCCTACTCCCTCGGGGAGGGCGAGAAACAAGTCTCGTTCATTCAGCCTCGATTATCCAGAGTATATGTTCCTTTATAAGACCTTGGTACAGTTGCCCTACTCCCTCGGGGAGGGCGAGAAACAAGTCTCGTTCATTCAGCCTCGATTATCCAGAGTATATGTTCCTTTATAAGACCTTGGTACAGTTGCCCTACTCCCTCGGGGAGGGCGAGAAACAAGTCTCGTTCATTCAGCCTCGATTATCCAGAGTATATGTTCCTTTATAAGACCTTGGTACAGTTGCCCTACTCCCTCGGGGAGGGCGAGAAACAAGTCTCGTTCATTCAGCCTCGATTATCCAGAGTATATATCCCTGTATAAGACCTTGGTACAGTTGCCCCACTCCCTCGGGGAGGGCGAGAAACAAGTCTCATGCATTCAGCCTCGATTATCCAGAGTATATGTTCCTGTATAAGACCGTGAGACTGCTCTGTGGAATCCCATGGCATCATTCTGTGAAGAGGTGCCAACAGTGATGATGCTCGAGAACGATGGAAACAATTTCTCATAAACATTACATTTTTCATGGACATCATTCTCCAATTCGATTATTCGATGTTTCTACTTTGATATATACGGAGGTTCTTGATTCATCATGCTTGAGTTGTGGAAAAGACAACCATGCCAGTCAGAATGTCAACGATCAAACATGTCCATTAGATAATCAGATGATCAGTCTTCTCATTCTTATTAAAAAGAATGTCATACAGTTTGTGTCGAAATATTGTCACAATGGTAAATAAAATCATTTGGAAAAGTCTCCTATTTCAGTCAGTTCCTCTGGATTAACTACGCACCGTTCATGTATACAGTTGCATTGTCCATTCCATGTAGTGCAACAACAAGTATTTGGTCATACGTATGGAATACTGTAAGGGACATTCTCGCGATCTCGCATTCTCGCGATCTCGACCTTTGGAAACGAGGTAAATATACCCAAAACACGAGAATGCGAGATCGCGAGAACGCGAGATTTTGCATCATGTCCAAATGTCGCATTCTCGCGTTCTCGACTTTTGACAAAAAGTGCTATGTACCAAAAACACGAGAATGCGAGATCGCGAGAACGCGAGATTTTGGCCAAATCTCGCGTTCTCGCGATCTCGCATTCTCGTGTTTTGGGTATATTTACCTCGTTTCCAAAGGTCGAGATCGCGAGAATGTCCCTTACAGTATTCCATACATACGGGCCCTCCTCCACAGTCAGCAGTGTTCGGGCGATAGCATGGCGGTGAGTCATGGAGTCCGAACCAGACGGACCAGCGGCAGATAGCAGGACCAACGATCCACGTATACGATGACAAATATAAACAAGTTGTAACATTGTAATCCCCAACCCTTGTTTCTCGACGAGTAGTGAGTAAATGACACGGCCCGTGGGGATCCGGGTTCACCAGGTCTTCAGCAACCAATGCGTGTCCCACGTGAACATCCGGGTTACAACAGGTCTTCAGCAACCCATGCGTGTCCCACGTGAACATCCGGGTTACAACAGGTCTTCAGCAACCCATGCGTGTCCCACGTGAACATCCGGGTTACAACAGGTCTTCAGCAACCCATGCTTGTCATAAGAGGAGACCATGCTTGTCGATAGAAGCGATCGGGTGGTCAGGCTCGCTGACTTGGTTGATGCATGTCATCGTATCCCAATTGCGTGGATCGAGGCTCATGATGGCAATCACTGGATTGTCTGGTCAAGACTTGATCATTTACAGACCGCCGTCATATAGATGGAGTAAGTGAGTGAGTTTGATTTTACGCCGCTTTTAGCAATATTCCAGCAATATCACGGCGAGGGACACCAGTAATTGGCTTCACACATTGTACCTATGTCGGGAGTCGAACCCGGGTCATCGGTGTGATGAGCGAACGCTTTAACCACTAGGCTACCCGACCGCCCTCATTTAGCTGGAATATTGCTGAGAGCGGCGTTAAACAACAAACATACAAACATGAGACGGACATTGCCACCAAAACCATAAGGCGGCAAGATCACACGTAGTGCACACTCAGTCGGTGTATCAGCTGAGAGTTAAGTAATTTAGGCCAAAATGGGGAAAAAGCGTCACTTGTAAGAAGGGGTACATCCAGGAGGGGGGTTGAACGTAGTGAAGAAAATACCGTATTTCCTCGATTAAACGCACGTGCGTATATTTCTTTCAGACGGTGTAAAACCGTCTGTTTGAGCTTCACTACGGTAGTTCTGTTTAGCGAGAACAATGTGTGATACAATACAGTACGTGCATAAAAACTTACCGCCGTTTAATCGAGGCCGGGCGTTTATATCGGTAGGGGTAAATATCTTAACACTATATAACTGATTGTGTTAATCACTTATGTAATATTTCATGACGAGTGTTTTTAGCATTTCTCATAAATCGCGTGGCGATTGGTCGCAATTTAGTTTTACTAAAAGATATTATAATAGTTATGTTCTGTGTAATTGCATTTGAGATGTAAATAAAATATTCTGTTCGTCTGTCTTTCGTACCCCGGCGTTTAATTGAGGCTCGGTAATGGAGGGAATACGGTAATAGAGAAATACGGTAATAATGGTGGAAGGTCGCAGGTTGATAGTTAAGTTTACAAATTATAATATCAGCTCCCTGGGGAGTGTACCAGCCAAGCTGGAAGGTTTCATATTCACATTACATTCACATCCAACAGTGTTTCCATTCGCTGCTAAGTGTACGGGCATATTGCGAACAAGTTCCTGTTTTATGACATGAGAATCACTGAAGAGCAGGACCGAAACCCCGCGTGCTGTCACAAATCAACCCTTCCTTGCATGGACCGCCTCCGTGGTCTTGTGGTAGAGCGTCGGCCCGGAGAGCGGAAGGTCCAGGGTTCGATCCCGGGCCGCGTCATACAAAAAGACGTTAAAAGATTGTACTTGTTCTTACCCTGTCTTGCGCTCGGCATTAAGGGGCTAAAACAAGGACTGGTCGGCTCGGAGTCAGTATACTGTGTCTGAGTGGGGTATTCATGTTAAACTGCGGCATGGTATCTCAGTGAGCTAGCACTATAAATCGGCATCAGTCCGGACTAGTACAAGCAGCCACACACACACATACACGTGCATACACGTCGCTATATAAGTGCAATAATCTTGGACGCGACGTTAAACCCAATTTCACCTCACCTCACCTCACCTCACCTCACCTCCTTGCATGTCACCTGATTTGTGCGATGTGCTTTATATAATCCTTTAGTCGTTATAGAGCTTTAAAGCAATGCACATCTCAGCTCCACAAAACTTTCCTTTTAGAAATGTACGTTGTTTCCCATATACATTATTCATGGATACTCAAGAGTGAGTGAGTTATAGTCACATCGGCAATATTTCAGCCATATCGAGACTAAATCAAGTTATACAGTAATAATACATACAGTTTGATTTTAAAACCTGTCGACAAAGGACAGTAAAACAACTAGATTATCACAGATCTATATTTTTAAACCAGTATGGAGCCATAAAAAGATATCACGATAAATAACAATTAATTATAAAAACGGGCTAGGGATCGCCAGCAACCAAAGGTAGGCCGCCATACTGGTAACCATGGGGACTTACGATACTTCTGCTACCTGCACGGTTCCCAGTAGGATTTACACCATCCCTTAGCTGCTGGCGATTATCAATCATCAAATTTAGCCAAAATTAAAACAAACATGTAAACTACGACCAAAAGGGTGGTAGGAATAAACTTACTTCGAATGATGTCGTCTTACATACCCTCCCAGGGGGGACAATAATTTTACAGTACTTCAACCCCCTTTGAGCCACAGGACCCACTGGGCGTACATTAACAACTATTATATATGATAGCCCACACGACGGGAGTCTGCACTTGTTTTTTTTTAACGCTCGCTTGTTCTCAAATTGCAGAAACAACTGCTTGGAATAATTTCCTAACACATTTTACAGATATTTCTGTGTGTAACCTTTTTTATCAATTTACACGTTAGACAAAGTTGTCAGCACCTATTTCCCAAACCTGATACTTGAGACTTTTTTTACAAACCCCTATTCAAATATTCTATTGTGCCAGCCTTGAGCTCACGTTAGACCACAACCAATAAATAATTTTTTTTAATATTGGTATTAGCTCATAACCGACCCTTAAAATAGCCCGGCACTAAAGTTCTAACAATATTTTTGGATGCGGAATTCGGTTCGTGTTCCGCATCTTTAGAGTTATCTACCATTCCTAACTTTCTTTCTTTGTTTAACGCCGCACTCAGCAATATTCCAGCTATATGCCGGCGGTCTGTAAATAATCGAGTCTTAACCAGACAATCCAGTGATTGATATCATGAACATCGATCCACACAATTAGGTACGATGACATGCATCAACACAATCAGCGAACCTGACCACCCGATCCCGTTAGTCGCCTAATACTACAAGGTTGCATGTGGTTGCTGACGACCAATTCTGACCCGGATCTTCACGGGTCACCATTCCAACGTAACCCATTTTGGAGTAACCCGCTATGACGACCAGTAATAGCGTTCGTGATTTATCTTCTCAAGATTTAAACGTACTCTCTTCTTGAGATATGACGATATACTCTCTACTCCAGAGGTAAATATATACTCTCGGCTCAAGACAAACCTACTCTCTACTCCAGACATAAACAAACTCTCGACTCACGAAATAAATATATACTCTCCACTCAAGACAAACACACTCTCTACTGCAGACAAAAACATACTCTCTTCTCGAGGTATAAACATACTCTCTCCTCAAGACATAAACATACACTATTCTCAAGACATGAACATACTCTCTTCTCAAGACATAAACATACTCTCTTTTCAAGACATAAACATACTCTCTTCTCAAGACATAAACATACTCTCTTCTCAAGACATAAACATACTCTCTTCTCAAGATATGAAACTTATGTTTTCAAATTATTACTGAGTATTTGATACCCGGAAATTTTATCTCGAATCGACCGCGTTAGCCGGAGGTTTCAAATATTAATTATTACCGCCAAATCTGGAATTGAGAAAAAAATACTTATTATGAAATGTGAAAATCGTCCGGAGGATTTCCGGGATACAATCCCATTTAACAACGATTTTCAAACAATCACATTGCAGCACGCACGCTTACCATTTTGCATATTTATTTTTTCTATTTCTAAATATTTCATTTTTACTAAGAACAATCGTAAATTTAGGTTTGAGCGGTTGTTAGATCGAAATAAAAATAAATTCGATCAATCTATTTAAAAACGGAGAAGGGAAGAGAAAAAAATGTTATGTGGCGTTATCACAAAAAAAACAATGGAAGCACAATCATCTGATGTCCATCCCTAGTACAGCTGCATCACAATGATAACTCGACATGGTAAATTAGGAAAACCATCGCCCGTTCACAACCAGTGCAATCCTACTGTAAGTCAAGTATTTGCCAATTATCGCCTTGATCAAAGCCCGAAAACCAAGATCAGACTCACTTAAAGCGATCCTAATTGAGCGCGACACCTGGACTCGACATTGAGAGTACTCCATTCTATTTGCATCTTTTGTGTGGATTTGGGGGGATTAGTGGAATGCCTGATAACCCACTGATAAGGAAATACTACCCCAGAGCGGGTTTCCTGTCATTCCCGTGGTCGGGTTCTTAACAGTGCGCTGCTTAAGGATTTAGTTCACGGGGTCGTTCGAAGCACGTAAATCTCTACTGACCATGAGTGACAGTGAATGTGTTTGGCACCTCTGATACGATAAGAAATGCCTGCTTTCATCGGAAAACGTATTTATTTCAATGGGAAACATACCAACCTAACCTATTGTATGGCACTGCCAGTGAAAGAAGTGTTATTTGCACCGTGTGGAGATTCAGCAATGTATTATATGGACACATCATTGGGCCGTCTGCAGTTTTTTTTGTGTTTCTCATCTAACTTCGGTCAAATTACTGCCCCTCTATAAAAAAGGTATATAGGTTATAAGTCCCAGTTTCATAAAAAGATATGTTCCCTGTATTTGTATCACAAGAATATACGAAGAAGGCGAGTAACTCTGCCTCTAACGCCGCTTTTAACACTTTTCCAGTTATATCACGGCGTGTCAGCTTAATGTGGGAGGAAAGCCCGAAGTGATGCGAATCTCAGACGTTTACCACTTCGGTGAAACCCACGAGCACGGGTATGGTGCTGACAAACCTAGAAACATAATCATTCGAACCCACAATCATAGGTTTCTGGCGTGCCCAAGGGACGCAACTCTGCACAGCGAATCGCGGCGCGTTAGACGACTGCACCGGTTACCCGTATGTTCAGTTACTACCACTGGTGTGTAATACCAACATCAGCACGATCGCTTTAGTATGACCAATAGGGCTGACTCATCCTTTGGGGTTTCAGGGGCCACGGGTGGCCCAGTCGTCTAAGGCGCCGCGATTCGCTGTGCAGAGTTGCGGCCCTTGGGCACGCCAGAAAACTTTGATTGTGGGTTCGAATCCCGGTTCGCCCTGATTATATTTGTAGGTTTGTCAGCACCATACCCGTGCTCGTGGGTGTCACCGAAGTGGTAAAGGTCTCAGACCTGCATCACTTCGGGCGTTCCTCCCACATTAAGCTAATAAGCAACATAACTGGAATACTGTTGGCGTTAAAGCCAACTCACTAAATCACTTTAAGGTTTCAATCATAAATAGAAGGCCTGCAGTCTACAACGATGTGAATGTCCCTGATGACACCTGCGGTGCCCTACCGCCAGGCCTGGGCTGTGTTAATGACGATACACTGAGGGACTTCCAAAGAGTTTTTTTCTGAGTTGTTTAAAAAAACAGGTCAAGAGCATCAAAGACATCAGTTACATCCAAAATCGATCTGAACAAATCGTTAAGTGTCGCTTCTTCTGAAGACCCTACTTCAGTACATAAAAAAGATGACACGGAGTGGAGAAATGTTTGAGTTGTGTGGATTGACTTTAAGGAAAAGTTTTTGTGGTGATAATTACTTATTTCCGTCAACGTGTCAAGGATATATGCCTGCAAAGAAAACCTAATTAAGAAACTCATGTTTGTAATGCAATGCAAGAATAAATACGCGTTAGTTTATTGTGTGATATCAGAGGCGGATACAGCTTTTTTGAAAGGGGTGGGTGGGGTGCACAACTGAGATCTATTTATTGTCTTTGGTGGTAAATTATACAGAAATAAAGATTTTTTTCGAAATAAAAAGGGGGGGTGCGCACCCACCACCCCCACCCCCACAATGTGTATCGAGTGTTATTTTAACAACTCGAGCAAGTAAAAAAGTGGAACTGGTTTTGAAACGAAACGAAACGAATTTGAGTTCACCAATTCAGTGAATACATTTCAGTTTTCTTGTACATATTTCAGTTTTTGACACCAACCAAGGAGTTAATCCCCTCCTAAAACTACACCACACATCAAAGGCGTACCGGCGGGTCGTCGTCCTGCGAATGGAAAAATTCGGGGGGTCGTCGTCCTGCGAATACCCCGTATCAACCTATAGCTAGTCACAGAGCCTGACCACCCGTAACGTTTGTCGCCTGTGACGATAAGCTTGGTAGACTAATCCTGACCTAGATCTTCACGGGTATAGTGTGCTGTGAAACAAGTGAGTTGACTTTGACCTGGTGACCTTGTCTACCCCAGTTTGTGACATGTGCACTGAGAGAGACTCTCTAACCGTGGCTCTGTGATATCCTCCTGAACATCCAACTTGGCTCACCCTGGTGTGGATTCAGAGTTAGAATAGGCCTCCGACAACCCATACTTGTCATACGAGGCGACTTATGTTTTTTTTGTTTATTTAACGCCGCACTTGGCAATATACCAGCTGTATGACGGCGGTTTGTTAATAATCGACAATCCAGTGATTGGCATCATATTAGCATCGACCCACGCCATTGGGATACGATGACATGCATCAACCAAGTCAGCAAGCCTGACCATCCGATCCCGTTAGTCTCCTCTTACGACAAGCATAGTCGCCCTTTACGACAACCATGGGTTGCTGAAGACATATTCTACCCCGGATCTTCACGGCAAGCATGTGATGGGTTGCTGAAGACCTATTCTACCCCGGATCTTCACGGGTCGGCGATTTAATTGAACGGTGGGTCAGACTCGGTAAATTGGTCGATTGCGTGTCATCATGGTCAGAGACGCATGCGCAAACCAGTTTTGTGCATAGTCCAGACTCGGTTGTTCCGGCCACTGCCACACGGTGGGGAACTTGTGCTGCGTTAAAATACAAACAAACAAACATGGGTGTTTCATGCGTAGACATTCACAGGTGGTGAGCAAAATCTGTGGAAATCTGGGAATTAAACAGGGTATGTTTGTTCCGACTATATACCATCTTGTAGACGAGAATTCGAAATTGAAAGTTGTGAGTAGAGTGGTCTTAAATTACTTTCACAGGTCCTATTGACATGTGAAAAGTGAGAATGGGTCATTTCCCACCTAATATATTAGTACAAACAATCTGACCATGTTAAAATAAGCTAGCACCGACTTATTTTAGCAGATTTGGCAGTTCATTCCAAGGGTGGCACAGCGTCACGCGATAGGCTTGTATATATCTACCCGTATTCCCCTTGATTCATACCCATAGGAACTCAACTGTTGTTCTGGGAAGTGTCTGGGAATTTAGTAAGCACGGTTTGCTGGATAATACTGGGTGAGAAATAATTGTGTGTCGAAACGGTAACCGAAAATATGCAGCAGCATCTATCAAAGTTTTTCAATCGTTTGTAGGATAAATGTACTCAAAACACAAAATCATTTCCGCTACATTTAAATAATTTTGGGTTTGAGGCGAAATTGCTATTGAAAAAATGTCAAAATAACTGTCAGGCGTACCTATGTTTGGTGCCTTCCAGCATTCCTCGCAGAACTTTGTTTTCTGTCGACACCCAGTTGAATCGTATAAATGTGTCCAGCACTTTGTTTTAAAATGGAAATTATGCGACTGGTGCTTAGAAGAATTTCTAACTGTCAGTGTCAGTGTCAGTGTTTGTTGACTAATATTTAAATTAGTCTATTATCATGTGCTGTGCTTTAAAGGGAATAATCTTTGTTTTGGTTTCCCATTTAACGAAAAACGATTTATACGTTAATTAATATCGACAGAAGTGTCGTAAAATCACCGTCAGTCGTTAAACAACATTATAAGCCTTGATTACTTTCCAAAGAACTATACAATCAGTGCATCATTTTATACAAATTCTTTTTCATTTCGAAGCATAAATTGATATCTATAGCAGACCAAATTTTGAAGCGTTTTGTGTGAAAGAAACAGAGGTTACTTGTTTAAGCGAAGGGAAGATGTTGCTTGTGGTATTCAAATGACAGAGACAGTTAGAGTTATCTCCCTTAGTCAAACCAAAACAAAAAGTAGATGTGCAAGTATTTCAAGAAGAAGGGGACCTGCGTGGAGCTCTAATGGCTACTCTATCCCGATTCCGTGGCAGTTTAGTGGGGGCAGTTCTGGGAGACTGCATAGGAGCTATATACGAGTGTGAAGGGAATGTCAAACTCAAAGACGTGCTGAAGACCGTGAAGGATCTTGAAACAAGTTGGTGCCTTTACCATAATACTGATTTTGTAACATCAAAAAGATCGGTAACTTTTCTAAAGCGTACATTTAGAAAAAAACAACTTAACTGCTTAAGATTTATGTAATATTTAAGCTTGTATAAACTTTTGTTACCAATTGCCAAGATTGCAGTCAGACGTTTGGCCACCGTCTGAATGCAACCTGGTTGAGTTGATGAAGTCACCAAAATATCCTATTGCCATTTGTGTCAGGCAAACTCACTGCAATCTCCTATCTCTAACATCCTTATAATGATTGAAACCACGCGACACAGTATTGCTGTATTGCTAAATCAGTGTCAATTATGAATCAGAGTACATTGTGACAAGTATTGATATTTGGCAATACTTCCATGACTACTTACATGCAGTTTCTATGTTTTATTGAAGTTATTAAACTTGACAGTTAACTTAAGATAAGACTGACAGTTAACTTTCTAGGGGTGTGTATTAAATGTATATCACAATTACTGTGAATCTAGTGTGTGATATGTCACACACTAGATTCACAGTAATTGTGATATACATTTAATACACACCCCTAGAAAGTTAACTGTCAGTCTTATTCTGCTCTTTCTCTTCAGACTTTAAGAAATTGAAAGATGGCGAGAAACTGGAGCTTCTACCTTTCACAGACGACACGGCCATGGCTAGAAGTGTGGCTGCATCACTCGTTGCCAAGAAAGGTTTTGATGTCAAGGATATGGCAAAAAGGTCTCAACATATGTTTCAAGTCTGTATTTCAATTGGGTTTCAAAAGGATTTCAGTGGTGTTCACAAGTTTGTTTAACCAGTACATCAATACCCTACAATGGTCAGGTTAGCTTAAATAACATTATATTCACAGTGTCCTCCAGTCTATACATGTCTGTCTGCCCTACAATCTCTGAAATTTAAAAACAAATGATTTGGGGTTGTGATTCACCTGCAAAAAGAGTATCAACTTATGAAATAAAAGTACTGTATCAAGGTCGCACCCATAGTATCGAGATACACTTGTATCACGTCTCCATTGTATCGTCACACCTTTACGATATACTCAACAAATACAAATGTAGCAAATTTTTTACCTTAGGCAAGCCTATTTCTAGTCCTCTAGTCATGATAACTTGAAGGAAAGTATTGATATTGGTATTATTTCACAAAGTGTTGACAGATGTTAGGTTTTCAGCATGTTGAGGTACCAGGAAATACCACAAGAAATTCACTGACTCTTCTTACTTCTAATTAACTACGATAAATAGCCAGTCCCTCAACCAAGCAAAGAAGATAAGCAGACTGACGTTAGCCAGTCAGGACAAAACAATTTGAAAAGTCATACCCTGGGTTGAAGTTTACTGCAGGGATGTGAAATCTCCGCGGAAACGCGTAGTCCTCGGGAAAAAAACATCTTCCGCGTAAAAATTTAATAAAATTTTTAAAAAAAAACACTCCGAAAAATATGATCGAAAACCGGACAATTGGCGCGGATTGTCCTGTTTTCGATCAGAGCTTTCATAGCTTAGGTTTTCGGACATTATACGTTTTCTGTCACGAATACTTGCACTATAACGTGGGGTGTGGCGTCACACAGAAATTGTAAATACTCAGAGTCAGCTGATGGCTTGTTTTTAAGATAAAGTTGTCTTTTAATCCTGTAAGTGAATGAGATGTTTTACAGTTGTTCATGTGATAAGCGAGAAAACTATGAATGTTTCTTCAGCGTCCAAAACCCCATGTCATGGGGATATATGTTGTATTAATGTCTTATGTTTGCAATGGAGTTTTGTTTTTTTCATCAAAAGGTAAGTACAAGGTAAGTTTTTTGTCAATATGCTTCAACATGGGGAAAGGGTCAGACATTGCACGCTTGTGACAGTTGTCCTTGTGTCTGGGGGATGGGGGTTTAAGTTTATTGCAGTATTGCTCCCAGACCTGGCGGGTAGCCAGGTGCGCGAAAGCTATGCCCAATTTTATAAAAGTACTGATTTAACTTCAAAATTTTACTGCATCTGCCATCTTGTTTATTTGACTTATTGACTTTGGCCATTGACTTATTACATTTCTTGGTGTGAATGTTGTCCAAACTGCACGAAATTGCTTAAAATGCAATCAAATGTTTTAAAAATTTCTGGGGGGGGCATGCCCCCAGACCCCCCTAGACTTTTCCTCTTTTTTTCGGGAAAACCTGCTTACATCCCTGTTACTGGCATTTGTTCAGTGGAATAGCATATTTTTCAAAAGCTGAATATATATACTACTGATAGTACTCAAGGGTAGTTAAGGACAGCCCAATTCTTTCATATATACTGTAGTTAATCTGGCATGGCATGACAGATATGAAAGAACCATGACAGACATGAAAGAATGGTGCTTAACTTCTTTTGAGTAGAATACCGTCAGGCCCCTTATTGTCACTCTAACTTTCTGACAGGTTTACAGATGAGTTTCACCTGGAGCCGAACCGCGGCTATGGCGGGAGTGTGGGAGCAGTGTTTGCTGCCTTGAGGAAAGATGACCCTGACGATGTGTTTGAGCCTGCAAGGAAGCAGTTTGATGGTCAAGGCTCCTATGGCAATGGTGGCGCCATGAGGATAGCTCCCGCAGCACTAGGCTGCCTGAAACAGGGATTTGAAAATCTCAAAGTGAGAACAATGACAATGTCTTTAAGTTTATATAGATGAATCATGAAATAGATAATCTTGAATTAAAACTGGTGTTATTAGGTATTCCATAGCATGCCAAATTGTAGATTGTATTTTTACAACCATGAAATAAAGGAATAGCAGGCTTGTATATTTTTTAGAAATAGAAACTTGAAGATCATTCATTTTTTAAAGACCTACTTTATTTGGGCTGATACTTAAAACATTATTTTTAACACCAAAATGATCCCTACAAAACGCCATTTGTTTCAGTTATATCCTTGATCCCAGTGTGGCCTTCTCTGTTAATGCTCGTCATCACTCAGATGTTTATAGCAATAATCAGGACTGCAACAATTATCAATGATTAATTATCTTTTATATTCTTATTTTGAAATTATGACATGACATGACATGACATGACACAACTGTAGTAAGTAGGTTGGACATGTGTTCCTACTTGAGCAAGTTGATGAGGACAGACGCCTGTGGACAGAGATGATGGTCACCTAATGCCAGCGTCCTCGTCCTTCGTGAAGTGAAGTTGGTTATGAACAATGACAAATGTTGCATTCATCCTATGCTTATACAGCTACATGACAACAGACTATGGATTCTATAGTTTTATGTCATCCAGTTTCAATTAGACATGATAGTAGATTCATAATTTGATCACATTATTCACTAATTTTTCGATCATGAATCTCCAGTACTGTTACTGATGTGTTGAACATGTGAAAAGAATGGCTTGTTAATTCAGTGTCGTTTCCATGGTAACAGTGCTAGCAGTGCTTTTTGTGGTGTTATGTTCCTTGGTAAGCAAGTCAATCTTGTAAAAATCAGATTTTTTGCCCCGACCAGATACCTCTCTGTCCAGATCCAGGTTTCCTGAGGCAATCAGGTTTCAGCTTTCCAAAATGATACATCAGAATTTTTTATCTCAACAATACCAACGCTATATGGCTCAGACACAGCTAGAGCTGCCTTTATATTTCTCCACTTCATTTTTGAGGTACAGAAATCAGATGTGCTCCAAATGGATGTAGAATGTTAGAGTTTAATGGAGAGGGGTATTGAATTAGATTTAAGGATCTGATTTGAATGAGATTGTGTAACCATGGTAACCAGTTAGCCAGTATGTATTGTATATCTTTTCTTGTTTTCCAGACTGTAACAGTGGATATCAGCCAGATAACTCATTCCCACCCCCAGGCAATCCAGGGGGCCGTGTTACAGAGTAGTGCCGTGGATCTGGCGCTCAGGGAGGACCAATCAGAACAGTTAGACAGGGATCGCTTCTTGGACAAGCTTATTGAGAGAATAAAGCCCATGGAAGAGGAAGAACTGAAGAAATCAAAGGAGACAGTGACGGACTCGCCATCTCCGAAACGTAAAGCTAAGAGGTAATGCTTTGTATTGTCAAACGGATATATGCTAAAAGGAGTATACTTTTACCATGTACAAAGTTGATGATGTCTGCTGTTGTTTTATTGTGTTCACTCTGCAGCTCAAACTGTCACTCACCCGTGAAGATCCAGGGTAGAATAGGTCTTCAGCAACCCATTCTTGCCGTAAAAGGCGACTATACTTGTCGTAAGAGGCGACTAACGGGATCAGGTGGTCGTGCTCGCTGATTTGGTTGATGCATGTCATCGTATCCCAATTGCGTGTATTGATGCTCATGATGTCAATCACTGGACTGTCTGTCTGTCTTGATTATTTACAGACAGCCGTCATATAGCTTGAATAATGCTGAGTGCAGCTTTAAAAGACAAATCTCTCGAACAAACAAACCAATGAAAGAACAAACTTTCATGTATCAGAGGGGGCACGGGTGGCCCAGTCGTCTAAGGCGCCGCGATTCGCTGTGCAGAGTTGGGTCCCTTGGGCACGCCAGAAACCTATGATTGTGGGTTCGAATCCCGGGTCGCCCCGGTTATGTTTCTCGGTTCGTCAGCACCATACCCGTGCTCGTGGATTTCACCGAAGTGGTAAAGGTCTGAGACCTGCATCACTTCGGGCTTTCCTCCCACATTAAGCTGTCATGCAGTGATATAACTGGAATACTTTTAAAAGCGGCATTACACCCAACTCACTCGCTCACACTCATGTATAAGAAGTTTCTTACGACCTTCTTTAGTCACTCTGTCATCAGTATGAAGCAATGTAGCGGATACAGTGTCCTTGTTGCTATGTCAAACTTTGAATATGATACAGGAAAAATTGTTTGTGAGCAGTGAAAAGTCCACAGATTTCTGGGCTTCGAGTCACAAGTAGGGATGTCATGATAAACCCAAATATCGATATATTGCTGTTGGTAAGCACTTAAAGTCAATAAATCGATTGTTAAATCAGTGTCTGAACAATAGTATCGATATCAGTTAGGAATATCGATAGTTTCGCTTGTATTTACCATATCAATAAAATACATACAATGCTGTTCAAATTTGTTTTTCTTTTGATCATGAGTGGTAGTAATTTACTCATGGCAATGTGGAAGTTTCTTTTTCTTAAATTATTAGGGTAAAGAAAAAACAAATCAATCATATCTCAAACTTTACTTTTTATTTGTTGTTATGGTTATCACATTCAAAGGAAACTTCAGTTCCAAGGTTGGATTTAACTCTAATTTCAATCTTAAATGATACACTGGAAACTATCGATTTTTATCGCAATAGTTGCTTGCAATATCAATAGTTACTGTATTCGGGACAATATTTGCTAATATATTGGCTAGTGAACAATCCCAATTAGCACCCTTTCCGATTAATCAATGTACACAAGAATTATTTATTCGTGTAGAATACGCACTTGTGTGTTATATGCACCCTTAATTATGGGCAATTAAATTCTCGAAAATATATCTATCATGTATAAAACAGACAGATTTTTCTTTTATATCATTTCAGGCTGTCAGCATAAACCACAAAATTTACAATCTTTCAACCTCGTTTTTAATCTCACCAAAATTATATTCTAATAAGAGCCCCCTATTTCTAATTTTGAGAGTGCCCTGGGCGCTTATTACGTTGAATATGGTATCGCAATAGTTTCTTTCAAGATCAATAGTTATCGCAATAGTAATTTCCAGACCAGTAGTCACCCCTGGTCACAACTGTTTTCACTCAGATTGCAGCAAACACTCCCATTTGTTTTACAATGCACAGTAGCTACGTTGTCTTTTCAGTTGGATGAAATCACCTAGATTTGAAAACTATGTATACATGGAAAAAGTTAAATACACAGACCTGTGGACATCCATAATTTGCACGTGAATGTCTCTGGCTGACCAGGCAACTTAACACTTAACTTCCCTAACCCATCTTCCCGAGGCAAGGGAGTTAACTGATTTGTCAATCTAGGCTGGAATTCCGGAGTTACAGTTTGGCTGGTCAACGAATCTGTGCATAATCCAATCAAAATCGTGTAAAAAACTAGGCATCCGTTTCATAAACAACATGGATTTCAACATGCAGATTTTGGTCAACTACATGATTTACAAACATGTGTATCGTGAACTTGGCATCGACAGATGTTTTCCAAATGTTTTAATGTTTTAATCAAGGTTCTCAAGTAATTTGGGACACTTTCTTGACATTTATAACAATGTAGATCTTGATCGTCTTGAGGAGGCACTGCCATTTTGTTTGAAGCAAATGCAAGTGATATGAGAGGTGGAATCTGATTGGCCAATAGGAGGGACATAGAAGGGACTCGTAATAGCCACTAGTGGCCACTAAATTCCGGCCTAGTTTGGCAAAGGTGGAAACAGGACGTGTACAGTCAGTTGACTCCCTTGCCTCGGGAAGATGTCCTGAACCATGCCAACTTCATCCCTGGGGTTAATGAATTTAGTTTAAACAGGTCACCAGACGTCAGTGGTCTCACAGGCACAGTGCAGTAATGTCATGTAGAGTAGAGTTAGAGTAGACACCATGATGTGTCAAACATTCCACCAATTTGTTCTTTGTTCATTCTGTATGTAAACAAAAACAGATGACCATTGATTTTAGGATTACTAGTCTTGATTAATGTTTACTGGCATGTGTCTCCTGGGCAAGCGTATTTGTTGAGCCCTAAATTAGTGCCTGTGAATCTTATGCAGGACATTGAAGTGTTGACATCGGATTGTTTTCAATGTTTCAGAAAGTCAGACACAGTGGAGATGCCATATTGTCATAAACTGGAAAAGATGAAAGAGTTCCTCCGGAAAGATGTGTCCGTCAGTACCATTGAAGAAGAATTGGGTAACGGAAACTGTCCTCAATAATTGTCACATGATAATAATCTTATGAAATAATGTCACGTGATGTATCGTCTGAGAAGTCTGAAGTATTTTCTCGATGTATGATCCTAGATTCCACTGAACTATCTTCACTTCAACGAAATAATTCAGAGCTTGATAGTAAGGATGTTCAAGTTGTCTAGTTCCATTAGGCATAGGGGCGGTCGGGTAGCCTAGTGGTTAAAGCGTTCGCTCGTCACGCCGAAGACCCGGGTTCGATTCCCGACATGGGTACATTGTGTGAAGCCCATTTCTGGTGTTCCCTGCCGTGATATTGCTGGAATATTGCTAAAAGCGGCATGGCTTTGAATCCCACTTTGGAACAAATGAGTCAGCGCGACACCATTTCCCCCTGCTCATGGTTGTCTAAAACGTGTTAAAACGTCGACCACTTCCACCAGTGCTGCTTTGGGGCTTCCTCTGACATTGTGATATACGCAGACTTCGACTAACCACTTGTCCGAAGTTCGTGTCAAGTAAAGTTCTGTTCGGTCTTGTAGGATCAGCTAATAAAATGCCATATGACAACAGTAAATGTTTAAAATGATTCCAAGTTTGGGGTACTGGACTCAAAGGGTTTTGGCACAGACTGTATACAGCTCACTTCTCAGAGGGTGTCAGGTTTTCTCCGTCTCTGTTACAGGCAATGATATCTCTGCCCTGGGATCTGTCCCTGCAGCCGTGTACAGCTTCTTGAAGGCGTACAAGGAAATACCTGGCATTAAGGTGAGATATAGCTTCTTGAAGGCGTACAAGGAAATACCTGGCATTGAGGTGAGATATAGCTTCTTGAAGTCGTACAAGGAAATACCTGGCATTAAGGTGAGATATAGCTTCTTGAAGGCGTACAAGGAAATACCTGGCATTGAGGTGAGATATAGCTTCTTGAAAGCGCACAAGGAAATTCCTGGCATTGAGGTGAGATATAGCGTCTTGAAGGCGTACAAGGAAATACCTGGCATTGAGGTGAGATATAGCTTCTTGAAGGCGTACAAGGAAATTCCTGGCATTGAGGTGACATATAGCTTCTTGAAGGCTTACAAGAAAATACCTGGCATTGAGGTGAGATATAGCTTCTTGAACGCGTACAAGGAAATATCTGGCATTGAGGTGAGATATAGCTTCTTGAACGCGTACAAGGAAATTCCTGGCATTGAGGTAAGATATAGCTTCTTGAAGGCGCACAAGAAAATACCTGGCATTGAGGATAGATATAGCTTCTTGAAGGTGTACAAGGAAATATCTGGCATTGAGGTGAGATAAAGCTTCTTGAAGGCGCACAAGGAAATACCTGGCATTGAGGTGAGATATGGCTTCTTGAAGGCGTACAAGGAAATTCCTGGCATTGAGGTGAGATATAGCTTCTTGAAGGCGTACAAGGAAATACCTGGCATTGAGGTGAGATATAGCTTCTTGAAGGCGCACAAGGAAATACCTGGCATTGAGGTGAGATATAGCTTTTTGAAGGTGTACAAGGAAATACTTGGCATTGAGGTGAGATATAGCTTCTTGAAGGCATACAAGGAAATTCCTGGCATTGAGGTGAGATATAGCTTCTTGAAGGCGTACAAGGAAATACCTGGCATTGAGGTGAGATATAGCTTCTTGAAGGCGTACAAGGAAATATCTGGCATTGAGGTGAGATATAGCTTCTTGAAGGCGTACAAGGAAATACCTGGCATTGAGGTGAGATATAGCGTCTTGAAGGCATACAAGGAAATTCCTGGCATTGAGGTGAGATATAGCTTCGTGAAGGCGTACAAGGAAATACCTGGCAATGAGGTGAGATATAGCTTCTTGAAGGTGTACAAGGAAATATCTGGCATTGAGGTGAGATATAGCTTCTTGAAGGCGTACAAGGAAATACCTGGCATTGAGGTGAGATATAGCTTCTTGAAGGCGTACAAGGAAATTCCTGGCATTGAGGTGACATATAGCTTCTTGAAGGCGTACAAGAAAATACCTGGCATTGAGGTGAGATATAGCTTCTTGAACGCGTACAAGGAAATATCTGGCATTGAGGTGAGATATAGCTTCTTGAACGCGTACAAGGAAATTCCTGGCATTGAGGTGAGATATAGCTTCTTGAAGGCGCACAAGAAAATACCTGGCATTGAGGATAGATATAGCTTCTTGAAGGTGTACAAGGAAAACCTGGCATTGAGGTGAGATATAGCTTCTTGAAGGCGTACAAGGAAATACCTGGCATTGAGGTGAGATATAGCTTCTTGAAGGCGTACAAGGAAATTCCTGGCATTGAGGTGAGATATAGCGTCTTGAAGGCGTACAAGGAAATACCTGGCATTGAGGTGAGATATAGCGTCTTGAAGGCATACAAGGAAATTCCTGGCATTGAGGTGAGATATAGCTTCTTGAAATTCCTGGCATTGAGGTGAGATATAGCTTCTTGAAGGTGTACAAGAAAATTCCTGGCATTGAGGTGAGATATAGCTTCTTGAAGGCTTACAAGGAAATTCCTGGCATTGAGGTGAGATATAGCTTCTTGAAGGTGTACAAGGAAATATCTGGCATTGAGGTGAGATATAGCTTCTTGAAGGCGTACAAGGAAATACCTGGCATTGAGGTGAGATATAGCTTCTTGAAGGCGTACAAGGAAATTCCTGGCATTGAGGTGACATATAGCTTCTTGAAGGCGTACAAGAAAATACCTCGCATTGAGGTGAGATATAGCTTCTTGAACGCGTACAAGGAAATATCTGGCATTGAGGTGAGATATAGCTTCTTGAACGCGTACAAGGAAATTCCTGGCATTGAGGTGAGATATAGCTTCTTGAAGGTGTACAAGGAAAACCTGGCATTGAGGTGAGATATAGCTTCTTGAAGGCGTACAAGGAAATTCCTGGCATTGAGGTGAGATATAGCTTCTTGAAGGCGTACAAGGAAATACCTGGCATTGAGGTGAGATATAGCTTCTTGAAGGCGTACAAGGAAATTCCTGGCATTGAGGTGAGATATAGCTTCTTGAAGGCGTACAAGGAAATTCCTGGCATTGAGGTGAGATATAGCGTCTTGAAGGCGTACAAGGAAATATCTGGCATTGAGGTGAGATATAGCGTCTTGAAGGCATACAAGGAAATTCCTGGCATTGAGGTGAGATATAGCTTCTTGAAATTCCTGGCATTGAGGTGAGATATAGCTTCTTGAAGGTGTACAAGGAAATTCCTGGCATTGAGGTGAGATATAGCTTCTTGAAGGCGTACAAGGAAATTCCTGGCATTGAGGTGAGATATAGCTTCTTGAAGGCGCACAAGGAAATACCTGGCATTGAGGTGAGATAAAGCTTCTTGAAGGTGTACAAGGAAATTCCTGGCATTGAGGTGAGATATAGCTTCTTGAAGGCGTACAAGGAAATTCCTGGCATTGAGGTGAGATATAGCTTCTTGAAGGTGTACAAGGAAATACCTGGCATTGAGGTGAGATATAGCTTCTTGAAGGCGTACAAGGAAATTCCTGGCATTGAGGTGAGATATAGCTTCTTGAAGGCGTACAAGGAAATACCTGGCATTGAGGTTAGATAAAGCTTCTTGAAGGTGTACAAGGAAATACCTGGCATTGAGGTGAGATATAGCTTCTTGAAGGCGTACAAGGAAATTCCTGGCATTGAGGTGAGATATAGCTTCTTGAAGGCGTACAAGGAAATACCACAGGCCCTTGTGTCATTGCTTAGATGTATCTAGATATATTATATCGCCTGAGAGACACACCTGCACTGTCCTACATATCATTACACGAGGCCAGACACTCCTTGTGTCACTGTTTCTAAAGTAAAATCGCAAATCATGCACAAAAACTTTCTGTATACAAGATTCTTTATTGCTATGAAATAATAATCAAAATAGTTAAATATTAATGTTTTTTTACTTATCCTGCATTACCCCTTAATGCATTCACTGTTTACCTTGCGACAAAAAAACGGGACATGTACTGGCGATAGTCCTGGGTGAAGAATTAAAAAACTGTTCATAGTCCCACTTTTCACGACCACCGCCACTGTCCTGTGCCCTCTGTGACCCTAGATCATCTCTTCACATCACTGCCTGTCGCGCTACAGCATGGACGTGTACCAGCGGAGCTCTCATTTTGGATTTATTTAGACCTTCAGTTTTCGTCTACAATTCTAAAAGTCATCTGCGATGGGTGATGTATTCTTTTCATATTACTCTCACCATGTTGTGCAGTTGTGTATGATTAATGTAGGCGTAAAAAAGACTTTGTCTTTTTTCCTGCCACGTGCTGTTTGTTCACCGCCATTTTGAATTGTGTTACAATTGTTTGCCTGTCAAGGTAGTCAATTTGTTTACAGTTTCCCAGCTACGTATGTATAACATATTTGTATACACCCATTGTGATCCACAGGCTTGGGCGGTGGACGCGTTCAGCATTCCTTGGGAAGGACTAAAAGTTTACGCTTTTCAGCCACCAGTTTTACTTCCCAGGGAAATACAAAAGATCAAGGAGACGAGGAGACTTGCTCTGACTTTGGGTGCTCCTTGGTTGCCGGCATGAGGGTGGTTCGTCGAGCTCAGAAATCTAGCAGAAGACAATCCACTACCCCTCCCACAGTTGTCCAACCTACTTATCCACCCTCACAGCAAATTGCCTCATCCAACACCAGACAGGTTTCGTCTGCACTGTTGGTTTTTCTTAAAAAGGCGTTAAGTGCAAAGGGCTATTCGGCACAGGCAGCAAAAGCTATAACATTAGCTCATCGTCCCTCTACCAGAGGTCTTTTCGATGACAAGTGGGGATCGTTTGAAACGTTTTGCAAGGCTAAAAGTCAAGACCCTACAACTGTCACCACAGTTCCTAGCTGAATACCTCCTACATTTGCGTACCCAAAGACACTTAGAAGGTAGCACAATTACTACGTACTTGGTTGCACTCAACTTAGCGTTGGCTGTTCCGGAAAATCACAAGGTGATTAAGGTCCCGGATTTACAGGCCCTATTACGCTCATTAAGGCTTGAGGATCAGAAGACCAAGTTCCACCCACCTGATTGGGACTTGAACGTGGTACTTTGAGGTTTGCGAGGACCCCCCTTCGAGCCCCTCTATGCATCCTCTTTTTATGACCTCACCAAGAAAACAGTATTTCTCTTGGCATTAGCCACAGCGGCACGGGTGAGCGAATTACATGCGATCGACATCACCCGGGTTCGTTTTGAGCATGGGACGCACATGGGTGCATCTTGGGTTGTGCTGGGATTTTATTGCAAAGAATCAATAACCAGGCCAACCTGATCGTTTTCCTTCACCATTCCACCAATATAGACTATTTTGGGAAGCGAAGATGAGGGTGAACCCCTATTATGTCCGGTATGGGCACTGCGAATTTTCATCCGCTGTTCCAAGACTAGGCATGGTTCGAGGAAGGGGTTATTTATACTCACATCTACTACGTCCACGACCGAAGTTAGTCGCAACACCATATCTCTATGGTTACCCGCAATCATCCTTCAAGCTTATTCAATCGCCAATCTGGATTCGCCGAGATCAAACAATCCTCACAAGATCAGGGCATTAGCCTCTACCATGGCTTTACACAGCAATTGTGCTATTAAAGCAATCATGGAAGCATGTTTCTGGAGGTCCGACACAGTTTTCGGCAGTCATTATCTTTGCGATGTGACTCTTGAGGAGGTCGAAGGTGTACGAAGTTTTGGTCCATTGGTTGTAGCCCAGCAGGTTAGCACCCCCCGACACAAATAATGAACTCGCCCCTTACAGACCCATTCCAATTTCTGGTGCAGTCGCTCAGAATATTAGACAATCGATTGTCTACAAGGCTCTATGTTGTAGTAAGTAAAGATTTGGCTGATAAGCTAGTCTTTATTACTAAGTTGTGTAGGGAGCTACTCTTTAATTCCATTGTTAAATTGTTTCCACATTGAAATAACCCGACCATAATCATGATAATGGCGTTTTTCTGAACTTTTCCACTTCAAGGTTTATCGGCCAACTGGGGTCAAACCTTCAGGGTGTGAATTATTGAGGTTTCCCTAATTTGAGGGTTTCCCACCTCCAAACCGTCCGATACATATGCATTTAGGAGTAATGCAAGATATGTAAAAATTTAGTACAATCTAAATATTTTTTACATTTGTATACTTATCCTGCATTTCTACGTTTAAGGCCCACCCGTCGGAGACTTGCCTCCCCACTTTGGCTTCAGAAACCTCAAAAGTATATCTTTCTTAAGCTCGGGCGAAAGGCAGTGATGTGAAGAGATGACCTAAGGTCACAGAGGTCACAGGACAGCGGCGGTGGTCGTGAAAAGTGGGACTACGAACAGTTTATTATTTTTTCACCCAGGACCATCGCTGGTACACTGTCCTGTTTTTTTTGTCGCAAGGTAAACAGTGAATGCATTAAGGAGTAATGCAGGATAAGTATACAAATGTAAAAATATATAGATTTTACTAACATTCTGTTGAGGTTAATGTTTTACATTTTCAGACTGACAGTGCTTTCAAAAGGACAATTATTTACGCCATTTCTCTTGGAGGAGACACTGACACCATCGCCACAATGGCGGCGGCTATGGCTGGAGCATACTATGGCTACGAGGCTATTCCTGAATCCTGGCAGGCATCGTGTGAAGGTGTGGAGGATGCCATGAAGTTTGCCCAGGACTTGCTGGAGCTGCAGTAGCTGGGATTTGCCTAGGACTTGCTGGAGCTGCAGTAACTGAGGTTTGCCCAGGACTTGCTGGAGCTGCAGTAACTGAGGTTGGCCTAGGACTTGCTGGAGCTGCAGTAACTGAGGTTTGCCCAGGACTTGCTGGAGCTGCAGTAGCTGGGGTTTGCCCTGGACTTGCTGGAGCTGCAGTAACTGGGGTTTGCCTAGGACTTCCTGGAGCTGCAGTAGCTGGGGTTTGCCCAGGACTTGCTGGAGCTGCAGTAACTGGGGTTGGCCTAGGACTTGCTGGAGCTGCAGTAACTGAGGTTGGCCTAGGACTTGCTGGAGCTGTAGTAACTGAGGTTGGCCTAGGACTTGCTGGAGCTGCAGTAACTGAGGTTGGCCTAGGACTTGCTGGAGCTGCAGTAGCTGAGGTTTGCCCAGGACTTGCTGGAGCTGCAGTAACTGAGGTTTGCCCAGGACTTGCTGGAGCTGCAGTAGCTGAGGTTTGCCCAGGACTTGCTGGAGCTGCAGTAACTGAGGTTGGCCTAGGACTTGCTGGAGCTGCAGTAGCTGGGGTTTGCCTAGGACTTGCTGGAGCTGCAGTAACTGAGGTTGGCCTAGGACTTGCTGGAGCTGCAGTAACTGAGGTTGGCCTAGGACTTCCTGGAGCTGCAGTAACTGAGGTTGGCCTAGGACTTGCTGGAGCTGCAGTAACTGAGGTTGGCCTAGGACTTGCTGGAGCTGCAGTAACTGAGGTTGGCCTAGGACTTCCTGGAGCTGCAGTAACTGAGGTTGGCCTAGGACTTGCTGGAGCTGCAGTAACTGAGGTTGGCCTAGGACTTCCTGGATCTGCAGTAGCTGAGGTTTGCCCAGGACTTGCTGGAGCTGCACTAGCTCTGTAGTAAGACAGACAAAATGTGATGCAAATGTTGACAATGGGAGTCTCAGTCAGTGTGCCTGGTTCTCACAGCCTCATCCTTTGACACGTACAACACAGAGTGTGTGCTGAGGTTGCAAAGTAGTTTCTATGTTTTACACTTCATGTGGGAAGGCACTGGTGTCAACATTTCATTTTGATCAACTCCAAACAGTGAGACAATTTCATATCTTGTCTTATCAACCTATAGTGATAGCATCCTATTGTTCTTATGGGGCCTTCATTTTGTTGATAAACCTCAAAGGTAGTCAACATACTTGAAATCCTGGGGATATCAACATTTTGAAGAACCTCTCGTTACATCACCAAAGGTTAATAAACATCCTTTTTATATGTGTCTAAAATTGATTTTTGACTGGTTAAAAGTCACTATTTCTTTACATGAAAATTCTATGATGTGAATCAAACCTGCAACCTCACATATCATGGTCAGTATTGTAACCTTCTGTTTTCCAACGGAGTCACCGGGGCAGTTGAAGAAAAGGTGGTCAATCTTACTTCAGACTAGTTTAGTTGTCTGCATGCTGCTAGTGGTCTTTCTCACGCCCGCTTTCATCAAATTTGTTTTATACAGCAACTATTGTATTGTTTCACTATAAGGTTTCCCGATGTTTACTTAATCTTTCTGGTATTTCTTGCATTGAGATGGTTCACGAGTTAGTCTGAACACTCCTCCTCTAAGTTATGCTTCAACTATTGAATTGTAATATCTTTTTTAAAATTGACGGAGTCAAAATATAAAATTCTTAATTATTTATTCCCAAGTTCTACATAAACTATTTATCTGTTAATTTCCACCCAAGAATCATCCTCAATTATCCAGTGTAATTTTCACCATTCTGTCATGATAAATACCCAGGGCCCATTTGCTTCCATACATTTGTTTTTGAGCACAATTTAAAAGACACAATACTAAAAATAGACTTCCAATCAAATTACTCTCATGGGCAAGAGAATTTCTGTGTGAAGTTAGTGACAGGAGAATTGTGAGAATGTTGTCACTTCCAACATTCAACTATGAAGGAAATGGTTCGAGGGTATTTTAGTTCCATTTTTTTAGTTCTAGCCCACTGAGCCACAGATTTAACATGAATACCCCACTCAAAGTATACTGACTCCGAGCCAACCAATCCTTGTTTTATCCCTCTACTGACAAGCGCCAGGCAGGGTAACAGCCGGGGATCAATCCACTGATCTTCCACTCTCCGGGCAGACGCTCATTCCACTAGACCACATGGGCGGTCAGATAGTCATGTAAGCCAGGACTAGAAATGTAGTCACTTTATGCAGTAACCGGGGACTCGGTCTCCGCGACTTATAGACATAATACTGTATAAATTATGTCCTAAAATGAGACCTCAACAATCAGGTTACTTTGACATGTTATTTTTGAAAGTGATTTTTTTCCAACCCATTTTAGTCCAATTTTATCTTCTTTGCCCGCGCCACGATGTGTGTGAAGATGTTGATTGAGGCAACAGATGTTCGTATTAGTGATTGGTGTGGAAGTGTATCTGATACGTTGCACAATGTATTTTACATTAATTTATTCCATATGAACAATAAAGGCAGCATAAATACTCCTTGTTACATTTTTTGTTTGTTTAACACCCCACTCAGCAATGTTCCAGCTGTATGACGGTGGCCTGTGAATAATCGAATCTGGACCAGACAAACCAGTGATTATGTTTTGTTTGTTTCTTTCTTTGTTGTTCAACGCTGCACTCAGCAATATTCCATCTCTATGACAGCAGTGAGTAAATAATCAAGTCTGGACCAGACAATCCACTGATTGACTTCATGATCCACGTAATTGGGATACGATGACATGCATCACCCAAGTCAGTGAGCCTGACCACCCAATCCCGTTTGTCGCCGCTTACAACAAGCATAGTCACCATTTACGGCAAACAAGGGTTGCTGAAGAACTGGGGACCATCGGTGGTCCAAGGTGCAGCACTTTGTTGCCTCCCTTAGGCCTGCCAGGATCTCCTGATCATGGTTTTAAATCCCTGTTGCCCTGATTGTGATCCTTAGCGTCAGCAACATACACAAGGTCAGGTTTCACCAACGTGGATAACATGTCTGTCCTGGGACACATCTGGCTTTCCATCCACCCATAGAGGTGTTAAGACCAGGTTACTCGCTCACACACTCACCCTTGATCAATGAGTGAGTGAGTATGGTTTTACACCGCTTTTAGCAATATTCCAGCAATATCATGGCGGTGCACACCAGAAATGGGCTTCACACATTGTACCCATGTGGGGAATCAAACCCGGGTCTTTGGCGTGACAAGCGAACACTTTAACCACTAGGCTACCCCACCACCCCCTTTTGCAATGATAACATCCTGGAATGGCTCTAGTACACATAACATTAGCCTCACTGTGAATAGCTGCAAGATAGCTGATGTAGCGGTACGGAAGAAATCCCTCTTTGAGGAAGGGGTGCATTCAAATGTTGTCCCTTACAGGTACTTGTTGCAGGTACAGTCCGTTTGGCTCGAAATCGGGAATCAATACAGTACATTCAAGATGTGAACTTGTACACGTAACAACACGATAGTTTCTTTAACAAATTTTTCCACTGATGGGAATAAAAATAACAAACAGCAGGTGAGGTGAAATAGGGTTTAAGTCGCTTCCAAGACTATTGCACTTATATAGCGATGTGCATGCACGTGTATGTGTGTGTGTGTGTGCGCGTGGCTGCTTGTACTAGTCCGGACTGATGCCGATTTATAGTGCTAGCCCACTGAGATACCATGCCGCAGTTTAACATGTATACCCCACTCAGACACAGCATACTGACTCCGAGGCGACCAGTCCTTGTTTTAGCCCCTTAATGCCGAGCGCCAGACAGGGTAACAACAAGTGCCATCTTTTAACGTCTTTTGGCATGACACGGCCGGGGATCAAACCCCGGACCTTCCGCTCTCCGGGCGGACGCTCTACCACTAGACCGCGGAGGCGGTCAACAAACAGCAGATATTGTTTGGTACAGGGTATTCATTGCCGTGTACCATAGAGACATTTGATAGACTATTTCCCGATTTTGAGTTATTTTGCCATTCATCATTTTCATTTGGAGCCAAACGGACTGGAATCACTATCGATATTTAGGACACCTCGTCCTTCTCCTCATGTCTCGTCTCCAGAGGATTACGGCAACAGGATATGAATCGGAGGACCCACTAAATCTGTTACTTTTAATACAAGGTCTATGGAATGGACCCCTTGACTTCATCCTTAATTATAACAAATGTATATTACAGATGCATCAACAAAATTAACCCTTTTTGCCAGTGTGAAAGTCAGTCATTGGACCAAGTGTTGTTTTTTTTTGTGCTTTCAAACACTGCTAATGTTTCGGAGAACAGTCTGTGTTGTGAGGAGCTCCACTTTGGATGGTTTGGGTTTCCCTGTACTCAAAGCCTTGCATGCTATAAGAAAAGGTTTTACCATGTGGCATTCTTAAGTGAGTGAGTGAGTGAGTATGGTTTTATGCCACTTTTAGCTATATTCGAGCAATATCACAGCGGGGGACACCAGAAATGGGCTTCACACAATGTACCCATGTGAGGAAATAGGTGAGGTGAAGTGAAATGGGGTTTAACGTCGCGTCCAAGTTTATTGCACTTATATAGCGACGTGCATGCACGTGTATGTATGTGGCTGCTTGTACTAGTCTGGACTGATGTTGATTTATAGTGCTAGCTCACTGAGATACCATGCCGCAGTTTAACATGAATACCCAACTCAGACACAGTATACTGACTCCGAGCCGACCAGTCCTTGTTTTAGCCCCTTAATGCCGAGCGCCAGACAGGGTAACAACAAGTACCATCTTTTAACGTCTTTTGTTATGACGCGTGTAAGGCGCCGCGATTTGCTGTGCAGAGTTGCCAGAAACCTATGATTGTGGGTTCGAATCCCGGTTCGCCCCGATTATGTTTCTAGGTTTGTCAGCACCATACCCGTGCTCGTGGGTTTCACTGAAGTCGTAAATGTCTGAGACCTGCATCACTTCGGGCTTTCCTCCCACATTAAGCTGACACGCCGTGATATAACTGGAATACTGTTAAAAGCGGCGCTAAACCCAACTCACTCACTCACTCACTTAAGAAACAGTTGTAAAACATAACCCAGAGACATAACTGGTGTACACAATGTATATTCAGTTCCTGTTAATAGTGTCACATGGTATCATGGTGTATTTATCATCCACAACTGACTTCCACACGAGACGTCGCTTTGTTGACCACAGTGAGTTGGAAGAATAATTATGGATGATAAACAGAATCTCACCCGAATGTCAACTGATACAAATATGTCAACACTCATTGATAAACGGACTCAGCCATCTTCCTGAGTCAAGGGTCCTGAGTCAAGGGAGTTAACTGACTCTAAAAGTCCAGTTTCCACCCTTGCTGAACAAGGCTGGAGTTCCTGGGCTCCATCGTAGCCCCACCAGTGGCTATTACAGATTATGTCCCTGCTATGTCCTCCTACTGACTATTTGCTTCACACAAAAAGGAGGTGCCAAGTGAAGACTGATCGATAATCCAGATCTATACAGTAATAAAACAGGTGTTACTTTGTGTAGTCCATCATATCACGTGAGCACCTAGATTAAAAACATGACACGTCGTTAGTCCAGCCAAAATATAACTTCATAACTCCAGTCAAGTTCGGCAAGGGTGGAAACTGGACTTTTGTGGTCACATAACTCTCTTGCCTCGGGAGATGGGACTCAGCAAGCCTCAGTTTACAACTTGTATCAAACTTGTTGCTATATTTGACATGAAGACACCCAGACTGACATTCTCGATCTAATACTAGGCTGCACCACACATCCACACGTCTTCCACAGATACACACACATGGCGGATGTCTTCACAAGCTACTCACACATACTGAAACCGAGAAACATTTATAAAGAACAAAGCACATCGTCACATCATCAGAGATAATCACACCTCGGAACACTGCCATCAGTTGAACCAGGAACCTGCAATGGTTGATCTCACTAAAGTCTCCAGGACAACCCTGTCTCTGTCTCAACACAAGCAGCCCTACACGAGTTCAGTGCCTGGCAAAACTGTCGTTTGTCAATGGAACAGAAGCTTCCATCACTACTATCACACTGTTTCCTATAACGGTAGTCCACTGGCGGATCCCGAGGGGGGCGTGCATCTCCCTCTATTGTTAGACACTTTACCTGTTAATTGCGCCCCCAGCCAAGTCAGTTTGGGACTTTTTTTGCATCCCATATTCCAAAATTTTGAAACTGCCTTTGTATTCCACGTCTTTTGTAGTCCTGTTACTCGGACATCCACACAATTAACCACCTCCTGACATCGGTGGCGCCATCTTGTGTTGTCCTCGTTCAGGTGCCTCCCAGAACCAGTCTGATAACACTGGTGCTGACCCAGGTTCAGCTGGGATGTCCGACAACAGCTGCTTCCAGGAGTCACTTTCTCCAGCAACACTACAACATCGTGCGGGGCAGCAGGTGCTCTATTTGACTCCTGAAAAGTAAAAACAGACACACACCAACATCAATACAAGTACAGGTGGAAAAATAAATGATGAAAATATTTAAAAGGCAGCATAGAAATAGTACATTGAGAAAGAGAGAGTTTATAACTGTTATAAAGCAGACAATGAGGGAATAACTGGTATTGTATGTTGCTCCCAATGGGGAGACAAGCATGGGGCCCACAACACCTGTATGTCTCAGACTCTCTATACAAGCACCTGTATGTCTTAGACTCCCAATGGGGAGACAAGCATGGGGCCCTTAACACCTGTATGTCTTAGACTCCCAATGGGGAGACAAGCATGGGGCCCTTAACACCTGTATGTCATAGACTCCCAATGGGGAGACAAGCATGGGGCCCTTAACACCTGTATGTCTTAGACTCCCAATGGGGAGACAAGCATGGGGCCCTTAACACCTGTATGTCTTAGACTCCCAATGGGGAGACAAGCATGGGGCCCTTAACACCTGTATGTCTTAGACTCCCAATGGGGAGACAAGCATGGGGCCCTTAACACCTGTATGTCTTAGACTCCCAATGGGGAGACAAGCATGGGGCCCTTAACACCTGTATGTCTTAGACTCCCAATGGGGAGACAAGCATGGGGCCCTTAACACCTGTATGTCTTAGACTCCCAATGGGGAGACAAGCATGGGGCCCTTAACACCTGTATGTCATAGACTCCCAATGGGGAGACAAGCATGGGGCCCTTAACACCTGTATGTCTTAGACTCCCAATGGGGAGACAAGCATGGGGCCCTTAACACCTGTATGTCTTAGACTCTCTATGGGGAGACAAGCATGGGGCCCTTAACACCTGTACGTCTTAGACTCTCAATGGGGAGACAAGCATGGGGCCCTTAACACCTGTATGTCATAGACTCCCAATGGGGAGACAAGCATGGGGCCCTTAACACCTGTATGTCTTAGACTCCCAATGGGGAGACAAGCATGGGGCCCTTAACACCTGTATGTCTTAGACTCTCTATGGGGAGACAAGCATGGGGCCCTTAACACCTGTACGTCTTAGACTCTCAATGGGGAGACAAGCATGGGGCCCTTAACACCTGTATGTCTTAGACTCCCAATGGGGAGACAAGCATGGGGCCCTTAACACCTGTATGTCATAGACTCCCAATGGGGAGACAAGCATGGGGCCCTTAACACCTGTATGTCTTAGACTCTCTATGGGGAGACAAGCATGGGGCCCTTAACACCTGTATGTCTTAGACTCCCAATGGGGAGACAAGCAAGGGGCCCACACCACCTCTTGTTGTACTGATACATTCTTCCTTGGACTACACCTACCTCTGTGGCCCTGACAGTGACATTGTCTCCACGGTCTTCTTGGACGCCTCGTCCACCCGGGGCATCATCATCTCGTCCATCATCAGCACCACCATCTGCAACATAGCAGCAGCGACAACACGTGAGTGATCCACACACACACTATCCCACCACCATCTGCAACATAGCGGCAGTGACAACCAGTGAGTGATCCACACACACACTATCCCACCACCATCTGCAACATAGCAGCAGTGACAACCAGTGAGTGATCCACACACACACTATCCCACCACCATCTGCAACATAGCGGCAGCGACAACCAGTGAGTGATCCACACACACACTATCCCACCACCATCTGCAACATAGCGGCAGCGACAACACGTGAGTGATCCACACACACACTATCCCACCACCATCTGCAACATAGCGGCAGCGACAACACGTGAGTGATCCACAACACACTATCCAACCACCATCTGCAACATAGCGGCAGCGACAACCAGTGAGTGATCCACACACACACTATCCCACCACCATCTGCAACATAGCGGCAGCGACAACACGTGAGTGATCCACACACACACTATCCCACCACCATCTGCAACATAGCGGCAGTGACAACCAGTGAGTGATCCACACACACACTATCCCACCACCATCTGCAACATAGCGGCAGTGACAACACGTGAGTGATCCACACACACACTATCCCACCACCATCTGCAACATAGCGGCAGCGACAACACGTGAGTGATCCACACACACACTATCCCACCACCATCTGCAACATAGCGGCAGTGACAACCAGTGAGTGATCCACAACACACTATCCCACCACCATCTGCAACATAGCAGCAGCGACAACCAGTGAGTGATCCACACACACACTATCCCACCACCATCTGCAACATAGCAGCAGTGACAACCAGTGAGTGATCCACACACACACTATCCCACCACCATCTGCAACATAGCGGCAGCGACAACACGTGAGTGATCCACACACACACTATCCCACCACCATCTGCAACATAGCGGCAGTGACAACACGTGAGTGATCCACACACACACTATCCCACATACCATCTGCAACATAGCGGCAGCGACAACCAGTGAGTGATCCACACACACACTATCCCACCACCATCTGCAACATAGCGGCAGCGACAACCAGTGAGTGATCCACACACACACTATCCCACCACCATCTGCAACATAGCGGCAGCGACAACCAGTGAGTGATCCACACACACACTATCCCACCACCATCTGCAACATAGCAGCAACGACAACCAGTGAGTGATCCACACACACACTATCCCACCACCATCTGCAACATAGCGGCAGTGACAACCAGTGAGTGATCCACACACACACTATCCCACCACCATCTGCAACATAGCAGCAGTGGCAACCAGTGAGCGATCCACACACACACTATCCCACCACCATCTGCAACATAGCAGCAGTGACAACCAGTGAGTGATCCACACACACACACTATCCCACCACCATCTGCAACATAGCAGCAACGACAACCAGTGAGTGATCCACACACACACTATCCCACCACCATCTGCAACATAGCGGCAGTGACAACCAGTGAGTGATCCACACACACACTATCCCACCACCATCTGCAACATAGCAGCAGTGGCAACCAGTGAGCGATCCACACACACACTATCCCACCACCATCTGCAACATAGCAGCAGTGACAACCAGTGAGTGATCCACACACACACACTATCCCACCACCATCTGCAACATAGCGGCAGTGACAACCAGTGAGTGATCCACACACACACTATCCCACCACCATCTGCAACATAGCGGCAGCGACAACACGTGAGTGATCCACACACACACTATCCCACCACCATCTGCAACATAGCGGCAGCGACAACCAGTCAGTGATCCACACACACACACTATCCCACCACCATCTGCAACATAGCGGCAGCGACAACCAGTGAGTGATCCACACACACACTATCCCACCACCATCTGATGACTGCCTTGTAAACCCCCACAAGACACCATAAAACATGTATCCCTAACATCATATAAAACATAATATACGTGCCTAACGTGGGCATCATTCAAGCTCCCTGAAACCTGTTTTATCTTCAAGACCTGGTGATACTTTCATCATCTTAGCTCTGCAGTTGATAGATTGTGTTCACGAAATTTACACAGAAAACACACCTCTGTACACAGACAACCTATCTTTTGTTCTGTTATCTTGCCGCACTCAGCAATATTCCAGCCACATGACGGTGATCAGTAAATAAATTAGTCTTTACCATACAAACCAGTGGTTGATATTATAAGCAACGATCCACAATGTCAAGGTACAATGACACACAACCAAGTCAAGGGGTCTCAGCATCCAATCCAACAAGTCGCCTCTTACAACATGCATGGGCCCCGTGAAAATCCGGGGTAGAATAGGTCTTCAGCAACCCATGCTTGCTGTAAGAGGTGATTATGCTTGTCATAAGAGGTGACTAACGGGATCGGGTGGTCAGGCTCACTGACTTGGTTGATGCATGTCATTGATCCCAATTGTGTGGATCAATGCTCATGACATCAATCACAGGAGTGTCTGGTCTAGACTCGATTATTTACAGACCGCCATCATATAGCTGGAATATTCCTGGGGGTGGCGTTGGACAACAAACAAACAAAAGCATGGGTAGCTTGGGACCCATTCTAACCCAGAAAAATACAAGGGAAGAAAACGTATACACAACACATACCACTGTATACAAAATACATACCACTGTATACAAAACACATACCTCTGTATACAAAATACATACCACTGTATACAAAATACATACCACTGTATACACAACACATACCACTGTATACAAAATACATACCACTGTATACAAAACACATACCTCTGTATACAAAATACATACCACTGTATACAAAACACATACCTCTGTATACACAACACATACCACTGTATACACAACACACAACACTGTATACACAACACACAACACTGTATACACAACACTGTATACACAACACTGTATACACAACACACTACACTGTATAAACAACACATACCTCTGTATACACAACACACAACACTGTATACACAACACATACCACTGTACACACAACACTGTATACACAACACACAACACTATACACAACACACAACACTGTATACACACAACACTGTATACACAACACATACCTCTGTATACACAACACACAACACTGTATACACAACACTGTATACACAACACACAACACTATACACACAACACTGTATACACAACACACTACACTGTACACACAACACTGTATACACAACACACAACACACAACACTATACACAACACACAACACTATACACAACACACAACACTGTATACACACAACACTGTATACACAACACACAACACTGTATACACACAACACTGTATACACAACACACTACACTGTACACACAACACTGTATACACAACACACAACACTATACACACAACACTGTATACACAACACACTACACTGTACACACAACACTGTATACACAACACACAACACTATACACAACACACAACACACAACACTGTATACACACAACACTGTATACACAACACACAACACTGTATACACACAACACTGTATACACAACACACAACACTGTATACACACAACACTGTATACACAACACACTACACTGTACACACAACACTGTATACACAACACACAACACAATACACAACACACAACACTGTATACACACAACACTGTATACACAACACATACCTCTGTATACACAACACACAACACTGTATACACAACACATACCACTGTACACACAACACTGTATACACAACACACAACACTATACACAACACACAACACTGTATACACACAACACTGTATACACACAACACTGTATACACAACACACTACACTGTATACACAACACTGTATACACAACACACAACACTGTATACACAACACTGTATACACAACACACTACATTGTATACACAACACACTACACTGTATACACAACACACTACACTGTATACACACAACACTGTATACACAACACACTACACTGTATACACAACACACTACACTGTATACACAACACACTACACTGTATACACACAACACTGTATACACAACACACTACACTGTATACACAACACTGTATACACAACACACAACACTGTATACACACAACACTGTATACACAACACACTACACTGTATACACAACACTGTATACACAACACACAACACTGTATACACACAACACTGTATACACAACACACTACACTGTCTACACAACACTGTATACACAACACACTACACTGTATACACAACACACTACACTGTATACACAACACACAACACTGTATACACAACACACTACACTGTATACACAACACTGTATACACAACACACTACACTGTCTACACAACACTGTATACACAACACACTACACTGTATACACAACACACTACACTGTATACACAACACACAACACTGTATACACAACACACTACACTGTATACACAACACTGTATACACAACACACTACACTGTATACACAACACATACCACAGCCTTCTCTGGGTCATCTTCCTGGATGCAGCCATTCAGCAGAAGATGAAATGTCTCCTCTCTGAAACAAACACATGTCTAGCTGTACCTGACTTTCCTCCATAGAAATGTCAACAATCCGTGGTTACTGGGTGTCACTACTTTACATCGGCAATAATGTCGGACAGACAGAGGATGGTCTGAGAAGATGAACACATTAAATATAGGATGAGGCAAGAAAGTAACACGAGCCAGTCAACAATGTCAATATGTCCCTCATATTACTCATGTATTGTATATGATACGTGCAAATTGTAAGCTTACTAACCCTGGTAATCCTGAAAAGTCACGACCATTGAACTTGTATGTTTCAAATGCAGCCCTGGGGAAGAACAAATAATGCAGTGAGGAAGAGTAGCTTTGATAATAATAATAATAATAATAATAATAATAATAATAATAATAATAATAAAAATAATGATGATGATGATGATGATGATGATGATGATGATGATGATGATAATAATAATAATAAATAATAAATAATGATGGTGATGATGATGATGATGATAATAATGATAATAATGATAATAATAATGATGATGATGATGATAACAATGATGATAATAATAATGATAATAATAATAATAATAATAATAATAATAATAATAATAATAATAATAATAATAATAAAAAAAATTTAATCTGTACATCATAATAAGAATAAGAATAGGCCTATTTATATTGGTTACATCCACAGCACCATGGTTACTGGCATGGGTACTGATCATCGTCACTGGTAGAGAAACAGAGATGCTCCTGCACAACATCACTCTGACTTACCATGCTTCACTGAATCGATCCCCCTTCACCAGGAGAGAAATGATATGACCCATGATTTCTGCAGTCAACCTGGAAATAGGAAGTACACGTTTGTTTGTTTATTAGTTTGTTTGTTTGTTTGTTTGTTTGTTTGTTGTTAACAATGCATCAGCAATATTTCAGCTATACAGCGACCTGGAACAGACAATCCAGTGATTGATATTGGGAGCAGTGATCCATACATCCCTCCATACTATGCCATGCCCTCAGCCTGCCCCCCCCAGTCCACTTAGGCAGTGAGTAGACCTACCAATCCACTAAGTCACCTCTAACAACCTGCGTAGGCTGCTGTGGACGAATTCTAACCCAGAATCCCCACGTACACAACAGCCTATGCAAATAAGGCATATTTTTATAACAATTGTTTACACAACAATTCCACCACTTCTTTACAAGTTGATTGCACACTTACAAAATCATATTTACAACAAGAAATTGCGCATAAATACATTAAACTGTATGAATAACAAGAGTGACTTCAAAGACACTCCATGGCAACAAATTGAACTAACTTTTTAAAGAATAAATCTGAGTTGACATTTGTATTATATATTTTATGATTTTCCCTCTACCAACCTGGATATTTCACAAACACATCTGTAAATGAAGGATTGTTCTGATTCCCTGACAGTACTTACACCAAGGGTCTCCTGTCTGTGATCTTCTCCCTCCACTGCTGGATCAGAAACTGGGCACAGTCGGCAAACTTCCCAGACAGCTGAAACAAACATAACGTAATCTATAGAACACGAACTTCAGTAAAGTTGTACAACAGCAGACTGTAGTCGGAAAAATTATTCACCTCATTTCAATGGTGAAATGGTGAACGACCTTCCAAGTAACCTTGACATTTGACACATTTGAGTGAGTGAGTGAGTGAGTATGGTTTTACACCGCCTTTTTAGCAATATTCCAGCAATATCACGGCAGGGGACACCAGAAATGGGCTTCACACATTGTACCCATGTTGTCCCTTTCCGTTAATAGTCTCGTGAGCTTATTTCCTCAAGACATTTGGAGCGTAATGTAACTGCACGAAGTCCAATGGTTGCCAGTGTGTATTTGGAGAAGCTTCCATCATCGCTCTATACCACTGTACACAGTACAAATTATAGCCTCGTTTGTGTTGTTTGAACCTCAAAGGTTGCTCACATATTTACAAATCGGTTATAAAATCAAATATCACCAATCGTTATATAAAACATCAGACTTAAAACAAAGGAATATTTAACAAGTCAATGAACATTTGGTTAACAACGTCTAAAACAGTTTTCAATTCAGCATCGTCACACTTGATTGAGGTTAAATAACACCAACACAGCGTTCCTTTAACGTTGCATAACCACACTTAATTTGATTTCGGCGTGACGAGCTAACGCTTTAACCACGAGGCTACCGGACCGCCCCTGACACATTTGAAAGGTGTTGATTAACATAAGCATAGTATATCTTCAGTGATGGAATATGATACTGTGATTTAACATAAACATAAAAAATAGTTTGATGTTTGAGCAATGCTTATAATTCCAGCGACCTTGACCTACTAAGGAGGTATTGACGCAATCACAAGCCCAACTTGCAATCATGTGTATCAAGTTTCATGAATTTCTAATCATAAATGCTGAAGATATCGTGTACACATGACCATAGAAACAGCAGTGTGGTATGAAGATTCATGGTAAGAGAAGCTGTTGTTTGTTTCATGTTGTTTTACCCCTCTCTCAACAATATTCCAGCAATATGATGGTGGTCTGTAATTAATCAAGTCTGGACCAGACAACCCAGTGCTCAGCTACAGTTGGGATACGATGACATGCATCAACCAAGTCATCGAGCCTGAACACCTGATGTCTCTTATGACAAACACAGTCTATTCTACCCTGGATCTTCGCGGGTGAAGCTGATTGTTGATAGTGGTATAAAGTTTAACAACAAGAGAGATGCATGACCAACCAACCTCTGGCTCCGTCGGGCTCTTCACCATCAGGCCAAGGATTAGGTTCAGCACGTGTGGCCGGGAAATGTCAAGTCTCACCAAATCTGGGGACAGAAACACAAATATTTACAGTGGTTCTTAGAAGACAGTGCTTCCTACAGTGAGTGAGTGAGTGAGTGAGTGGGTAAGTGGGTGAGTGAGTGAGTGAGTGAGTGAGTGAGTAGGTGAGTGAGTGAGTGAGTGAGTGAGTGAGTGAGTGAGTGAGTGAGTGAGTGAGTGAGTGAGTGAGTGAAGAGTGAGTGAGTGAGTCTTATTCCTACTACAGGACATTTATGACAAAAACACACTTGGCTTATCATCTTCAGCTACAGCACCCACCTGACCAGATCTGGGGGAGATGTCGGTAACCTCGGTGTAGCTCTACAGCTCTCATGATCTCCTGAATGACAGCAAAATGGGGCGTCCATTGCTGAAATCAGAAGCAAAAATATGTACAGCGATTTTGATAAAACACTCAACTACACAACATTTGATTGGAATACTGGCATTAAGAAAATAGAAGACAATCACTTATCAAATGGTTTTCATATGTTTAATTAACTTGACATGAAGCTGAACGAACACGCTTCAGTTACTTGGCAACATTGAGTATTATTTGTCTGTCCACACAATCAGTTAGTTCAGTCCCCGTCCGACACACCCAGAATACCCCAATCAAATGTTGAGGAGTCTCTTTTGGGTACAAGTTTTAACAACTTATATTTATGCTTGTTTCAAAACATATTTACAGTAATTAATTTTCAATAACAGCACAAGACAGAGAGACAGGAAGAAATACATGATGTAAAGTAGACATTTCGGATGAACAGTTTTTTTACTATTTCAGATGAATTCTAGGACAGAGAATAATGCATTCATTAACAGCACAAGAAAACAATAATTCAATCATAGGAAAGATATTTCAAAATATCTAAATGTATGTTTGAAAACAATCATTGTTTGTTACCACACAGTAATATTCCAGCGATGGCTGCCCGTGAATAATCAAGTCTTGACCAGACAATCCAGTGATTGATATTATGACCAATAAGCCATGCCGTCTGAGTACAATGACATATAATCCAGCGAGTGACCGAGACAAACCAGTGACTGATATAATGAGCAACGTCCCACACTGTTGGGTTACGATGACATGCAATCATCCAAGTCACGAAGCCTAACCTCCAGCACAAGTTCTGCGGACCAGCTGTAACCCGGCACCACGAGACACAGACAACTCTCTCTTCTCTTTATCAACTATTAGAAAGGTAAAGGTCAACAGGGAAAGTTGTAACCATGGCAACTTACACAAGGCACGATGCTGGTGTAGTAGTCCATGACGGTGTCAATGTCGTCCATCAAACACAGAGTTCGGAAGAAGAAGTTGCTAGAGAGAAACAAGGAAATGGAGTGAGTTTCTACCACTTATCAGCAGATGGATTACTCCAACTTAAACATATGACATAAAACACAACCAACACATAAATAATACATCCCTTCAATGATATGTATTGCACATCACTGGTTTCATAAACTTTCTTAGTTCCAATTTTTCTTTACCTAAAGGCCACATTGAAACTTCATTATCAAAGTTCGAGGAAAACTTAAATAAACAAAACAAGAAAGTCATTTTGTTTTATCTAAAGCAAAATCAATTACTGTTGTTATCTACAGTGAATTCCTGATAAATTCAGAATAAATCGGTAACATGAGCAAGAGAACACTTTCAGTTTTATATTCCTCACCATTCCTTTCGGTAAATAATCTCCATACAAGAGTGGGCCGACACAAGGCTTCTCCCTGTGATTGAAGGTCATGTACTTACTCGTAGAGAGACTGTGTGTGAAGGTCATGTACTTATTTATAGACTCTGTGTGAAGGTCGTGTACTTACTAGTAGAGAGACTGTGTGTGAAGGTCATGTACTTACTAGTAGAGAGACTCTGTGTGAAGGCCATGTACTTACTAGTAGAGAGACTCTGTGTGAAGGTCATGTACTTACTAGTAGAGAGACTCTGTGTGAAGGTCATGTACTTACTAGTAGAGAGAATGTGTGTGAAGGTCATGTACTTACTAGTAGAGAGAATGTGTGTGAAGGTCATGTACTTACTAGTAGAGAGACTCTGTGTGAAGGCCATGTACTTACTAGTAGACAGACTGTGTGTGAAGGTCATGTACTTACTAGTAGAGAGACTGTGTGTGAAGGTAATGTACCTACTAGTAGAGAGACTGTGTGTGAAGGTCATGTACTTACTAGTAGAGAGACTCTGTGTGAAGGTCATGTACTTACTAGTAGAGAGAATGTGTGTGAAGGTCATGTACTTACTAGTAGAGAGAATGTGTGTTAAGGTCATGTACTTACTAGTAGAGAGACTGTGTGTGAAGGCCATGTACTTACTAGTAGAGAGAATGTGTGTGAAGGTCATGTACTTAATAGTAGACAGACTCTGTGTGAAGGTCATGTACTTACTAGTAGAGAGACTGTGTGAAGGTCATGTACTTACTAGTAGAGAGACTGTGTGAAGGTCATGTACTTACTAGTAGAGAGACTGTGTGAAGGTCATGTACTTACTAGTAGAGAGACTGTGTGTGAAGGTCATGTACTTACTAGTAGAGAGACTGTGTGAAGGTAATGTACTTACTAGTAGACAGACTGTGTGTAAGGGTCATGTACTTACTAGTAGAGAGACTCTGTGTGAAGGTCATGTACTTACTAGTATAGAGACTGTGTGTGAAGGTCATGTACTTACTAGTAGAGAGACTCTGTGTGAAGGTCATGTACTTATTAATAGACTCTGTGTGAAGGTCATGTACTTACTAGTAGAGAGACTCTGTGTGAAGGTCATGTACTTACTAGTAGACAGACTGTGTGTGAAGGTCGAGTACCAACTAGTAGAGAGACTCTGTGTGAAGGTCATGTACTTACTAGTAGAGAGACTCTGTGTGAAGGTCATGTACTTACTAGTAGAGAGACTCTGTGTGAAGGTCATGTACTTACTAGTAGAGAGACTCTGTGTGAAGGTCATGTACTTACTAGTAGAGAGACTCTGTGTGAAGGTCATGTACTTACTAGTAGACAGACTGTGTGTGAAGGTCATGTACTTATTTATAGACTCTGTGTGAAGGTCATGTACTTACTAGTAGAGAGACTGTGTGTGAAGGTCGTGTACTTACTAGTAGAGAGACTCTGTGTGAAGGTCATGTACTTACTAGTAGAGAGACTCTGTGTGAATGTCATGTACTTATTCATGGACACTGTGTGAAGGTCATGTACTTACTAGTAGAGAGACTCTGTGTGAAGGTCATGTACTTACTAGTAGAGAGACTCTGTGTGAAGGTCATGTACTTATTTATAGACTCTGTGTGAAGGTCATGTACTTACTAGTAGAGAGACTCTGTGTGAAGGTCATGTACTTACTAGTAGAGAGATTGTGTGTGAAGGTCGAGTACCTACTAGTAGAGAGACTCTGTGTGAAGGTCATGTACTTACTAGTAGAGAGACTGTGTGTGAAGGTCATGTACTTACTAGTAGAGAGACTGTGTGTGAAGGTCATGTACTTACTAGTAGAGAGACTCTGTGTGAAGGTCAGACATGACGGTGAAGTTCCGTCCTGTGTTGAACAGCTTGTGTATACGTTTAGCTAGCTCCGGGTCCTTCTGACTGATGAAACACTGGAAGGAAACAGTAGCAGATGAGTCTATTGTCAAGTCATGTTCTTAGCTTTGAGAAACAAGGAAGACATAAATACAAATCACACTGTGTTGTGTGTCGATGCAGATTTACAGTGTGACAACCAGTTTTACGTTCATACTTCCATAAATGCAAAACATACTGAAATCAATTTTTATAAAAGAATACGTCAACAATAACTTCAAAGACTGCTTATTAAGTGATTAATACAAAAATAACCGTTGACAACAATACGAAATCTGTGACATCGTTCAGCACAACAATGCAACACAAGACCCACCTATCCTATTATCAGCACAACAATGCAACACAAGACCCACCTATCCTATTATCAGCACAACAATGCAACACAAGACCCACCTATCCTATTATCAGCACAACAATGCAACACAAGACCCACCTATCCTATTATCAGCACAACAATGCAACACAAGACCCACCTATCCTATTATCAGCACAACAATGCAACACAAGACCCACCTATCCTATTATCAGCACAACAATGCAACACAAGACCCACCTATCCTATTATCAGCCAATTGGGAAACAGCAGTGTGTCAGTAGGTGTCTTTTTTTATTTTTATGGAATCATAAATGAAAGAAAATGGCTTGGTTAGCCAATCAAATGATACGGAAAAACTTGCAATTTATGTATATATTTCTAAAAGCGATTCTGAGTATGATTTAGTTTCGTCTACTACTTTGATTAAACATTAAAAAGAAAATCAAGCTTACCTTGGCCATTGCTGATTTGAAGAACTCCCCTGGAAGTAACACAAAACTTATGTTGAGAGATATCATCAAGGTGAGGTGAAATTGGCTTTAACGTCGCGTCCAAGATTGTTGCACTTAGCAACGTGTATAGCGACGTGTATGGATGTGTGTGTGTGTTTGTGTGTGGGGCTGCTTGTACTAGTCCAGACTGATGCCAATTTATAGTGCTAGCTCACTGAGATACCATGCTGCAGTTTAACATGAATGCCCCACTCAGACACAGTATACTGACTCCGAGCCGAACAGTCCTTGTTTTAGCCCCTAAATGCCAAGCGCCAAACAGGGTAACAACAAGTACCACCTTTTAACATCTTTTCGGATGACGTGGACGGGGATCGAACCCCGGACCTTCCGCTCTCCGGGCAGACGCTCTACCTCTAGACCACGGACGCGGTCATATGTCATCATGAATCAAGAAGCCCAAGTGATGCAGGTCCTTAATGTTGACATGTTTGGTGAAACCCACAAGCACCGGTCTAGAAACAATCAGGGCGGATCAGGGATTACAACTCACAAGTATAGTTTTATGTCAGGCCGAGGGGCTCGTAAGGGACGCCCAAAGGGTCCTTAGCGAATTACAGCACCTTAAACAACCAAGCCAACCAGTCCTCCCTTTCACAAAGATGAGACGAAGATTCTGATACATACCATCCTCTGGGTGCCGCCAGGTGACGCCATGTTCCTCCAGATAGTCCACGATGGCACCAAGCAGAGGCGACTGTACAGCTGGAAGTAGAACCATAACCCTGTCAACAGAACCTCACTGAGGCCAAACTTCTTTATCTTATGGTTGGTAAAAACAAAATAAATATATAGTTGTGGAGCTCAGTAAATTTTTTAATTTGGCATTGTGTCATTCAGGTTGGTCAGCAAAATGGAAAAAAAATAAATACTAAATCAAAACTGCCAAGGATGTTTACTATTTTTTCACCTTTTTCAAAAGTAACATGTTATCCCCTGTATCAGAGGAAACTTTGTTCTCGTTTGAGATATAAAATAAATTGCATAACATTAGTGTATTATTATTTTAGCATGGTTAGCATTCCTGCAACAATACAACTGATTGGTTCACCGAGAATGGGGTTTACCATATTATACAGAGTTGTGTTGGATCCACAAAACCAACTTAGCACAATGATAATGCCGAGTGAGAGAGTGAGTTTGGCTTAACACTGTTGTGAACAATGTTTCAGCTACATCCCCATGTGTAAGCTTGATGTGAGAAACTCTTGGTGATGCAGGACGTTTACCACTTGGTGATACTGACAAATCTAGAAACAGAATCACGACAGGGCTACCTGGGATTTGAACCCACATCCATAGGTGTTGACAAGTTAAAGGGATGCAACTCGGCACTGACAGCCTTAAAGAAATACAGCAACTGTTAATGACTTTGAAATGTTACGATGGTTGCAAGTTACATAACTGTCACTTACGGTCTTCAAAGTACACAATGCTCAACAATCTTGACCAAATTGACAGGCTGGGCTCTGAAACATACGACACAGTTCACAACCCAAGGTACATTTCATAAGGTACAAGTTTATTTGTAGTGATTGAAGCGCTGATAAAATGTTGAGTGCTGTAGTGGCCAGATGATAACAGGGAGAGAGATTAGAGTTACTTCCCCTGATTGTTTACAAACTTGACAGTCTTGATCATTCGAGAAGTTTTGGGGTGGGACAGTTTTTAAAGGTTGGCTGTACCAATATAAGAGTGACTTGAGGATGATTCAAGGCCTTTAACAACCTGACTTGTGTCTTATTTACTTGCCAAGTGTGGATACCTATCTGGATACACTCAATTCCTGCCAGCTTCCAAGACTATTCCGGATTCAAGAACAGAGACAGACCTGTTTCAAGTGAGTGAGTTGGGTTTAACACCGATTTAACAGTATTCCAGTTCTATCACAGCGTGTCAGCTTAATGTGGGAGGAAAGCCAGAAGTGATGCAGGTCTCAGACGTTTACCACTTTGGTGAAACCCACAAGCATGGCTATGGAGCTCACAAACCTAGAAACTTAATTGGGGTGAACCGGGATTCGAACCCACAATCATAGGTTACTGGCGTGCCCAAGAGATGCAACACAGCGAATCGCGGCACCTTAGATGACTGGGTCAACTGTGCCCCCGCCTGTTTCAAGACAGTCGACAATGAAACATGAGTGCACAGATATATGTTGTAGGTCCCGTTACTTACTGCTGCCGCCACTTACTTCACCCTCTGTATTGCCTTTAGTGATTGTAACCTTAAACTGTGTGTTTCATTACAATTTGCTGATGATACATTAATCTTGTGTGGTCACTTACTGATTTCAGAATTAAGTTCTGTAACATCAATTTCTGGGTTAACCTTTGCCTTTCAATTTGGCAATATTGGCTCTGCAAACATAACTGCCAAAAATAGTCAGGACACCATGTTTGATGATGTCTTGTTTTATGTTACCACAAATCTCACAATTCCTGTCTTATGTTTGTATTCCAGCTATGTGACAGTGGCCTGTAAATAAACTGAATCTGGGTCAGACAAACCCGTGATTGATAGTATGACAAACGATTGCCATCGGGGTACGATGTCACGATATCAACCAAGTCACTGAGCCTGACCACTCGATCCATTTGGTCGCCTCTAAAGATATGCATGGGTTGCAGGGGAACAAACGACAAAATGCTGTTGCTAATGCACATTTGGGATTAAAAACATTGATTGTGGCATTATATTCCAGCCATATCATGGCAGGGTACACTAGAAACTGGCTTCATGCATTGTACCCATGTGGGGAATTGAACCCAGGTCTTCAGCGTGACGAGTGAATGCCTTAACCACGAGGCTACCCCACTGCCCCTAAATATTATGTCCTGACATAATAAGTGGGGTGACAGAAATACCCCTGTCAGATGTAGTATATTACTGAGGTGTTGGGGGTCTGACTTATGGTTATAGCCGAGACTGAGGTGTTGGGGGTCTGACTTATGGTTATAGCCGAGACTGAGGTGTTCGGGGTCTGACTTATGGTTATAGCTGAGACTGAGGTGTTCGGGGTCTGACTTATGGTTATAGCAGAGACTGAGGTGTTGGGGGGTCTGACTTATGGTTATAGAAGAGACTGAGGTGTTCGGGGTCTGACTTATGGTTATAGCTGAGACTGAGGTGTTCGGGGTCTGACTTATGGTTATAGCAGAGACTGAGGTGTTGGGGGTCTGACTTATGGTTATAGCTGAGACTGCGGTGTTGGAGGTCTGACTTATGGTTATAGCCGAGACTGAGGTGTTCGGGGTCTGACTTATGGTTATAGCTGAGACTGAGGTGTTGGGGGTCTGACTTATGGTTATAGCCGAGACTGAGGTGTTCGGGGTCTGACTTATGGTTATAGCCGAGACTGAGGTGTTGGGGGTCTGACTAATGGTTATAGCCGAGACTGAGGTGTTCGGGGGTCTGACTTATGGTTATAGCAGAGACTGAGGTGTTGGGGGGTCTGACTTATGGTTATAGCCGAGACTGAGGTGTTCGGGGTCTGACTTATGGTTATAGCCGAGACTGAGGTGTTCGGGGGTCTGACTTATGGTTATAGCAGAGACTGAGGTGTTGGGGGGTCTGACTTATGGTTATAGCCGAGACTGAGGTGTTCAGGGTCTGACTTATGGTTATAGCCGAGACTGAGGTGTTCGGGGTCTGACTTATGGTTATAGTCGAGACTGAGGTGGTGGGGGTCTGACTTATGGTTATAGCCGAGACTGAGGTGTTCGGGGTCTGACTTATGGTTATAGCTGAGACTGAGGTGTTCGGGGTCTGACTTATGGTTATAGTCGAGACTGAGGTGTTGGGGGTCTGACTTATGGTTATAGCCGAGACTGAGGTGTTCGGGGTCTGACTTATGGTTATAGCCGAGACTGAGGTGTTCGGGGTCTGACTTATGGTTATAGCCGAGACTGAGGTGTTGGGGGTCTGACTTATGGTTATAGCTGAGACTGCGGTGTTGGAGGTCTGACTTATGGTTATAGCCGAGACTGAGGTGTTCGGGGTCTGACTTATGGTTATAGTCGAGACTGAGGTGTTCGGGGTCTGACTTATGGGTATAGCTGAGACTGCGGTGTTGGAGGTCTGACTTATGGTTATAGCCGAGACTGAGGTGTTCGGGGTCTGACTTATGGTTATAGTCGAGACTGAGGTGTTCGGGGTCTGACTTATGGTTATAGCCGAGACTGAGGTGTTGGGGGTCTGACTTATGGTTATAGCCGAGACTGAGGTGTTGGGGGTCTGACTTATGGTTATAGCCGAGACTGAGGTGTTCGGGGTCTGACTTATGGTTATAGCTGAGACTGAGGTGTTGGGGGGTCTGACTTATGGTTACAGCTGAGACTGAGGTGTTGGGGGTCTGACTTATGGTTATAGCAGAGACTGAGGTGTTGGAGGTCTGACTTATGGTTATAGCCGAGACTGAGGTGTTGGGGGTCTGACTTATGGTTATAGCAGAGACTGTGGTGTTGGGGGGTCTGACTTATGGTTATAGCCGAGACTGAGGTGTTGGAGGTCTGACTTATGGTTATAGTCGAGACTGAGGTGTTCGGGGTCTGACTTATGGTTATAGCCGAGACTGAGGTGTTGGCGGTCTGACTTATGGTTATAGCTGAGACTGAGGTGTTGGGGGGTCTAGAGACTTATGGTTATAGCCGAGACTGAGGTGTTCGGGGGTCTGACTTATGGTTATAGCTGAGACTGAGTTGTTGGGGGGTCTAGAGACTTATGGTTATAGCCGAGACTGGCAAATGCACAAACAAAACCACACAGTACTAAAGAGTTGAAGAACAGTCGGAGAGGGTGTGTAATCTTAATTTCAGGTAATGATCAAGTGGTTTGAAGAGCTTAAACTACAGCCACTATCTGTGTAGACTGAAAGGATGCATGACAATGTCTGACGTGATGTTTGGCCAACTGATAAGTGACAATGTATCTTTAAAGCAAACATGTGACTTGTCTCAGTTCTCCTGCTACATCAACATCCACGTAGTACACCTCATTACTGTGGAAGACTCACCAATCTCACATTTCTTCATCTCAGTCAGCATATGGAACGCCCGCTCCTGGTTGGTGTTCTTCCTCATCCGCACCAGGCACAGGAACGCCTGGTTGAACGTCTCCAGGTCGGGGCGGAGTCCTCGCATGCTCATCTCCCCAAGCAGGCACTGAAACAACGAGGTGCGACACCCATCATCATCATCATCATCATCAACAACATATTTTATTGACATTAAAAGGTCAAATGGATTAGGGAAAAGTGTTCCGACTTCCTACACCCTTCCATCATCATGAACTGGACATCTTCGCACACTTACATGTACATACAAACAATATAAGATCTTAAAACATACAAAACGTTCCTTACATTGTATTAGGAGTTGAATCATTATTGTGGTGAAACAAGGAATATTATCAACTGGATGCCCAACATCCAAAACTGCGCTGATCATAAACAAATAAAACAACAAGCATCTTCTCAATGATCAGATGAAAATATCGGTCAGCAGCTACAGTGAACTATCATCACTAGCTCACCAGCAGACAGTACAGTCAGGTAGCAAGGCAGTAATATATTATATACTTCGGTGTGAAAGACTGAGTTTTATGAAGTTAAGAAAAGTGATATTTTTGTTGCAGTGAACATAATAATTTGAAGGAACTATTGTCATACAAGAGTTATCTCCCCTTAAATTGTCTCCCTTTATCGTAAGTGTCTAGCCCATACACAAACTGTTGACATCCTTTTTATGTTAGTTCCACACTGACAAGGTAAAATAATGACAGATGGTCATTTATGGAGTTAATATCACTTCTTGTCGTTTGATATTCTCTTAAAAATGTTTCGTAATAAACTGTTAATTTCTCATTTAACTCGTCAATCGAGACTATTCGTTTCGCAAAGCGCCATTTTTGTTACTTGACCAGCGTGTATTCTTTTGCTTCCAACAGCGGACTCCTTGGTTTGAAGAATGTTTTTTGTTCAAGTTGATTTTGTATATAATCATATCAAAATGTATGATAAAAAAATTTCGTAACCCTAAATATTTTTTAATACTTTTGTTTATATTATTTCAGATTTTGCAAACACGAAACTACTTTTTAAGACACAAGCACAGGGGGTGTTGAACTGTCCCTGTGTGTTAGGTGGGGAGAATTTACGTTTCAAGGTTGTACATTTTTAATGAAATATTTTAATATTCTGGTAGACAGCTACACAAAAGGTATATAATAAATAGGATATTCCATCTGTCTCGTGAAATATCCTGTTTCTCTCATCTCGTGATGGGGGAAAAAGGAGATATCCTTCACCCCCCGTCAGTCAATGAGAGAAATATGATATTTCACCCGACACATGAAATATCCTCTGTATATCTGCCAGTATGATTGTGAGATGAGACTAACTCACCAGCAGGTGCTGCCAGCGTATCTCACTGGAGGAGTTGTCTGTGAACACGGAGCTGTAGATGATGGCGTTGTATGTTGGCGTATCCACTGAAACAAAGATACACAGATTATTGCACATCCCCAGCCAATCAGATTGCAGCACATACTCACTTTAGTTTTACAATGACATCTCCCGGCTAGGTGTGACTGGAAAAACTCATAACAAAATAACATCCCATTTACAGTAACTGCCATCAGGGTTTCCCCGTGTCTATTTTTTAGTGCAAGGAAATTACATTTCGCTTTGCTTCGACGTTAAATATATATTTGTAGCGACTTAGTCTCAAATATTTAAAAAAAGGAGAAACTGGTCTGAACTTTATGTGAATGACCTTTTTTGTTTGTATGTTTGTTTGTTTTTTTGTTTGTTAAACGCCGCTCTCAGCATCATTCCAGCTATATGACGGCGGTCTGTGAATATTCGAGTCTGGACCACACAATCCAGTGATTGACAACATGAGCATTGATCCATGGAATTGGGATACGATGACATGCATCAACCAAGTCAGTGAGCCTGACCACACGATCCCGTTAGTCGTCTCTTACGACAAGCATAGTCGCCTTTTACAGCAGGCATGGGTTGCTGAAGACCTAGTCATTGCATTGAACATGATGCTGAAATAATTAAAACCAGTTAATTTTCATACATTTTTGTATTTGTTTAAAGTTGGGACTGACAAATATTAGGGGGGACTGGGTATTTTAGGGTTGCCAGTCCACCAAGACTGACAGTTTCAAGGCCAGCGGGAACACTGATCCTGTGAGTCAAGTTCTACATACACGGCATGTCCGCAGCCACCATTTCTTCATAGTACTCGATTGCTCTGTCATGACCTCTGTACTGAAAACACAAGAAAATATTATCGGACTGTGATCTCATTTGATTGTGGGTGGGCGGGCAGGCGGGCGAGCGAGTAACGCCATGTAAGCCTGACAACCTGATTCATTAATTCATGCTGGAAACATGTTCTAACCCGGAATCCCTACTGGTTTTGTTACCATGGTTACAGCATACAAAGTGGTGAACATAAACCATCACTTCATCCGGTCAATCTTTAATTATTGAATGTTAGTCCTAATCAATTCTATGATGTCAGTGACCAATGATGAAGTTCTTACTTTAGACAGCCCCCTGATCATGCTCTTGTAAGCCTCTGCCGTCTTCTCCTCCATGTCATCAAAAACAGCCTGGGCCATGCCATTCCTGCTGTGGAGGAATATCATCATCATCATCATCATCATCATCATCAACATCATCATCATCGTCTATCAGTAAATGTAAGGAGTAGCTTAAAATACAAATTCTGGCTGGAGCTTAGTGTCACCATTGCCAGATATGTTCTATTTAATGTGAAGGGGGTAGACACCAGATATGGGCCTAACATGGAGGACAGACAGACAGACAGACAGACAGATGGACAGACAGACAGACAGAGGGAGGGTGTAATTTAACTCTGTAGATTAAGCAAATTCCATTACAGTTTGTGCTAAATGAACAATTATACATTGACTCGATGATGCTGACATATGCACATTGTGTGGATGATGGAAACATGATCTGTACATGACATACACAGGGACCTACTTCCACGACTTGGACGGACCTCGGGGGGAATCTTTCCCTATATCTTGTCGAAATTCAAATTCTTCAGGCAGCAGTTTGTCTGCGGGCTCTGCACTGTTGTAGACACACAGCAGATCCAGGAGGCGTTGGTGCGTGTCGGCACTGATCCGCGTACCTGCAGCAGAGCAACACGGAGGGGAGGGAGTCATGGTTACTGCTGCCTTAAACAGTGATTCACTCATAGCTAGGACTAAGATCGATAATCGGAATGATTGTCGATGGGAAGAAATATGAACCATTATCGATATGAAACTGTTGTCAGCAATAATAACTCACATAACTATTGTGATGAAATAAAGTTCAGATTTTCCGAAACAGACCTGTCATTGTGAATAATGACAATTGTCGAAGGGGGAAAGCAACAGTTTTTGTCATATCTCAAATGTCCACAAAGTAGTCCATGCATAAATGTGTCACCACTCACCAGTGGCGTAAAATATGTTGATTTTCTTCAGAACTTTCTTGCATATTTGCTGTAAGTTCCTTCTCCGATATTTATTGATAATTGATAGAAATTTAGTCAGGGATGATCGACCTCTACGACAAATATTGATAACCAGATAGATACTCATATCACAGCATAACAGCCTCATGTAGGGAAAAAGTCTGTTCAAGCAGGTCTTAGATGATTACAAGACGAACTCAGGTAGGGTGGTGACAAACCAAGGATCATCCTAGCTATTTGATTGGCACTCTAGAAGCTGGTTAGGATGTCAGAAAATGTACAACTTTATGGATAACAACTTCTGGTTTATTGCATATAGCGATGTTGTAGATTCTTACACCGTTAGCAAGCTGGAGTGACAAGAACCAGGTGATGAAGGGCATATATGCATGACATGATGTGATAAGCAGAGGGTTAACACAGATAATTGGATGAAGCCAAATGTACAGTAAGAATAACATTTGGCCTCATCAAATAATCTGTATGCACCTTGTTATCTATCACCTGTTGTTGTCCATGTTACTCTGCTGCTTATCACAACATATCCTGCATGTATCCCCCTCATCACTTGGTTGGTGTCACTCCAGCTTGATAACGGTGTAAGAATCTACATCGAAACGTCATTACATGCAATAAACCACAAGTGATTATCCAAAAGGATGTATATTTGTTAAGTGAGTGAGTATGGTTTTACGCGGCTTTTAGCAATATTACAGCAATATCACAGCTGGGGACACCAGAAATGGGCTTCAGACATTGTACCCATGTCGGGAATCGAGCCCGGGTCTTCGGCATGACGAGCGAACGCTTTACCCACTAGACTACCTGACCGCCCATGTTTGTTAAGGATCATCCTGTTATTCAGCAATCAAGTTTGATGGTAAACCTACTAATGAGATTTGGGAACTATAAATAGGTGACATACCTTCTTTCTTTAGGCTTTTATAGATATCAACTGCATCTGTCACCCGTCTCTTCTCAATCCTTTCATTCAATGCCAGTTCATTCACAAAGCGATGCTTGTATTTGTCTGGTTTGGGCACTAATGCCTGACGAAGAGAAATGGGACAATTACTATACAGTACCAGTTCCTATAGAGGACTTGTGAGGTCTTCATGCAAGATGTATTAAATAAATGTTAAAGATCATATTTTAATGTTTGTTTGTTTGTTGTTTAATGCCGCTCTCAGCAATATTCCAGCTATATGACGGCGGTCTGTAAATAATTGAGTATGGACCAGACAATCCAGTGACTGACATCATGAGCATCGATCCACGCAGTTGGGATCGATGACATGCACCAGCCAAATCAGCGAGTCTGACCACCCGATCCAGGTAGTCGCCTCTTATGACAAGCATAGTCACCTTTCAAGGCAAGCATGGGTTGCTGAAGACCTATTCTACCCCAGACCTTCACGGGTCAGATTTTAATGAGACTGTGTAACACTAGAATACAGATCCTGGCGCAGCAAGGGCATAGATCTTGAAAATCATAGTAAACTAGAATGTGCTTTTACTAAAAAGATTCATTAACTCAGAGTTTTGGCGGGAAACAAAGGCTTCTTGTTTGAGACTCAGTCCAAATTGTTTCCATGGAAACACAACAAATTAAATTAAAAAATTAAAATATGAAAAGGCAGTAGTTGAGCATATGGTAAATGCACATGTAAATAGATTCATTAGTTTGAGAGTTATGGCTCGTAAACAAAGCCTAGAGTTGTTTGAGACTAAGTTGAAATAGTTTCCATGGAAACGTAACAAAATAAAACTTTTCAAAGTTTCAAAATAGCAAAAGACACCAGTGAAGCTGACGAATGCATATCTCGAATTTCAGTGAAATATGTCAGAAACAAACCCTACCTGCATTTGAGACTAAGTCAAAATTGTTCTCATGGAAACATAAAAAAAACATAATTTTGAAAAATTCAAAATATCAAAAGGCACCAGTTAAGCTGATGACCTATGCATAAGTGTAGAAATTTGTAGAAAAATGATGAATGGTTTTCTTTTGAATGTCCCAGAAACGAACCCTACCATCGTTTGAGACTAAGTTGAAACGGTTACCATGGAAACATAAAAAAACAATTACCCGGTAGGAATTTTTCAATATAACAAAAGGCAAAAGACATAATTCAGTTATCTCACAAAGGTCTCTGTGACATGATGATCTCTGTAAAGATAATGTTGATAAAAACACAATACCTCAATGGGTGGGTCAGCAGGGCTGTTTCTGAAGAAGCGGGGATACTTGTTCACCATGAAACGGGCAGCTTTCCGCCCAGACGCTTTGGACAAGGCGAAATTCCTCTGAAATATAGTACTGAGATCAAAAACATGCAGACAAAATACATGGAGAAGATGATTAATATCCACAAGTTAAAAGCATACAGACTAAAACATGTACCAGGCATATGCTGTTCCTATGTGTATCCAGAGGAGGTGCAGGGGTGCGCACCACACTTCACGAAGCATATTCCACATTTATCAGCAAATGTTGATAACAATGCTAAAATTGGAGGTAAGGTGAGATGGGGTTTAATGTTCTGTTCAAGGTTATTGTGTTTATATAGCGACATACAGGCACGTGTGTGGATGCTTGTACCAGTCTGGACTAATACCGGTTTTGTAATGCTAGCCCACTGAGATACCGTGCTGCAGTTGAACTTGCATACCCAACTCAGACATGTTATTACCCCGACACTGAGCTGGGCAGTCCTGTAGCACTGTTATGCCAAGCACCAGACAACTTTTGTTTGTTTGTTGTTTAACGACGCACTCAGCAGTATTCCAGCTTGGCAGTCTGTAAATACTCGAGTCTGAACCAGACAATCCAGTGATTGATGTCATGAGCATTGATCCACGCAATTGGGATACGATGACATGCATCAACCAGGTCAGCGAGCCTGACTACCTGATCCTGTTAGTCACCTCTTACGACAAGCATAGTCACCTCTTACGGCAAGCATGGTTGCTGAAGACCTATTCTACCCCGGATCTTCACAGGGAGCAAGTACCATCTTTTAATATGTTTTGGTAGCAGCGGCCAGGGATCTACCACTGAGCTTCTGTTGTATTGATGAACAATGAAAATATGTGAAACACCTACCTTTGCAGAATACGAGTATGGAATCAGGAAGGGGTCGTCCATGAACATGTATTTGGGAGCTGTCTCATCCTGTAACAAATGTAACATCCTTGACTCAACAAATGTGCATGTGAGTGAGTTGGGTTTAATTCTGCTTCAACCTGTATTTCAGTGATGTCACGGCATGCAACTTGTGGGAGGAAAGTGATGCAGGATTTAGAGGTTAACCACTGTGGTAAAACCCACAGGTAAGGTGATGTCAAACCTAGAACAATCATAGGTTCCTGATATGCCAAAGGGATGCAACTCTGAACAGCATATCCCACACTATAGACAAGTGAACTCCCAACATGAACAGGTGACCACAGACTTTACAGTCATCAACTTTACAGTACAATCTAATAGATTTACATTTAGTTTTGCTTGATTTATTTATCCGTTGACCATAAAAATTGAAAATTCAGAAGAAAAAAATCCGAATGACAAGGTCTTTTTTCTACCATTGACAAAAATCATCCCTTTGACAATAAAAATGATAATGAAATGCTGCTGTCAGATCTTAGATTTAAAATATAAATAAGGACTGAGACCAGGCCAAGTTGCGTTTTATCACCTGCTTATCCAAATTAAACATCAAGATGATTAAAAAAAACGCATTTCTTTTTTGACCTACCAATCAAATTTTTCATTAATGACTATCACTATCCATAAACAAACAAAAAGTCTGGCCTAGCCAGTGTTACATGCAAGTTAACACTTATACATTACCAAATAAATTTCACAAGAGTCTCTAATTTCCATACCTTGCCAACAGTTGATGCCAAGGCTTGAAGTATAGACAAAGAATCCCTGGAAACACAAACAGAAATATTAGTGAATACATTTTGGACCTCGCTGCAAACTGGACTTTTTTACCGGTCCCGACCGAGACCAAACTGGACAGATTTCAATGCACAAGACATTATCACTATAGACATTGATATACAGCATGTACACTTTATGACTTACAGATTACGCTGTGCTTCTTGAAATCTTTGTTGTTATGGAAAAACAATACTGCCAAATCTATATGTGAGAAATCTTATTTGTGTCCGAGATTTATCCTCGTAGTTACGCTAGGGGGGGGGATTTTATTGGGGGATTTAATCATGCTCACTGAGGGCACACCGGAGTTGGCCCATTGACAGCATGAATTACTAAATTAGTGTCACGTGCATCACTTAGCGACTGCACCTATCATGTGTACAAGAGACAGCCAGGTGACTGCTTATCTTTATCAGTCATCACCATAGGAAGTTGAAGGGATATATTACTTCAATGATGATTGCACCAAACCTGTTAAAAGGTTCGTTGTAAATTTATATTTGAAATGTATAACTGTCAGTGGACACCATTGTACATTCAACATGGAATATTATTGGAACCAATGATCTTTAGAATTCACCTTTTTTTCTTCTTTGGGATAACTATATCTGCTGAAAAAAAGAAAAAGACATCATTTGAAATAAAAAAAAATGATTATTTGGGCATGTTTGAGGGAAATTATAAAACATTAAAATAAATCTCATCCCCATTGTATCTTAGATTATTGAAAAGGAGAACATCACTTTACTACAAATAAATATCAAATTGATTGGCCTGCTAACCATGCAAACATGCATGTTAATGTAACCATGGAAACACTATGATTATGTAGCAGCCATAAAATTTTCCAAGTCCCATGATGGGATTCAAACCACAGACCTGATCCAAGGTCCGACAACTTGTCCACATGACCAAAGAGGTTAACCCCTTCAGCAAGCGGACAAGGTAAGGAGGTTATCTGTGGGATTTCAGTGGCATGTCACGGGGTTAACCTCTTTGGTCATGTGGACAAGGCGTCCGACCTTGGATCAGAAGGAATCCCAGGAATCGGACATTTAATGGCTGCTGCAATTACAGACCCATGAAATGCAAAAATACATGACAATTGTATTGTGAATGATCATTATCCTGCTTGTGTCCATCTTCCCGAGGCAAGGGCGTTAACTGACTTTAAGTCCAGTTTCCACCTTTGCCGAACTAGGCTGGAATTCCTAGGCTCGATCGTAGCGCCACCAGTGGCTATTACGAGTTATGTCCCTTCTAAACCTCTTCTATGGACCAAACAGATTCCACCTCTCATATCACTTGCATTTGCTTCAAACAAAATGGCAGCACTCAGTCAAGACGATCTGATCAATAATCAAAATCTATATTGTGATAAAACAGGTGTTACATTGTGAAGAGCATCAAATCACGTGAGCACCTTGATTAAAAACATGAAAAGATTTGGAAAATATCTGTTGACAACGGTTTGGCAGTGCACATGCTTTGCATATCCTGCCATAGACCGAAATCTGCACAACAGTTTATGAACCGGATTTCGATTTTGTTGCACGATTTTGATTGGACTATGCAAAGACTCGTTAGTCCAGCCAAAATGTAACTCCATAATACCAGCCTTGTTTGGCAAGGGTGGAAACTGGACTTTTATTGTCAGTTAATTCCCTCGCCTTGGGAAGATGGCTTGTGTCATGGACATAAGACAGATTGACATAAACATGATATATCCTCTTTTAGGGTTATAATAACCTTGTTTTGTATCCAAGGTCTCCTTCGGTGTGGATTGTGTAGACACTGTACAGGACCTGAAAGATAAAGGTACTAGTAGTATGTATACAAATAGTATTCTTCAAAATCTAATCATGCCAATCGGACATTTAATGAATCAATCCGACTGTATGATGCATACACCAGAGCTCCTGAGATGCTGCCTGTTTGCATAAGATACACAAAATAAATCACCAGTAAAGCCTCTAGTTTCTTATTTGTTGGATCATATATCTGCCAACCCTATTTTATTCCAAATTAGATGAAGAATACAAATATATCTAAATTTACACTTATTTGTTTTCCACCAACATCATACATGCAAAATGTTTTTTAGATTACCATGATTATTTAATATTGTATAAAAAATCCATAAAAAGTATGATGCTTAATTTGACATTAATATTTCACCAAAATCGTTCAGTCAATGAGTGTGTAGCAAAATTCCTTGCATTATAAATCTAGAGTTATGTCCCTCGTACTTGATACACAGACTTTGCCGAAACTAACTCAAAACACCAAACAAAGCTTCCAGCAGACGATTGCACAAAAGATGGCAAATTCATCATTTTTTAATTATTTTTTTACTCCTACAGGTAACATTTGTTTTCAAGAACTCTGTGAATAGGTTTAAAAAAGAAGCTGATGTCACTTGGGGTTTTTTTTTCAAATTTTTATTCCCTCCTCTAATTTTTGACTTGACGGGGGACACCAGAAATGGGCTAGACACATTGTACCTATGTCGGGAATCGAACCTGGGTCTTTGGCCTGACGAGCGAATGCTGTAACCACTAGGCAACCCGACCGCCCCCCCACCCCCCCCAAAAAAAAAAAAACCCAAAAAAAACAATCCAATAAAATCTAAGCCCTACCAAATTAATTTGGAGTTATATACAAATATGTGAAAATGGTAAATTGTTCTTAGCAGTGTAGATCCAGCACAATCCAGTGAGCTTTGTCTTTGGAAATATGACTGACACAAAAAAAAATTAAGTGTTTGTTGATGATCATGTTGATTACGTCTCAGCAACATAAACTGGACGATGCTTCAGGAATGAAAAAAATATTTTATCCTGGCTTGGGATGTGCACATGCTTCCAAGTAGTCATGTACCAACATGCACAGAATATTTGCTACAATAGAGCTGTTTCATGCACGATTTTCTTCACCCAGCAGGTAACTTGTAGGATATAACCACAGATCAATGAATAATAATATGTTGATTTACGTATCCTCATGAACGTCATCATGTAATGTAGACATACGAGGAATATCTCTGAGAAAACTATTTCCAAGCATGGGGGACGGGGAGGGGGGCGGGACGGGGACGAGGATGGGGGCGGGACGAGGATGGGGGCGGGACGGGGACGGGGACGGGGACGGGGAAGGGCGTTGGATGGGGACGGGGGCGGGACGGGGACAGGGACGGGCACGGGCACGGGGGCGGGACGGGGAAGAGGGCGGGACAGGGAAGGGGACGGGGACGGGCACGGGCGCGGACGGGGATGGGACGGTTTCTGAACGGTGAACCTGATAACGGGAGTTAGTTGACCTCTCTTCCGACGAAAGCCATGCAATCCATTCATTCTACACCATCAGCAATGCTCTAACCTCGATCGTTCTTGAGAAAACACTAAACCTAACCTTAAGGACCATAAAGAGGTGTACGACTGGCAAGTGGTGCCCATGTATACATTATTCATTTCTTGACATTGCCAAGATTGGTGGAGACTTTGAGAATTAGCCGCGTAATAAAATGTGTTTTACGGTTGCATTTCCCCCCAGCACTGACAAATATAACCAGTGACACAATCACGTTCTTTGCACCATTTCTTTACATCTACAGTAGAAAATGCATACCTATAGCACGATCTAGCACTTGTTGCAAGCACTCGCCGAGCGCAGTTGCACATGGACGCAGCCATCTTTGATACTTAAAATCCGGAGCGCTCAATTTATAGATGAGTTTGAAAGAATTTGAAAGCAATGTCTTTCTAGCATAATGAAATCTTAGAAAGATTCCTATTTAGATAAGTTAACTAAACTTTATTTTATCATTCTGTAATAATGTAATGTTTGATTCTGATAAATCACGAAGACATCGTTATATATGGATCAGACCGGTAGTCCTAACATCGCCAATGTTCTTGGAAAAGAATTATTATTTGCAAACCTAATTCGAACAGAGAAGAAAACACTCAAATAGTTAAAAAATATATACATTTCAGACAAATGTGATTCTTTTTTCGACATTTGCAGAAAATAATAAGAACTTAAAACAAATGGCGGTATAGCAGTGGCATTTGGAAGTTGATATGATGAACAAGGGAGGTATTGTTCAATGGATAACTTCTTTATTATAATGAATGAGGCGTTTCTGTGCAGATAACTTGATAACAGCGTTTATATCTACACCGAAATGTTGCATTAATTGTAAAGTTGTATATCCATAGAACTATTTCCCTTGATCATAGTAGTGGTATTGTGTAAATATAAATAAAAACAAACCCTTGAAATGTGTATACGTACCCGTGACAATGTGACCCAAGATCCACGGTCCGGTGACAGCGCAAACTGCATGTGTAATCTGCACTACGAGTTCCGGTGGAGCAGACGACAGGACACTCCATCTCCCATCTTCTGTCTTCTGCAAGTTTTCTGTTTGTTGTTTTAACGCCGCACTCAGCAATAGTCCAGCTATATGACGGCAGTCTGTAAATAATCGTGCCTGAACCAGAAAATCCAGTGATTGACATCATGAACATCGATCCACGCAATTGGGATACGATGACATGCATGCTTCAACCAAGTCAGCGAGCATGACCACCCGGTCCCGTTAGTCGCCTCTTTATATGACAAGCATGGGTTGCTGAAGATTTATCATAACCCGGACCTTCACGGGTCTTCTACAAGTAGATTAGGAAATATATGATGCACAAATTCAAATAATGTGAATGTATTTAATATGTATTGTGACAAAAAGTGTTTGTGGTATATCCGAAATATTTTACATATATTTTAAACTATGACGTTTTTCAAAGATATATAATTTAGCTGAGTATATGGTTTAGTTTTTGTGACATGCATGAAATATAGGGCGATAAGTTTCATTGTTTATCATTTAAATATCAATTAATCATCTTTGATATTTTTAAAATGTTTGAAAAAAGAGTGACCTGGTTTAAAACACAATCCTCAATTTTTAATACTATTATTCTTATTGGGTTTAAAAGTTGGTTGGTTGGTTTGCTGTTTAACGCCGCACTCAGCAATATTCCAGCTATATGACGGCGGTCTGTAAAATAATCGAGTCTGGATCAGACAATCCAGTGATTGAGATCATGAGCATCGATCCACGCATTTGGGATATGATGACATGCATCAACCAAGTCAGCGAGCCTAACCACCCGATCCGTTTTTTTAAGGATAGTTTTGACCTGCGAGATACGGGGTCGTTTTTGCTTGGCTCTAGGTATGGCATATAGCGTGCCAAGACATTCAACACTTCAAGCAGATCAAATATACACGAATGGGTCTTAAATATACGGGGCGGTCGGGTAGCCTAGTGGTTAAAGCGTTCGCTAGTCACGCCGAAGACCCGGGTTCGATTCCCGACATGGATCCAATGTGTGAAGCCCATTTCTGGTGTCCCCTGTCGTGATATTGCTGGAATATTGCTAAAAGCGGCGGAAAACCATACTCACTCACTCACTTAAATATACAGCAATGTAAGGATGATTAAACAATACAAGTATAGTTCATATTAATTACTTTGTGTAATACCACCAGTGTTAAAATTGTCGTTGATGAGTTCGTTTGATAGTGTGGTGTTTGCTTGTTGCAGTAGGTTTTGAGGGATCTGAATTTGATCACAATGATCAAACCTTTCTACACTTAAAATATGCGATGTCCAGAACGTGGAAGGGATATCTTTGTTATGTGTCTCTGTTTTAAAAATATTGTATTGGTCTGTGTTTGATAAGTGTTATAAGTTATAAGTTTAAACTAATAAATGATATATGTACTACTGCTGCTATAACATATTTATATATTGACGAGGAGAGATGTTTATATAGGCGACACCTATTTATCAAGCCCCCTTCACTGTATTCAGTGGAAAACTGGAAATAAATACTCCGTGACCCGAGACAGATTTTCATCATATGTTTTGTAATCTGTCCACGGTGGCTATGACTATTTGCTGTTTTCCTTCTTTCTAAAATACGAAGGTGATTAAGATATATTACTTCGGAATGAAGAGCGATTGTAATGTCAGTTCTAACTATGCATTGAAGATGACGCGGAAATGTTGATCGTTTGAAGTTTATAGATCCTTAATTTCCGTCTGACGAATAACATAATATTTAAAAGTATTTGCTATACAACTTATGCAAATATCTTGATAACCTATTAAATCACTATCTACAATATGTACTTATATACCATTAAATTTGTTTTAAAGGCTTTCTTCTTTGAATATTATGCTTTTCTAATATTTTGTTCACTTTCATATGATTTTATCTTTCTTTCTCTACATCAAACGTAAGGACTTGTAAGATGTCTTCAAGATAGTTTAATCTGGACTAAATCTATAATTAGTAACCATCTGGGTAAATAAATATAGCTCCAATGAAAAGTTAGTCATTTCAGTAGGTAGGGACGTGAACTTTAGTATGACAGTGTCAAAAGTGTCAAGGAAAGACAGAAGGATGTAAGGTGTTGGAGTTATGAAAAGGATCGTCGTATACCACAACGGCTCAACTGTGGATGGAAAGGCAAGTCGCAAGTTCACGAATTTGTGTCGCTGTCATGTCATCTTGGAATGAATCGGGAATTTTAGTTTGCATTTCCTCAAGATGATGTCGCAAAAGAAATTTTGCCAAGACTGCACTTTACCGGACGCAGTTTATAGCGTTAATTGGATCCGGCTCTAGGCCGTGTTTCTCGCTTCATTGATCTCATGTGCCTCCTTCATCCTGTAGTAGTTTAGGATAGGTTGCCCCAACCTCAAGCCTTAGACCTGGGATCCCCTTTCCGATAAAGCACACCATTGCAGGCCCGAGGGTCGTGTAACCCCCAGTATCGTTTTCCTATCAAACAGCTTTTCACGATCCCTACGGTTGTGCATACCTTGCCAATCAAACACCCCTTTGACGATCCTTAGGGTTGGGCACCCCTTACCAAATCAAACACCCCTTTACATTACAATCATTAGGGACAGCTATCAGTATGGGTGGAGTCTATTGGTAGCTATTGTGCCTCTTGTAACGAATTAATACGATGTATAATTTGGGGACAATCTGTTCAATTTTTGTCAAGTTTTGTGATAGCTCCTGTGGTAATTCAGATAATGAGATTAACTCATTAGCGTAGCAGAGCTTCATGCTGGCGATGTGAATACGATCCTCCAAGTGGTGCTTATTGAAGCTGAAAAGGTGGACTTAGTAAAGTGCAGTATTGTCTTATTGTTGACTATGTTTTACTGCCTATTTGAAATTACTATCAAATATAGATCTACATGATATGGAACTTATTCAACATATTTGATCGTAGCACCGAGCACTTATGCATCGATGAGCGAATGTTGTTATAAGCTGTGAGCACCAGTCAGCTATGATCCAACACTATCGCTACAACCTTTCAGTAATCCATTGTGGGACAGGAAAACCAGTGATTGACAGCAAGATCAACATTATTACTGTTGGGAAGAATGTGCAGCACAATCACTCTACTTGTTCATGTGCCTATCAGCATCAAGATAAGAAACATGACAGATAGGGCTGGGACAGGTAACTTGGGTACTCAGGTCAGGTTGAACTAAGTGAGACCCAGGTCCCCACACGACTACTCAGACCCAGGTTACACGTGATATGTTGTTAATTATCTGACAATAACACTAAAACTTCATGGTTACACTACTAGTTGCTAATGTTTGTTTTTCTTTCTGATGTGTGCACAATTTCCTTATGACTATTATATGATTAACTAAACATGCTAAAGATAAAACTTCAGTCAACTTCACTATATGCATGATAACATTGTTTTATACGTGTATCTAAATAGTTTTTGCCAGGGCTTAGGTTGAACAATTCCCATTCAGACATTTTGTACCAACGTTGTGAGTCCTATAGTCATGATAGTGGGTACCCGGGTTGGGTCAGGTGACAGGGTTTCAGGGACCGTGTCCCAGCCCTAATTACAGGACATGCTATAACAAATCAATAATGATGGTAAATGTCTCTTCAACTCCTGCTACAGTTGGCTGTATGAATGAACACTATGTTCATTAGTCTGTCTCAAGATATCACTTTTATTGTTTGTTTTTTCTGCAGGTTGTGGCTGTGTCGGAAAGTCTTGATGAAACCCTGGTAGAGATTGGACAAAAGCTTGGCGTCCAAGCCAAATGTCTGTACACCGGAGAGGGCGGCCTCATTGATGATGTTCGACTGTTCAGGTATGCACTGTCAGGGCAAGAAATATCTTACTCAGGCCTACATGTTTTTTGGGGTCATGCAATATGTCTATTACCCATAGGGTTAGAAATAATGGAGTTCACAAAAATTGTATGTGCACTGGTGTAAATATCACTTCTCGCGCACCAACGTATTGTTTCCGTCATCCGGATGGCATTGTTGATGTCATTCGAATCAATTGTGACGTAAGGTCGGAATGACGTCACACTAGAAACGACATCAAAACTGAAGATTGTTGACGTCATTTGACAAATTGCGGTTTTCTTGGACGACGGTGGTGATCACACCATTTTTCTAGAGGGAGCTCAAATGGATTAAGAAATAATGTGTAATGTGTGTCAGACAGATTTTACGGAACTCGTATAAGAATTTATGTATTACCTTCGCCCTGGCTCGGGAGATATAAGAATTCTGACACTCGTTTTGGAAAGTGCATATGACACACAATACTAGACTCACAATATATATTTCAAAGCTAGTCATGATAAACTCGAAGTACAATCAAGCACAGCATTGCTGAGCAGAATCTCTGTCAACTGTGTCTCAAAAACAAATGTAAACAGGTAGTTCTGAATGGAGATAACATTAGCTGTGCTATGTTATGGATATTTTACACCCTTTGTTTCAGGCTTGTTTTTGAATCAACAACCTGAAATATTCTCATGACTGTAATTTCATTCATTTTCCCAACGCCAACTTCAGTAAATCTGTCTGTCCAAGGCTGTCAGTTTGATAATGACACTGTATCGTGGTCGATAGTTGACTGTTTGAACATTACTTGTCTCTTATGTTTAAAAAATAGCAGGCACACATGTTGACGTTCCACAAATTGGTCGTGACTTGCACTTAAACTGTATGAACTTACCCCAGCACCTCATGAGGCAGTGAATATTAAGCCTAACGCGGGACGCATAAAACCACATGTACTCCTCGTGATCCTGCTACAACTTACCAACATGTTTTAATATGACATTGTAAAAGAATTAAAACAAATTCAAGTTTGATAGAAAACAGCTGTTCTATTGAGCAGAGGTTAGCTTGTGCTTTGTCACGTGACTGATAGACCTGGAAAAAACATGTGGCTCTTTTTAATGGAAGCAGGGTATAAGGGATTATTCAGCCTCTCAGAAATTCATGTGCAGTCTGACTTACTTGTGGCGGGGTATAAGGGATTTATTCACCCGCTGAGAAATTTATTTCCCTCCAAGGCGGGATACGTGGTATCTTATCAAGATCACATGGACCAATCAGATCTCATCATTCTGACATGGAGGTATGATAATGCATATTGTTTAACTCCTGAAACTTTCACTTTGGCAGTGGAAACATTGAAGTTACGAAGATGTCAGCTTATTATTGTGAAGTCAATTTAAAGCAGGATTTACCTTCAGCTCTTGAAATAGCAACTAGAATTGAAATTTCAGACGGACTTGTTATTTCCTCCTTTTACATGAACCACTGGTCCACTGAGACGCAGACTGGTGAGATGTGACAAATAAAAGGCAACTATGCTTGTCGTAAGAGGCGACTAACGGGATCGGGTGGTCAGACCCGCTGACTTAGTTGATGCAGGTCATCGTATCCCAATTACATAGATCGATGTTCATGATGTCAATCACTGGATTGTCTGGTCCAGACTCCATTATTTACAGACCGCCATTATATAGCTGTAATATTGCTGAGTCCAGCATTAAACAACAAACAAACCAAATTTTGCCAGTTTCATTTCGACCCTTGGCTTACTTATCATGCTTATCAAACCGAGTTCTAATCGAAGTACGTCAGTTAATCCTTATATAACACTAACTCTAATTTATGAAGAAAATATGCTTACACCAGTCTGACCTCAAAACTTTGAGTGTACTAAACGGAACAAGGCTCTAAGTGTCATATTCAGTGGAGGTTAGTGTTCTAGGGACTATTATCATGATTATTAGCTGAGATTACCAGACCAAACAATTGTTTCTTGACTTAAGCTTCAGACTAGTGGGTAAGTCGTAGATTGTATTACCACTATTTAGGTTTAATCAATTTAGTTTTATTCAAAATATCACTCAATATTGTTTACATTAGTTTTAGCAAATTTTTGTGTAATAACTAATATCATAAACAAGCTAGCAGCATTTCAAACAGTTTGCTTGTGCCGTCACTCTTAATCATATTAATGTGGGTGGACTTTTGTTCCCCCAGCTTGTTGGTAATTGAGTGTTACGAGATAACTTATGGTGATGGGGAGCACGGGTGACCCAGATGTCTTAGGAGCCGCAATTTGCCATACAGTTGCATCCTTTGGGCGTAACCATGACGACAGAAACCTGTGAAACTGTGAAGGGTTAGTGTTGATCGGACTGTACTGTCCATATATGGCTAACAAAGACTTGTATTGTGGTCTAGAATTGTGTAATGCACTAAAAGAGACGGGCACGGGTGGCCCAGTCATCTAAGCTGCCACAATTCGCTGTGCAGAGTTGCGTTTCTTGAGCACGCCAGTTTGTGGGTTCAAATCCCATTTCGACCTGATGATGTTTCTAGGTTTGTCAGCACCATACCTGTGCTCGTGGGTTTCACCAAAGTGGTAAACATCTGACCTCACTTCAGTTTTCCTCCCTCATTAAGCTGACATGCCGTGGTATAACTGGAATACTGTTCAAAGCAGCGTTAAGCCCAGCTCACTCATCATTATAATAATAATGATTGATTGTAATGTTCCATTGTATTTGTCCATGTAGGGCTTGACTGATGATTGACAGAGACACGACACTAGGCCATTGATTGTTGTGTGTTGATTTTGTTTGTTGTTTAACGCCGCACTCAGCAATATTACAGCTATGTGACCGCAGTCTGTAAATAATCAAGTCTGGACCAGACAATCCAGTGATTGACATCATGAGCATCAATCTATGCGAATGAGATACGATGACATGCATCAACCAAGTCAGCGAGCCTGACACAAATACAACACTATTCCCAGCACCTTGTTGCAGCCAAACCTCACCGAAACTATGTGAATACAGCAGATATTTAATGTGCCTGTCTCTGCTCTAAAGTACTTGAAAAGATAGGTCTGTTTAGGAATAACATAATCTACTAAATACATTAATCTCAACCAATACTTCATGATCTTTACATAGTGTACAACCTTAATACAAAGCCTGTTGACAATTCTTCCAGCTACTCTGGGAGAACCTCTGTTTAGACACAACATAGATTTACAATAACAATCATGACCAGCTTCAGTGTCAGGGGAGGGAGGAAATCCCCATACTTCAGCTGTATAGGACCGTACAGGTAAGACTTTTGCGCCGAATATATGAAAAATGACAATAATAATGACGACATTTGCCACCCCTGTCGAACACCAGACTTGCATATGAACAACTCAGGATACCCATTTTCCAAAGACAGACATGATTTCACAGATTAACTTATATGTTCTACCTTTAACCCCCCCAGTCCACAACTTGAATAAAAGCCCATTCTATTACACAGAATCAAAGGCCGCCGTTAGGTCTATGAAGGCACAGTACAGTCAACCTCGCATCTGTGACAAATACTTATTCATTACTGTATAGATAACAAATATGTTGTCTTCAGTTTGAAGGCCTTTTCTGAAACCAGCCTGTTCATCAAAAATACACCGCTCTACATGAGGCCATTTTGCTAATCTGTTACATTTTATTTTAGCAAATATTTTGCCTGCTACATCTAGGAGTGTTATAGGCCTATAGTTGGATGGATGTTATTTGATGCTGTTCTTAAATACTGGTAATATTACACTGCATGATCAGTTGTCCAATGCGAATGCATATTGTCCTCCATCTTCTGTTTCCTCATTTCATTTGTTCGTGTATCGGCTTCAGGATCCAATTATAGGATTGTGATAAGAATTTACTGAGTTCAAATTTTGATAATACTACACTTGGAGAGATTATGTTGCCTTGTCCAGAATAACAATTGTTTGTTTGTTTGTTGTTTAATGCCGCGCTCAGCAATATTCCGGCTATATGACAGCGGTCTATAAATAATCGAGTCTGGACCAGACAATCCAGTGATTGACATCATGAGCATCGATCCACGCAAATGGGATACGATGACATGCATCAACCAAGATAATGCAAGTAACAAAGGGAGCAGGACTGTCCAACCGATCCCGGTAGTCGCCTCTTACAAGCATAGTTGCTTACTACGGCAAGAAGGTAGCTGAAGATCTATTCTACCCTGGATCTTCCTGGGTCGAATAAGAATTGACTTCAGTAGTTTTGTGTGTTTGTAAACGCAAAACATGGTGTGCATACCATGCGCAATGGATTTATGTTTTTGACTCCTTGAATGTAAAAATGTATTGAAATCAGTTCTTATTAATAAATGCATCAACAAAAATGAATTCACAGACAGCTTATTTATTCACTAACACAACAAAACTGTGGACTATCAATGAACAGTACGAAATCAATGACATTCACAATCATTTTTTTGTTTTTTGTCAGGGCTTTTTTTTCTAAATATATTTCATTCACTTGAGTATATGCTGTTACATATTTTCACAGGGGCAGTCAGTAGCCTAGTGGTTAAAGTGTCCGCTCATCAGCCAAAGAGCCGGGTTCTATTCCCGACATGGGTACAACATGTACAATGTGTGAAGCCCATTCCTGGTGTCTCCCGCCGTGATATTGCTGGAATGTTGCTCAAAGCAGCGTAAAACCCTACTCACTCACTCACATATTTTCACATGACACGTAATATTGTACTTATTAGGTGTAGGTTACATACGTAGACAGCAGACAGCAAGTTATAGTTGGCTAGTCAGGAGACAGGTGTGCAATATCATCAAGTCAACAGGTGGTGACACTGGCAGGCTGTGTTAGCCTTGCTTATTGAGGTCATCATTAATTAAGTATGAAGCTAAATCCTCACAGAACATTAGTGGGAATTGTTCATGCTCAGAATCAGGAGACATGTTATGTTAACTTGACACTTCATTTGCCAAATTTTTCCATTTTCTGTCAGACCCGTGAAGATCCGGGATTACGATTATGCTTGTCGTAAGAGGCGACTAACCGGATCGGATAGTCAGTCTCGCTGACTTGGTTGATCATGTTGATGCATGTTATCGATCCCAAATGAATGGATTGATGCTCATGACGTCAGTCACTGGATTGTCTGGTCCAAACTTGATTATTTACAGACCGTGGTCATATAGCTTGAATATTGCTGAGTGAGGCGTTAAACAACAAACAAAACAAACATTTTCTGTCAACTGTGTAATTGATTTCTCTATCTAAAATTTATCAAAAGTTTTTGTAAAGTTTTCAAGTGAAAATTTGGGTTTCTTAATACTTGATACATGTATACATTTTTTGCATGCCAGTATGATGTGATTTAAGAGAATGTTAGAGTTGTACTCAAGTAAAATAGAACATTTTGTAAATGTAAATTGTTTTGAAAATTTTGCATTCTGAAAACATTCTAGTTTCTACTGTGGCCCAAAACTCTTTAACATGCTTGCAATCCCAATATACATGAACAGTGTTTGCATTGGTCTCAACAATAAGGGGTCCCCCTTGGACGTGAGCGTTAGCCACGAGCTCTCCAGGTGCTAGGCTATTTAGGGGTGTTTGGGTGCATGCCCCCAAAGGACTTTTTTCAGATGTAGACCTGAAATGGTGTATTTTAAGCCATTCTGAACATAAATAGAGTGTCCGGTTTAAATCTTTATGTGTGTATAACATGGATTTTGGGAGGCGAGATAAACTCGATACATAACAATAAGTTATGCATAGAGTAAACTTGTTACAAAATGAAAAATGTGTAAGGGGATGCATGAAGGTTTGTTTTTTTGCATCCCAGTTTTTTTTTCAGTGCATATTTTTGTGTATAGAACGCCGGAAACGCACTCTGCATGAAGTAAGGATTCAGTATTAGGTTAACAGAATGAGCAGAGTTCATCACAAATTATCATTCTTAACAGTTCATTCTTTGTATACGATGATGCGATGAATAAGTATATTGAAGTTCGTTTCAAGGCATCAATAGCGGTAATCTGACTGTGGTTGCTGTGAATAACGGTGAATTTTGCGATCTACCGATCACTTCGCATACGATTTCGCCGAAATTATTGTAAACATTATTATAAATGTTGTATGAAATTTTGAATATAATTAATCAAATATATTGCAAACATTAGTCCAGATAAACAATGAACAATTTTTTTATTACCAGATATTATAATAATAGGATTAAGTTGTGTACTTCAGTTCAAATTTGTTGACTTGTATTTCCGGTGTTACATGATTGCGGTGATCAGCTGATAATGTTTTCTGAGATGGGGGAAAACATTGTGTCATTGGAAAACTTGAGTTTATTTAATATGTTAGTAAACTTTGGGAGACATGCTTTACCAAGCGCTATTACCGAAGCGCGCATTAACGAGGGAACACTGATGTAACAACTTGTAATGTGTGTGAAAAGTCGTACTAAAATATGCTATTTGAAGGGTGTGTGGCCTTAATGCAAATGTCCGATTGGGATTTTACATTTTCCGGACCCCTAATTGAAAATCAAGCAATTTCATCTTTTGTACATTTTCTGTATCTGATAAAACATCTTTCCACGATATATCTAAGTAAAATATCTTCCCCATTTCTCACATACTGTTGGGGGATTTGCTGTAGTAATAGTCCTGTGATGAAACTATCTGGAGCCTTTAGGTGCTTCAAGTAAGTCTATCAAAGTTGTATTTAAATGTTGATTATATAACATCATATGACTATTTCAAATAGCAACATTCCAGGATTTTGGTATGTTTGATAGAGCCTGGTAATAGTCAGGAATTGTGCCTTTGATTTGGTATGTTCTTTTAAGTTCATTGAAGGGCATTATATCATCTTCATTACAGAGATCTTTGATAGTATATTCCCTTTAATCATGTGAATAACCAATTTCTTATAATGAAATCTTTTTTTTTAGACTAATGATAACACCAAAGAGATAAACTTGCTTTACAATAAACATTTAGATTACCTCAATCTTGACCTTTCGCGAACTTTGACCCACCGATGAAATGACTCACAGGATGTCGACATCAGCCACTAAGAAAGCAGCTTTGCGGAGCTAGTTTCAAACTGGTAACTTCCATTCCAGACTTTGCTTTCAAAGGTCTTTTGAATCAGTCATAAGACCGTAACAGTAGTTTTGTGTTAAGTTTTAGAGATTACATGATTAGGAAACATATTCCACTAACAATGTAACATAACAATATGAATATTTTAGCAGTGTTTAGTTTTCAGTTTTTTATTACGTTTGTATCGTTATGTATTGTGTAGTCTTCCGTTTTTGAATGGCGAATGGTGATACTACTTAAGTTGTTTAACAAACATATAGGGGTTATCACGCGAGTGTGTTTGGGGATGGTAAATATCCTGCATTAGGAATAAACATTGTATTTAGCGAGCCTTGGCGAGCTAAATACATAGTGTTTATTCCTAATTCAGGATATTTACCATCCCCAAACACACAAGCATGATAACCTCTTTATCATATAATGTCATGCTTTAATTCTGTGCTTCAAAATCGCTTTCCCTCTCTCACAATTATTACCGAAACATTGCGAGTTTTCCTGGAATGCGCGCATTAATATTTATTACGTCACAGGGTAAGTGATGTGTCAGTCGGACAGTGACAGTAGCCAATATAGTTCCAACTGAAATCTGTTTCTTATACAGTGGCGAAGCAACATATACGCAAAACAACAATTGTTTTTACTTGCCTTTCGCGGCAATCCATCGGTCTGTCCGCTAGAGTAACTGCCCTTTGTCAAAGGGAAGCTACTCTAACCCTAGTCTATGAGACCTCACGGCGTTGTTGTCAGACGTTGTTGACAGTCGGTCTGTCCTGTCATAACTATAAGAAGCGTACTCAGATGTACACACAGCGACAAAACGAAACAAGGTAACAATTCAAACATATTCCCGTTAAATCCAACTATTTTAATTTGTGGAGAAGGTTTCAAGCCGCAGAGGTCTACAAGCACAGATATGGCTACTGATCCCGCTTGGCTAGGCCTCGTGCCCTCGCCAAATTGTTTCGAAATTTATATCTCCAAAGTTGCCAAAACTTATAAAATGCCTTAGCTGCGTCACAGTGAGACACAGATTTTCAATATATTAGACGGGGCGGTCGGGTAGCCTAGTGGTTAAAGCGTTCGCTCATCACGCCGAAGACCCAGGTTCGATTCCCGACATGGGTACAATGTGTGAAGCCCATTTCTGGTGTCCCCCGCCGTGATATTGCTGGAATATTGCTAAAAGCGGCGTAAAACCATACTCACTCACTCACTCAGTATATTAGACTGTTCTTTTGATAATGATAGCAATTATCGCTGTAGTTAATCCAGATTCCCGATGGTTAATTCTGACTCGATCGCCGAATGACGAGTGCGACGCCATGTTTGTTTATAAACAGTGAAAGTAGTCCCTACTTGACCTTTGATATTTGCATCTCTATCCGCATATGACCCCAACGGATATCGTTTTTATCCGTTGGCTTTATCCTGCCGAGAAACCTACCCATTATATGATAAACCCGTTTATCTGACATAATCATATGCAACCAACCATGTCAGGGTAACAGGACTTGACTGTTTGTGGCTCAACACCTTGTTTGACCATGCTCTTGTATTCTCTCAAAATGCATATTTGACTGGACTAATTCTCTGTTTTTAAGTGTTACAGTAAAATATTATTCTCCCTCATCACACACCTCTTGGAGTTTGAAGTAGCTTGCTCAGCGTATTATTTTTATGGACTGTTTAACAAAGACTATTTTTTTCAGAGTCAGTTTGCAGGATAATAGGCATTTATGTTATGTGAGAACACCTTGCATTCAATCAAAGAAATCTGAGTGTATGACTCTACTTGTCATGACAAGAACCATGTCGACATCAACACATAGGGATAATGAAATCTTTTAAACATTTTTCTGTCTTTTGTGTCATGGTTATAGATGCATAGCGTATATATTTTGGTATTTATTCCAGAGATGACGAGAAGATTTATGTCTCTGAAGGGGATCCATTCATTGGTATGTTGATTTTTTTGTTCACAGAAGTTTTGTGGACATGTTATATGTTCATTTTGCTTATTATATTTGTTGCTGGTATCACCATGGCTACTGACAATGAGGAAAAAATAAATAATTTTTGAATATTCATTTCGTCGATGGGTAGCCGTTACAGCGTTACTTGTCTTGCTGAAGACCTGTGTTTGTATCTCCACCTGGGAACGTGTGTCCCTGCCAAATGTAATGAAATATTGTGTAACTAGTGTAAGTGGCGTGAAACCATACTCACAGATTCTTTTTTTTTTACAGCTCTGTCTCACTCACCCCCAAAAGTTGTCTCCCCTTTACGTCCAAAGTCTGACCCCCCTGGACCTCAGAGGAAGTGCACCAAGTCGGAATGGGTGACGCTGAATGTAGGGGGGTCCATGTTCACAACAACCAGGTGAGTGGTCGCATTCACGTCGAGGTTCATCTTTGTGAGAGCTTGCCGCAAATAGCTGCAGGATTGCTCACTCACTGTTTCATAATATATGATTGAAATACTTACGCACCTGTGAAGATCTGGGGGGGAATAGGTTTTCAGCACCCCACGCTTGCCATAAAAGGCGATTATGCTTCTTGTAAGAGTAGACTAACGGGATCGGATGGTCTGGCTTGCTGGCTTGGTTGATGCATGTCATTGTATCCCAATTGATTTATGCTCATGATATGAATCACTGGATTGTCTGGTCCAGACTTGATTATTTACAGACTGCCTTCATATAGCTGGAATATTGCTGAGTGCAGCGTTAAACCGCAAACAAACAAACAAACAAAATGAAATACTTAAATCACATCACATGATAATATAGGTAGTTCAGCAGTCTCAGAGTTCCACCCCTTGGGTCTGCCAGGATTTGCTAGTCCTGGTTCGGATCCCATATCTTAATTTTAAAATGTGGAATTAAATTAAATGATGATAACTGCCATGTTTATTCCCACCAAATCTGTTAATAAATTTCACTTTAAAACGTACTATTAATAGTGACACAGATGTGTTCATGGCCTGTACAGGGAATACTGTAAAGCGAGCCCGTGGGGAAGACTTGTTAAAATTACTTACTGGTAAACATGTCAGTCTGGGCTCTGAAATGATTTTTTTTTATAGTTGTGAAGCTGATCATGTGTTTTTGTTTTGGTCCTATCGACTATGCTATTTCATGACCACTTTAGAAACATATTTGAAAGTTTATTTTAATTTTCTATTTTGAGGTATTTACACAAAAATCCATAATGCAAGTAATTAGAACAATATTATCAATAATGCAAGTAATTAGAACAATAATATCCATAATGCAAGTAATTAGAACAATAATATCCATAATGCAAGTAATTAGAACAATAATATCCATAATGCAAGTAATTAGAGTGAGTGAGTGAGTATGGTGTTACGCCGCTTTTAGCAATATTCCAGCAATATCACGGCGGGGGACACCAGAAATGGGCTTCACACATTGTACCCATGTCGGGAATCGAACCCGGGTCTTCGGCGTGACGAGCGAACGCTTTAACCACTAGGCTACCCGACCGCCCCGCAAATAATTAGAACAATAATATCCACAATGTAAGTAATTAGAACAATAATATCCATAATGCAAGTAATTAGAACAATAATATCCACAATGCAAGTAATTAGAACAATAATATCCATAATGCAAGGAATTAGAACAATAATATCCATAATGCAAGTAATTAGAACAATAATATCCATAATGCAAGTAATTAGAACAATAATATCCACAATGCAAGTAATAAGAACAATAATATCCATAATGCAAGTAATTAGAACAATAATATCCACAATGCAAGTAATTAGAACAATAATATCCATAATGCAAGTAATTAGAACAATAATATCCACAATGCAAGTAATTAGAACAATAATATCCATAATGCAAGTAATTAGAACAATAATATCCATAATGCAAGTAATTAGAACAATAATATCCATAATGCAAGTAATTAGAACAATAGTATCCACAATGCAAGTAATAAGAACAATAATATCCATAATGCAAGTAATTAGAACAATAATATCCACAATGCAAGTAATTAGAACAATAATATCCATAATGCAAGTAATTAGAACAATAATATCCACAATGCAAGTAATTAGAACAATAATATCCATAATGCAAGGAATTAGAACAATAATATCCATAATGCAAGTAATTAGAACAATAATATCCATAATGCAAGTGATTAGAACAATAGTATCCACAATGCAAGTAATTAGAACAATAATATCCATAATGCAAGTGATTAGAACAATAATATCCACAATGTAAGTAATTAGAACAATAATATCCATAATGCAAGTGATTAGAACAATAGTATCCACAATGCAAGTAATAAGAACAATAATATCCATAATGCAAGTAATTAGAACAATAATATCCACAATGCAAGTAATTAGAACAATAATATCCACAATGCAAGTAATTAGAACAATGATGTCCATAATGCAAGTAATTACAACAATAATATCCATAAAGCAAGTAATTAGAACAATAATATGCATAATGCAAGTAATTAATAACATGACTGATTATAAGCATAGTTTCTGTGAGACAGCGTGATGCCGTCGTGATGCCGGCGTGATGCCAGCGTGATGACTGTGTGATTTGTTTGTTTGCAGGGGGACGCTGACCCGGACGGACCCAGACAGCATGCTGGCCAGGATGTTCAACAGTGAGAACGGTAGGTTGTGTACATCCTGTAGGCTATGGGGGTGTCCCTGTTGTCTGACTTGTCCCAGGCAGCACAGTTCACAGTGAGAATGGTAGGTTGTGTACATCCTGTAGGCTATGGGGGTTCCCCTGTTGTCTGACTTGTCCCAGGCAGCACAGTTCACAGTGAGAATGGTAGGCTGTGTAGATCCTGTAGGCTATGGGGGTTCCCCTGTTGTCTGACTTGTCCCAGCACCACAGTTCACAGTGATAATGGTAGGTTGTGTACATCCTGTAGGCTATGGGGGTTCCCCTGTTGTCTGACTTGTCCCAGGCAGCACAGTTCACAGTGAGAATGGTAGGTTGTGTACATCCTGTAGGCTATGGGGGTTCCCCTGTTGTCTGACTTGTCCCAGGCAGCACAGTTCACAGTGAGAATGGTAGGTTGTGTACATCCTGTAGGCTATGGGGGTTCCCCTGTTGTCTGACTTGTCCCAGGCAGCACAGTTCACAGTGAGAATGGTAGGTTGTGTACATCCTGTAGGCTATGGGGGTTCCCCTGTTGTCTGACTTGTCCAAGGCAGCATAGTTCACAGTGCAGAGTTGTGTCCCTTGGACATGCCAGAAGCCTGTGATACTGTGTTGGAATCCCAGATTTGCACTGAATACTTTTCTTGACTCCATGTGCTAGGCCAGCTAGGATATTTCTTGCTATCATTATTCAAAATCTCCTGTCGTTGCTGATGAGGATGCGAAAATGTCCTGTCTTTTTTTATGAGGATGCCAAAATGTCCTGTCATTACTGATGAGGATGCGAAAATGTCCTGTCATTACTGATGAGGATGCCAAAATGTCCTGTCATTACTGATGAGGATGCCAAAATGTCCTGTCATTGCTGATGAGGATGCCAAAGTGTCCTGTCATTGCTGATGAGGATGCCAAAGTGTCCTGTCATTACTGATGAGGATGGCAAAGTGTCCTGTCATTACTGATGAGGATGCCAAAGTGTCCTGTCATTGCTGATGAGGATGCCAAAGTGTCCTGTCATTGCTGATGAGGATGCCAAAGTGTCCTGTCATTACTGATGAGGATGGCAAAGTGTCCTGTCATTGCTGATGAGGATGCCAAAGTGTCCTGTCATTGCTGATGAGGATTCCAAAGTGTCCTGTCATTACTGATGAGGATGGCAAAGTGTCCTGTCATTACTGATGAGGATGGCAAAGTGTCCTGTCATTACTGATGAGGATGGCAAAGTGTCCCGTCATTGCTGATGAGGATGGCAAAGTGTCCTGTCATTACTGATGAGGATAGCAAAGTGTCCTGTCATTGCTGATGAGGATGCCAAAGTGTCCTGTCATTACTGATGAGGATGCCAAAATGTCCTGTCATTACTGATGAGGATGCCAAAGTGTCCTGTCATTACTGATGAGGATGCCAAAATGTCCTGTCATTACTGATGAGGATGCCAAAGTGTCCTGTCATTGCTGATGAGGATGCCAAAGTGTCCTGTCATTGATGATGATGATGGCAAAGTGTCCTGTCATTGCTGATGAGGATCACAAAATGTCCTGTCATTACTGATGAGGATCACAAAATGTCCTGTCATTGCTGATGAGGATGCCAAAGTGTCCTGTCATTACTTATGAGGATGGCAAAGTGTCCTGTCATTGCTGATGAGGATGCCAAAGTGTCCTGTCATTGCTGATGAGGATGCCAAAGTGTCCTGTCATTACTGATGAGGATGGCAAAGTGTCCTGTCATTGCTGATGAGGATGCCAAAGTGTTCTGTCATTGATGATGATGATGGCAAAGTGTCCTGTCATTGCTGATGAGGATTCCAAAGTGTCCTGTCATTACTGATGAGGATGGCAAAGTGTCCTGTCATTACTGATGAGGATGCCAAAGTGTCCTGTCATTACTGATGAGGATGCCAAAGTGTCCTGTCATTGCTGATGAGGATGCCAAAGTGTCCTGTCATTACTGTTGAGGATGGCAAAGTGTCCTGTCAATACTGATGAGGATGCCAAAATGTCCTGTCATTACTGATGAGGATCACAAAATGTCCTGTCATTGCTGATGAGGATGCCAAAGTGTCCTGTCATTGCTGATGAGGATGGCAAAGTGTCCTGTCAATGCTGATGAGGATGGCAAAGTGTTCTGTCATTGCTGATGAGGATGCCAAAGTGTCCTGTCATTACTGATGAGGATGCCAAAGTGTCCTCCCATTACTGATGAGGATGGCAAAGTGTCCTGTCATTGCTGATGAGGATTCCAAAGTGTCCTGTCATTACTGATGAGGGTGCCAAAATGTCCTGTCATTTCTGATAAGGGACAGTCGGGTAGCCTAGTGGTTAAAGTGTTTTCTCGTCACGCCGAAGACCCGGGTTCAATTCCTGACATGGGTACAATGTCCCCCCTCCGTGATGTTGCTGGAATATCGCTTAAAGCAACGTAAAACCATACTCACTCACTCATTACTGATGAGGATCACAAAATGTCCTGTCATTGCTGATGAGGATGACAAAATGTCCTGGCATTTCTGATGAGGATGACAAAATGATTTAGAAGATCATGTCACCATGGTTACTCCCTGATTCTGCAGATGTGTCCTGGAGCAGCAGCTGTGACTTGACCGGCGCCTACCTCATCGACCGGAGTGCGCGCTACTTCCAACCCATCCTCAACTACCTGCGCCATGGCCAGCTGATCCTGGACAAACAGGTCAACCCCGAAGGTCAGTGGACATGCATGAACATTGTCAATTCTTCACAAGCTTTATGCCCTATCTTCCTCCTATTCATGTACGTCTATGGACTCCCTAAATACCGTATTCGACGTAATAAGCGCTCTCAAAATTAGAAATAGGGGGCTCTTATTAGACTGTTATTTTGGTGAAAAAAAAAGAGTTGAAAGATAAATTTTGTGGTTTATGCTGACAGCCTGAAATGTTTATGTACAACAGATATATTTTTCCAGAATTAAATGCCCATAATTAAGGGTGCATATAACACACGAGTGCGTATTATACGCGAATAAATAAGTCTTGTGTACATTGATCAATCGGAATCAATGCTAATTGGGATTGTTCACTAGCCAATATCTTCATGATCTTAGCAAATGTCGCTGTGGGCGTTTATTAGAGCGGGGCGCTTATTACGTCGAATACGGTAACTGTTGACATTCGGGTTGTGACCCCTTGAGTGTCATGCTTAATATGAAACACAGCGCCAGTGGTCCAGAGGGTATAATGAGTATGCGTCCTTGTTATCTTCCAGGTGTGTTAGAAGAAGCCAAGTTCTTCGGCATAGGATCTCTGATTGAAGAACTGGAAGAACTGATTGAGGTAGGGGCGTGAACTGATTGAGGCAGGGATGTGACAATTTGTCAGATGTCCATTGTGATCCGACAAGAAATGGTATCCAATGAATAAGAGTGTGCAACAATGTGATACATTTATGAAGGTTGTTAATGGTATTTGAAGCTATCCCTTATGCGCTGCTGTTTTCTGTGAGAAATGTGTAATATACACAAGACAGAAATGGATTCATGCAAATTATTGTGGGTGCTTATTACAATGACCTACACGGGTCAGGAGGCGCTTGTTTGAGCAGGGTGCTTACTGTGGCTTAATATGGAAGCTGCCTTTAGTTGAGCCAATACATGTTGACCTTCAATATAACAGATGACCTTGAAATGTTGCAGCGTGACCAGCCTGCAGATGACACGACCCCCATCACAAGACGAGATCTTGTCCTTCGTCTCCTGGCCACGCCCACTACCTTCGAACTCAGGTGCCAGGTATGTGAATGTGTGTCAGGACCAACTAGGAATGTGTCCTTTATTCAGGATGTCAGGGATATTGAAGGGTCAGATGTGGATTGGATGGTAATGCATTGGTTAGACATGCCAGGACTAGTTTGTTTCCCCAAATGGGTTCAGTGTGAGAAACTGACATATGTCTGCAGTATGTCTAAAAGAGGCCTAAGACTGACCTTACTTTTCTTACTCACTTTACTCCATGAAGATCTGTCATTTTAATCCATTTGGACTGTATAATATATTAGGGCTGGCTAAAAAGATTGATAATCAGAATTATCGTCAATGGGAAGAAATATTAATGGTTGTTGATATGAAATTGTTGTCATCAATAATAACCTACATAAACCATTGTGATGAAGTAATGTTTAGATTTACCCAAACAGACTTGTTATTGCAAATAATGTCAATTGTCGAAGAGGGACAGCAACTGTTTTTGTCATATCTCAAATGTCCACAAAGTAGTCCATGCATAAATGTGTCACCACTCACCAGTGGCGTGAACTATGTCGATTTCTTTTGGACATTTTTGCTTAAGTTACTTCTCTTATATTTATTGATAATTGATCAATATTCAGTTAGCGATTATTGATCTCTATAATCTATAGATTAGTCCGCCCTATCATATGTTATTGGATTGGAATATTATTGGATTATAGTAAATCACATTGTTGTCAGACTTGACTATTCCCAGGCCACCTGGTATAGCTGGAATGTTGCTGAAACAGCTTAAAACAACATTCACTCACTGCATGATGTTTTCCTGCTGTGTTTCAGGGTATGAATTTCTCAGGAGCCAACCTGTCCAAGCTGGATCTACGCCAAATCAACTTCAAATATGCAGTATTCAAGAACGCCGATCTTTCAGGGGCCAACCTCACCAACTGTAATTTTGAGAGAGCTGATCTCACCAGGGCAAAGTTTGATGTGAGTGAGGAGCAGCAGCACAACAAAAACAGATTGCCAAATTGAAACAATATGTTAACCCAGAAATCTGTATGTAAAAGAATTTAGTGTGAAACCAACAAACAACCAACAAATAGTATACAATCAACAATGTATTGCAAAATTAACTAGGTTTACAAATCAATTCAAATTACTGCACAGCAATTACAATAGAGTCTTAGTACAATATTCAATGACAGTATATAATATGATGACAGTGGTCAATATCAAATACAAATATACAGTGGTGATAGCAAAAGTCAGTGAGAATAATATATTCACCCAGCGGCTTCTGAGATGGGCCAAGGCAGGGAATCCATAATGATGAGTGATCTTCACACGAAAGCTGGTCTTGATGTTATGAAATGTCAGAGAGATATGAGAGGCATGCTCTTGTCCCCTTATATTCTGCCTAACTAGTTTCTGGAAATTTCCACACAGTGCCAGACCAGTCTAGCGGCACTAGAACATTACAGAATATTCCACATCAGTTCACACTGTTCCTGAAGTTTACACATCACTCTAGCCTGTACATGTAGTAACTTCCTCACCACTGCTTATATTGAGTAATACTACATTCCTGACAACTAATCACTATCCAAATACAATGCAATGAGCTTCTACCGAATCTCAACAGAAACAATGCAATACAGTTACAATCATTGTTTAACAATAAAGTACACTGCCATATAATATGATAACACTGTCTGCATTTGAATACAAGGGATAAAATATACGATACGATTCATTAAAACGTACAGGGGTGGAAATTTGCCATTTCCCGACTCCCGGGGCAAGTAGAAATACGAGGTTGGGCAACAAAATCACTTACTTTAACTTGTCCGGAGGCAAGTAATATTGGAAATTACTATCACTGTCTACATGTCTAACTACTGGTAAAATGGTACAATAAATTAGCTGAGAGAAATTTTGTAATTGCGCTTTCGTAACATCGCCTGTTTATTTTTTGTAGTTATAACAAGCAATTTTATTGGATTAAAATTGGTTTCTAATGACGTTTTCTTGCCGAAATCTGCTACAAGTTTCGTGATTGGTCAATTTTGAGCACGTGACCTCAGGCAGCCAATCAAATTACAGCTGTGATACCAAGCTCGTGTTTGATAAATTTCAGAAGTTGGCGAAAGATTTTTGTTAAATCGTGTTATTCTGAACATTTTAAGCAGGAAATCACGATATATATTAAAAATATGGAACTTCGTGAATGTATCGTGCTAGGTTACGAGCTGTGACAAAGATTTTTCATGCATATATTTTTGCATTAAACATCGTGTCCCAGCCGAGAATTCAAGGCGACGAAAGCCGAGATGTCATTTGACTTACATTACACGCGATCGCACGAAAAGATGGAAATAATAACTTAGATGTAAGTTTGAATACTTTAAGATATATTTTTGTTGATTTTATTTATTACTTTGTATAATATATTTAAAGATTTGTTTAAAACGTCTTTATTTTGCTCTTTGACATGTTCGATGTGGACCCGTTGTCGAAATGTGTGTCCGAGAATTTTATTTTCAATAACATCGTGGGAAATAGTGAATAATTTTTTAATTTATCGATAAAAAATGATAAATTGAAATGGAATTCATATTTCAGATATTGTGAAATGTGACAGATTTAATAAATGAATGATATTACAGGTAGATCTAGGTCCATACAAATATATATTATTTTGACGTGACTACGGCTTGGCCGGAAAATCAGCCTACGGTGTCTGCTTCTTGGCTGGAAAACTGGCCTACAGTGTTGGAACACATATTGATGATTTGAAGTTTTATTTTGAAATTATTTAGGCAAGTGAAAATGAAATCAGGGCAAGTGAAAATTGGCTTTAAACTTGTCCGATGGCAAGTGAAGTTTTTTTTTAAATTTCCACCCCTGACGTATCACTTGTTACCATTAAAGGGGAGACCAATCAAAACATTTGAAGTATATGTGAGTCTGATAAGTTAGAAATTGCTTCAGAAGTCTTGAGTGTATTGACATACGACACCACATTACATGTCTTCCTCAAATACACCCCTCCATGGCGGAGGTTAGAATAGGTCCCACAGCAACCTGTTCTGGGCGTAAGTGACGGCTTGATCAGGTGATCAGACTCGATGACTTGGGTGATAGCAGTAAGGGGCTAAAACAAGGACTGTTTGTCTAGGAGTCAGTTAAATGTGTCTGAGTGGAGTATCCATGTTAAACTGCGGCTTCTCAGTTGGCTAGCACTATAAAACTGACTAGTCTGGACTAGTAACAGCAGCCACACATATACACAACCTGTGAAGATCCGGGTAGAATAGATCTTCAGCAACCCATGCTTGCCATAAAAGGCGACTATGCTTATCATAAGAGGCGATCAGGTGGTCAGGCTCTCTGCGTGGATCGATGCTCATGATGTCACTCACTGGATTTTCTGGTCCAGACTCAATTATTTACAGACCGCCGTCATAGCTGGAATATTGCTGAGTGTGGTGTTAACAACAAACAAACACACATACACACAAACACACATCATGCATGTCAGTGTGTAGGTCAGTGTGTAGGTCAGTGTATAGGTCATGCTGGTCATGTATAGGTCAGCGTGTAGGTCAGTGTATAGGTCAGCGTGTAGGTCAGTGTATAGGTCATGCTGGTCATGTATAGGTCAGCGTGTAGGTCAGTGTATGGGTCATGCTGGTCATGTATAGGTCAGCGTATAGGTCATGCTGGTCATGTATAGGTCAGCGTGTAGGTCAGTGTATAGGTCAGCGTGTAGGTCAGTGTATAGGTCATGCTGGTCACGTATAGGTCAGTGTATAGGTCATGCTGGTCATGTATAGGTCAGCGTATAGGTCATGTATAGGTCATGCTGGTCATGTATAGGTCAGCGTGTAGGTCAGTGTATAGGTCAGCGTGTAGGTCAGTGTATAGGTCATGCTGGTCATGTATAGGTCAGCGTGTAGGTCAGTGTATAGGTCATGCTGGTCATGTATAGGTCATGCTGATCATGTATAGGTCAGAGTATAGGTCATGCTGGTCATGTATAGGTCAGCGTGTAGGTCAGTGTATAGGTCATGTATAGGTCAGCGTGTATAGGTCAGCGTGTAGGTCAGTGTATAGGTCATGCTGGTCATGTATAGGTCAGCGTATAGGTCATGCTGGTCATGTATAGGTCAGCGTGTAGGTCAGTGTATAGGTCATGCTGGTCATGTATAGGTCAGCGTGTAGGTCAGTGTATAGGTCAGTGTGTAGGTCAGTGTGTAGGTCAGCGTGTAGGTCAGCGTATAGGTCAGTTTGTAGGTCAGCGTGTAGGTCAGTGTATAGGTCATGCTGGTCGTGTATAGGTCATGCTGGTCATGTATAGGTCAGCGTGTAGGTCAGTGTATAGGTCAGTGTGTAGGTCAGTGTGTAGGTCAGCGTGTAGGTCAGCGTGTAGGTCAGCGTGTAGGTCAGCGTATAGGTCAGCGTGTAGGTAAGTGTGTAGGTCAGCGTGTAGGTCAGCGTGTAGGTCAGCGTGTAGGTCAGTGTGTAGGTCATGCTGGTCATGTATAGGTCAGTGTGTAGGTCAGTGTATAGGTCATGCTGGTCATGTATAGGTCAGCGTGTAGGTCAGTGTATAGGTCAGAGTGTAGGTCAGCGTGTAGGTCAGTGTATAGGTCATGCTGGTCATGTATAGGTCATGTTGGTCATGTATAGGTCAGCGTGTAGGTCAGTGTATGGGTCATGCTGGTCATGTATAGGTCAGTGTGTAGGTCAGGGTGTAGGTCATGCTGGTCATGTATAGGTCAGCGTGTAGGTCAGTGTATAGGTCATGCTGGTCATGCTCGTCACACTTGTGTTCCAGTCCGCCAACTTGCTGGGGGTGAAGATGCTCTGTGCCAACCTAGAGGGCGCTTCACTCAAGGGCTGTAACTTCGAGGACCCTGCCGGTAGCAGGGCCAACATGGAAGGTGGGTCAAGAAGACTCCTGTACTGTTTCACCAACAGAAAGTTGAACTGTTCTGTAACATAAGTAGCAATGTGACTGATTTGTAGATGGTGTAAACAACAGTTGGCAGGAGGTTGAAAAGTTTACTTGCATAAGTATTATAAATAAATCAAACTGCATCACAAAGCGGACATGGTTGATCAAGGAGTGTAGTGTATACAAACCTGTAATGTATTGATCATGAGAGGCATTCTGCTGGTGATGTTCTGTGTTTAGTGTTCTGTGCATGGATCTAGTGTTATCTTGTTACAGGTGCCCTGATGAAGAACGTCAACCTGGAGGGCAGCCACATGGCAGGGGTCAATCTGCGTGTAGCCACATTGAAAAACGCCAACCTCCAAAACTGTGCTTTGAGAGGAGCCGACTTAGCTGGGGCAGACCTCGAGGTGAGTTTGGGTATATGTCCGTGTGATGGACAGATCTTGAGGTGAGTTTGGGTGAGCTGACATTTGTGTTTGTGTGATGTCTGTATTCCTCTAGGTAGATGATGACTTGCATGACAGTGTGGTGGATTTGTCTTTGAACAAAGAAAGTGCCTGGTCTGCACGTGCGTATGCAGTTCTATGAGGCCAGTTCATGCATTAAGCATAGTCCTACATAGACATTCACAATGGCCAATGCTCAGTACTTATTGCAAACACTTATTTTACGCAGGACGTATATCCGTAAATCCTCATTGCTTTTAAGTTCTTTTCCTATTTCACTTGTTCAATCCTCAAACATTACGGGGGCACGGGTGGCCCAGTCATCTAAGGCACCACGATTTGCTGTTGCATCTCTTCTGCACGCCAGAAACATATGATTGTGGGTTCGAATCCTGGTTCTCCCCGATTATGTTTCTAAGTTTGTCAGCACCATACCCATGCTGAGACCTGCATCACTTCAGGCTTTCCTCCCACATTAAGCTGACACGCCCTGATAGAACTGGAATAATAAGCAGCGTTAAACCAAACTCAATCACTCACTCACTCACTCACTCACCTCAAACTTTAAGGTGACAAGTCGTGAGTTGTCTCCCTTAGTTGCCAGGACACAGGTCTTGGGTTCTAACCCCATTTTCAACTTAATTATTGACAATCCGTGTTTGTCAGCACCATGCCATGCTTGTTTCACTGGTGTGGTGCACACCCATGGGGAATCCGGGTTAAACTAGGTCCCAACAACTATGCTGGTTGTAGGAGCCCACATAATAGATTCTGTGGTAAGGAATTTGGGTCCTTCGGTGTCATTTTTCCCCGACTTCATAGATCGTTGCATACAATATCAATCACTGGATTGTTTGGTTCAGACTTGATTATTTACACGCCATCGTCAATTGGTTAGAATATTGCTGAGTGTGACATTAAACAACAAACAAACCACATTGATAAATCTCTATGAGCAGAATACCTTCGGTCTCTCCACATGACATCTTCCCGAGGCAAGTGAGGTAACTGACTATAAAAGTCCAGTTTCCACTGAACTAGGCTGGTATTATGGAGTTAACATTTTGGCTGGACTAACGAGTCTATGCATAGTCCAATATCGCACCAAAATTGAAATCCGGTTCGTAAAGTGTCGTGCAGATTTCGGTCGATTGCAGGATTTGCAAAACATGTGCAACGCCAACTCATTGTCAGCATATATTTTCCAAATCTTTTCATGTTTTTAATCAAGGTGCTCATCTAACTTGATGTATTTCGCGATGTAAGACACGTTTTATCACAATATGGATCTTGATTATCGATCAGATCGTCCTGACTGGGCGCCACCATTTTGGGTGAAACAAATGCAAGTGATACAAGAGGTGGAATCTCATTGGTCCAAAGGAGAGGCGTAGAAGGGACATAACTGGTAATAGCCACTTGTGGCGCTATGATCGAGCCCAGTAATTCCAGCCTAGTTCGGCAAGGGTGGAAGCTGGACTTTTAAAGTCAGTTTACTCTCTTGCTTTGGGAAGATGTCCACATGATTTCCCTGACATGCTGTAATGTAACAAACATGCTGTTCAAAGCAGCTTTAAGCTCCAAGTCCTTTCTACCAGAGATGTGGACTTACTGTCTCAATGCTTGATGTTTCCTCTGCTTCAGAATTGTGATCTCTCGGGCTGCGACTTGCAGGAAGCAAACCTGCGCGGGGCAAACCTCAAGGGAGCAGCTTTTGAGTTGATGGTGAACCCTCTGCACATGGCGCAGGCGGTGAGGTGACACAGGGACGCCAGGCAGCATGAACAGTGATGGCTCCGATGTACACACGGTCCAGGGTCAGACCAGCACACAGCCACCAGCACACAGCCACCAGCACACAGCCACCAGCACACGGCTTACATGAACACTTCAGATTTGTCCCAAAATTATACAACTTTTTAAGATTTAATTACAAGACCAGACCAATACTTGTAGGCAGGAGGGTTGAAATGAAATAAGACTCTTTTTAAGATAAACAGCGATTTCATTTGTTGCTGTATTGTATGTTCAGACTTTCAAAGTACCGGTAGCTTTACATTTGTGATTAATGGCTACTACTTTATCTTGACTGGCAACGACAAAATTACCAGGCTGTAAAACAAAGTGTTAAGTTGGTCTTGCCTAAATTTCATCACCTGAGAACCATTATGTCCTTTCCCCAGTTTTATAAGTTTTGAGTAAATGATATTTTAGTATTTGAAGTGCTGTATAATATTAACTTGAAAAACAATATGCATTTATTTGACATAAAACAAACAAATACATATAGGATATTTGTTTTCAGATCCATATTGTTCTATCTCCATTAGTAAATTCATTTGGCACATTCTTATTATTCTGGACCAAAGTTTTCACCCTAAGGAAATGCAGCTTTTTGTAATGAAGTAATCAATTTTTATTCAGTATTTCAACTGACAGATCACGACATTCACTCCCAATGTTCACATTCTACAGAAGATAAATGATAAATCTCCAAATGATTTGGAACTATGCAGTCCAATGTCCTTGTCACATGATCTGTGTCAAGAATTTACTTGGACACATGGACATTGACATGGACACAGGACAGGCTGGTCCTAAGTGACTTGTGAGCTTTTGGACGTAGAATCACTGAAAACCTTTCCTGCTACAGGGGCTTCGTGACATTTACAACAATGTTAGAAAACACCCAATTGGAAAGAAAATGCAAAAACATAATTTCTGGTCAAATGTGGAAATAGGACCATGTGATTCTCAGGTGATGTAATATACCAGTATAACTTTATTATTGGCCTAAAGATGACTGTATGTCCGACTGTATCAGTATTACATGCATGATAAGCTGGTGTTCCTGTGTGCTGTCTGCGGGGCTGATCCTGGACCTGAGACACCACTGTTTCTGCCTTCTAAGCCTGGCTCTGTCACAACTTACTAAAGTCAAAATAATCCATCTTTCAAGTTGAAGTGTTTTTTCCTACCACAAAGACAGCTTCTGAAGAATAGGGTGAAATCTAGCAACTGGATTTGACCCAAACCCTGTCCAGTATATTGTTAGGGTAGTTTGCATGGCTCATTAACTGAGTATCTGTCCCGAGTGAAAGAGTGGTTTAAGTCCCAAACCTTGGCAAGGGATTTTCAGCATTCTTTCACAAGGAACAGATAGTTCCATGTTTCAAGTAGGTTATTCTATTTACTGTATTCGACATAATAAGCGCCCCGCTCTAATCAGCACACACAGCGATATTTGCTAATATATTGGCTAGTGAACAATCCCAATCAGCACCCTTCCGATTGATCAATGTACACAGGACTTATTTAATCGCGTATAATACACAATCATGTGTTATATGCACCCTTAATTATGGGCAATTAAATTCTGGAAAAATAAATCTGTTGTACATAAACATTTCAGGCTGTCAGCATAAACCACGAAATTTATCTTTCAACTCTGTTTTTTTTCCACCAAAATAATATTGTTATAAGAGCCCCCCATTTCTAATTTTGAGAGCCCCCTTGTCGCTTATTACGTCAAATACGGTATTACTCTGATATTTTTAGAATGAAATTGAAAAAAAGATTTGAAATGTCATCCCTATTAAGCAACTTCTCTAAAGCCTGCCTTTTGTTCAGATTATGTAATGTTATCAATATGCAGCATCATAGGCAATGGACAATTATGGACGTTATCATATACCTATTAATAGCAGGCATGTTGCATGTGCGATAGAGCCAACATTGAGACGGTCACATCACAGGGGTGTAAGAACCAGACCCGTATGACACCCTGGCCAGGCTGATATAATATGTCAATGCATTTTGAATGGGCGAACAATATCACCTCGGGTGGCAAGAAATTAGAGTTAGGTCCTTTAGTGCTTGTCTGCTCGGTTAGCTTTCCAAAGACAATGTCTTCCAAACAAGATGAAAATGTTATACATATACTTGCAAGGAGATACATCTTACAGTTTGATATTATGGTATGTGATAAAAAGTGATTATGGGGCAACTTTTATATCATACCCAAATCAACCCTCAAACCCCATTTACACATGATTTAAGCTCTCTGGCTTTTGGCCCTTGGGCTGATGTTGGGGTAGGGGGGTGATTTGGGTTTGGTCCTCTAATTCTCTTAAACTTGCAGGGGCACGGGTAGCCCTGTCGTTGAAGGCGGCGCATTTCACAGTTCAATTCCCGGGTTGCCCCAATTATGTTTCTAGGTTTGTCAGAACCATACTCTTGCTTGTGGGTTTCACCGAAGTGGTAAACGTCTGATACGTGCATCACTTGGGTCTTTCCTCCCACATCAAGCTGACATGCAGCGATGTAACTCACTCACTAACCCCTATACATGTTTCCACTAGTAGGCCTGTGTCATAGACTAGCCTACACATGTGTTGTACATCTAGACAAGAATAGGAGTGACCATGTACTGTTTCCTTCGTCCATGGACGCACTGACATATTGGAGTCCGAATGTAACTTAGTGTTTCAGACAATATTGTATTCATGTTGAAACAACTCAGTTTAATTAATCAATATCGTGATAAGAAACTGTGATGATATTATTTCCTGTTACAACCCTACAGTTTTGTTACGTTTAGACTGTCTCCCAGTCCCTCAACCATATTATTTTCCCTTCCACCAGCCCTTACTTCAATGCTAGAGCCCTAAGTGAAGCAAGTCTAGATTTTCCTCAGGTTCAGTTTCTGAATTTCCCATCTCAGTGGGGCTCCTTTTCAATTTAATTGGAGAAGTTTGTTTCTATCAAAATAATATATTTTCAGAGACTAAGCATTAGTCTCTTGTCAGTCCATCGACTGACTCATGTTCTTTGTCTTCACATTACAATAAACATTAATTTTGAGGTCTGTTTGTAAGGAAAGTCTTGCCAGCATTCGATGTAATTATTTTGTCATCATTTTTTTATTAGATCTCCCCGTGGGGATTCTGTTAGGTCCCAGACAAACTATACTGGTCGTAAGAGGCGACTGAATGGTTAGGCTTGGTGACTTGGTTGATTGTATGTCAGCATACCCATACAGCTAGGATCGGTGCTCACAATATCGATCACTGGATTGTCTGGCCCAGACAGCGTATGTACAGGCCACTGTCATATGGCTGTAAAATTGCTGAGTGTGGCGTTAAACAATGAACAAACAATCCCATAAGACCAAATCCTTCCTTAGACTTTTTGAATCTGTAACCCAGGTAATTCATACAAAAATAACCACTAAGATATATCCTGTAAGTATTTCAGTTCTGTCTCAGGACACCTTAATTCTGGAATTGAGTGGGTGTATTACACATGAACTTCTGTCAGAATTAATAACATTGAGTTACTTACATTGAACAACATTTTGAGTTTATAACAGTAAACAACATAACATTCTGAGTTTATAACAGTAAACAACATTCTGAGTTTATAACAGTAAACAACATTCTGAGTTTATAACAGTAAACAACATTCTGAGTTTATAACAGTAAACAACATTCTGAGTTTATAACAGTAAACAACATTCTGAGTTTATAACATTGAACATCATTCTGAGTTTATAACATTTACAACATTCAGAGTTAATATTTTTAAACAACATTCTGAGTCTATAACATAAAACAACATTCAGAGTTAATTAAAATCTTTAAACAACATTCTAAGTTTAAAACATTAAACAACATTCAGAGTTAATAACTTTAAACAACATTTACTTAAGTGGGCAATGTTTGACAACATCATCATAACAAGATGATGTTGTGAGTGGGATTAATAATTATATGTGAATTGTAACTCCTAATCTGGATTTGACAGAAAGTTGGGTGTGATATGCTATCAGGTATTGAACTGTTCTGTGAGGGCCGCGATCATCCCTGTGATTTGAAGACTGATTATGCAACATGTTCTTGTTATGTTTAGATGGAAATTGGATTTTATTTCCAGCATTGTATTCTGATAGAGATAGTACCGTTAACCTTTTTCTCTTAATCTGAGATTTGTTATGATATTTTTAAAAATCACTTTCATGTCAATTTACACGACACATTGTCACCAAGAGAATCTATATATGCTGAAAAAAACTAGTTAGGGATCATGAATGTTTTCACAACAACAAAATATCCTTAAAATACTCATGATCCCTGACTTATTTTGTACAGTATATATATATGTAATATGACACAACAGACCTTTGAACACTAGAGATGTCTGAATCTTGTATTTTCTGGAAGTGAGAAAGATTATATGTCTCAAGCAATGATAGCAAGATGATAAAATGTAGCTTTATTAAATGTAAACAATGTCATGGTGTTGGAAAAATAATCATTGTTAGATTTCAAGTTCTACTTACCAGATTGGTGTTTAATTACAATTTTTACACTTGAATATTTTTTATTTGTAATTTTTTGTTTAAGACACTGTTGCTCTTAATTTCTGAGAAGAGTGTTGATTTGAGCAATATGTTGACAGTAAATTGTTTGATATGCATTTCTTTGAAGTTGACGGATCACAAACTAGACAAAATATTTTTGGATAACAACTTCTTTATTACCGGTATACTGTAATAACAACGTTTCAGTGTATATCCTCATGTAACAGTATAACAGTTCAAAAGCTGGTTGACGGCAGTGTAATAAAGAAGTTGTTATCCCTAAATATTTTGTGTACAGTACTAGGTATGGATTATTTTGACTTTTTTCCATATAATTGTCTATACCCCTTGTGTATTCCCATACTATAGCACTTTATCTATGCAAGTGCTGAGAGTGACAAGCCAGGATGTGTATCTGGTTGTATTCTAGCAGCTTTGTCGTCAGTCAGTTTGTGGTGAGTTTGTCTTATTAGAGTGGAGAACTAGAGAA